TTTATAAAGAAAGAAAATCACGATCTTTGCCAAGAATACAAATTTTCGTACTTGTTAAAGACTTCATCTGAGAACATGAATGTCAAAGATATTAGTGTTACAAGCATAACAAGCGCATATGTCAAGAAAATCACATCTTTAAAATTAATTTATGTTTTATATATATAGTCCTAAATACGCTTTCCTCTATTGCACTAGTGTACATATTGAGATGTTAAACTCTTTAAAAACATAGAAAAGAATAAAGATGTAATTTATTTCCATAAAAAAGTCAATCTCTTGCATTTATAACAATGGGAAGTTGCTAATTGTCACATATACTAATAACAGTGTATTGGGAATTGAACCCAAAGACTAAATTGTACCGCTCTTTAAAGATACTTCAACAGTTGGGCTGTTTTTTCTTGGAAAGTTCAGACGATTTTGGCTATTGAACATATTTTGGATATTTTATACTTCCAAAATTTGATCTTTGTAGAATTTTCTAAACTCAAATTTGGTAAGTTATTGCTTGATCGTAATAGAAAAAAAAGTAGGTCAAGAGCTTTGTCGTTCAATTACACTTCACAATTTAAAGGCACAAACAATAAACAATTATCAGCTTTTTTATACTGCCGGTTCAACATTAAAATGCTTAAATATTCAACTTTACGCCCCAAATACATGCAATTTTAACTTTTACATTTACAATAAGTGTTAAGTAAATAAATATAAAAAATGATTAAACTGAAATCACCCAAACTGTTCTAAAATGCAGAATTGCTTAAACATGACGCTGGTTTTTTAACGAAAGCTAAGATGGCTGTAAATTTTAGCTGATAGACCCTAGGTTCGCTCAGCTAAGCATCCATAGCCTTCAAATTGCATTTCTTATTGTTCCATGGTTGTATATGACAAGTAGTACAAGTTTAGTCCCACACCAAGGTCACTGTTTTTTTATGACTTAACCAAAATAAAAAATCCATAATGGAAAAACCTGAACAGTATAAACCAAAACCGAACACAAAGGCACGAGAATTTGGAGAATACTGAACAGGAAAAAACCACCAGGGATTTTAGCCGAAGTTCCGCGCCTTGGGGGACCCATGTATATAAACAATAAACTTTACATACCTTTGAAACGATGCAAAAAGCCAAAAAAAATAGAAGAAACCGTGAAATGTTTTCAAAACGCACCTTCAAGTCCAAAATTTTTTGTAGTCAAAGATGTACTACAGTTTCGGAAGTAATTCGCCATTTTAACGTACATATATGTAAAGCAAAACTAAACCGATCACTGAACTGGATAATTTTCTTCTTTGCTTGAGAAAATTGTGTATTTGATGGGAATTTCTTGCAACGTGTGTTTTTCTTATCTAATCCATAACCAAATCAGTCGCACCTAGCGCCACCTAAGCGTCCCTATTTTGCACTGTTTAATTCAGTGCTTTGCGCGCCCGGTGCCACTAACGCCTAAAATTGGAGCAAGCGCTGACTGTATGACATGGATTAGATTAAAGTACTTCAAGATAACTTGTATGGTCAGACGAAATTCAATGTTTTTTGAAACCACTTGAAGAAGCACACGTTATGTTTGGTTATCGAAGAGCGACGATAATTTAACCAAACAACCGGCAGCGCTTGATTTAAGTTATGTTTTAGTTTGACAATTATCACATAGTTGACTTTGATAGAAACGCAAATGGTGAACATGGAAACCTTTGTGTAACTTTTAAGTGAAATATGTGACAACGTCTGCGGTTTGTCTTCATATTAACCATTATAAAAAACAAAACAATGTACTTTTATTAAAACTGGGTATTCTTATTGATTATTATGAAGGCATTCCGCATACTTAGACCTGGTGTATTAATTTATTTTTAGGCTCGCTTTCGCTGTGGCTTACAGCATTGAAATTCCCAGGAATAAAGTTTTCTTCATAAGAAAACAACATGTCCTTTTACACATTTACAGTAATTGCCACGCCGCCCCTAAACTGTAAATGTCTTAACAAAATAAATACGTTTCTCGAGTATCTATTTGTCGATTTAGGAATGAGTGACAAGATTGAAAGTTTTCTTCCAAGCATTTAAAATTCACTCATTTCTCTTGATAGTGAGGTTTATCCTTTAAAGGTATTAAACCCCACAATCGTTATCTGAGCGCAGCAACTACCCGCCGCAACTACAGCGCACGCCTAAGCTATCTAAACTTCCTACCTGCGCATGACACCGGAATTCCGCCCTGAAAAGGAATGCCCCGTGAAGGAGGTAACCCATCATGCCCTTAACTTAACTTAACCTAGTGCATGTTGCACCTACGGGCGACCTCCAACCGAGGTGGGTTGGACTACTCATGCATTATAGGGGATCCATGCAGGAGTGCCTTAATAGTCAATGTAGAAAGCCGTTCATGAAATTGGCCAACTACAACGACTGCATGCTCTTACCGTACTAGGGGAGAGATATTTTTCTTTCCACCAAAACCACGATCTTCCTTTGCTCTTCAATAGGCCTTGCTCGCTTGATCCAGTCTTCAAAGGTCTTCTTACAGATGCTATTTGCATCCTCTACGCTAAGGTACCATTTGTACCCACTAACCCCAAGTTGAAGTTGCCTTCCTTGGGCCAAACTTCACTTGCATTTCCGATTCTGAGCTATGGTCCTGTCTATCCTTCTGCGAGGCAACAACCGCTGCGATCATGCGTAGCTCCTTAAAGCAGTATATTCACACAGAGGTTTTTCGAAGGTAAATTATATAGAACAACACAATTGTTGCATGCCAGTCACAGACTTAAATTAATTGAAACAAATTCACGCTTACTAAGACACAAATTTTAAAAAGAATTAAGACAGCACCGATAAAAACTATTGAATTATTTCAACCCAAAGAACCCTTTTATTACCTCTTAATCAAGACTATTTTTGAAAATGCAGATGTAAATTTCTTTAAATATATTTATTTGCATTCCTGCATTAAAAAAATAGCCTTACAGTGGAATATACTGCACACCAGGATTTGTTTTGGCTACTGCCCAAATTATATTAGAAACCTGTTAACAGGCCTAACTAAAGAAAAGGTTTATTATTATTACACTTACGGTTTTCGACGAATCCTTGGCAGTTCGACGACAGACTACGATGAACGACGAATCCTTGGTAGTTCGACGACAGACTACGATTAATTACAAATCCCATGCCAATTAAGAAGACGAAACGATCGGATGTTGAGCAAGGACAGCCACAAAAAAAGCCCAAAATAATTTTTTGAAAAATTCAGAACGTTGATGGTGAAACCATCGTATCCAATTCTCCGGCTATCTGACAAACATCACCACTTTTATGTCGACGATGGCAAACACAGAAACAAGATTGGCCATTTCTTGCAACTGTGCATGTCGTCTACGGCATTAAATCGGTAATATCGACAGCCAGTCGGAAAATTAGGATTTTTAGGTTTTTTATTTTCATGTTAAAGAAATTCCATGTTTTTATTACGAAAATTTTCAATTAAATAATGTTGAAATTTGGGCGTTCGACAGCGGCGTGGTTTTACCCATCATTGCGATTGATTGAGCAGTCGCGATCTTCGAGGGAAAATGCCCAGGAAAATGTTCTTGAAAAGGTAATAATATTGACTTGTCCATGGAAACAGGCGTTAGGTTGATGGATGTATTGCTCCAGAATAGTGTTTAGTGTTTGCATTCATTGTAGAGATGGTCTTTAGGACATTAGAAGTCACGTATTTTTCAATCTCATCAAAGCATATTGTTCATTCTTGATCATTGTTCAGAAGACCTCATTAAAATATATTGTCCATTCTTGATCATCGTTCAGAGGACTTCATTAAAGTATATTGTTCATTCTTGATCATTGTTCAGAGGACTCGTGTAAGTATATTGTTCATTCTTGATCATTCTTCAGAGGACTCGTTAAAGTATGCTGTTCATTCTTGATCATTGTTCAGAGGATTTCATTAAAGTATATTGTTCATTCTTGATCAGAAGGTTTCTACATAGGAAAATTGAAGCCAATGTCAGTTCACACTATACTTCCATAAATGAAAAACATTGATAACATACTTACATTGAACATTTTATTCACTCGTAATGTAGTTCAAGGGAAGAAGAATTACAGAATTTTATTTTGTTCTTATGTTTAGATGAGCGTCGAGGAACTGGTCGACAACAGCCACAATTCTCTTCAACCGCTGTGAACAATAACCACTTTCTTTAATTGATGGTAGAGTCCACGATTATGGTGAATACACCAACATTTGTTTTTGTTTCTCAATCTCATTTGATGACTATTAGTCGTTTCAGAGAACAATGTTCATGTCTAAAATTGAGCACAGAGGAAGCAAAAATTACTAAGACGAAAACTTTATGGAAAGGCTACACTGAACTTCGCATTTATGAACATCCCATGCAGTGTCCCAATTCAATATTTACTCAATGCAAAAGAACATGAAACAAGACATTTACCTGAACATTTTTTCAAAGCACTCCAAGAGATATTTCACCGTGGAGTAATTTCGACTTCGGCTAACTGTTCTTCGTGCAACTACAGACTTTCACGTTCAAACGGCACGTTCTGAGTCTTAGACTATGGCCCAAGTTTTACGAACGTGCTGTATTCTGATTGGTCAATGACTAGGTGTGTTGTAAACGTGTTGTGTTGTTATTGGTCATTTACTAGGTGTGTCCTAAACTGTTGTGTTCTGATTGGTCATTTACTAGGTGTGTCGTCAATTGTACATTGTGAAATCAGATGAAATTTAGAATTTGCATGATCATCACTTAGAATTAATCCCCATAGAGCGGTAAATGCAATTTAATACAATATAAATAAAAACGTATACTTCAGCCACAGCAAATAGCAAATCCCAAACATTTAAGTCTCCTTGGGGAACAACTACAGCTGAATCAAGCAAATTCTAAAGGTCAACTGATGTCAAAAGTGATTTGATAATCCCTCTAAGTTGTTAATCTCATTTTTTCTTATTGTATTTATTAGCCAAAGTTAACATTTGATTTCTTTTAATTAGCATTCTACAAGGTGTACATAAAAACGACGTTTAGCAATTAAACTATTGTAAAATTTCAAAGCCCAATTACTGTGCTAACCTCACTAGTGCATTACATTTCCAATGGAGGAAAATCTTTTGTGCTTGCATCAACGTAGCTACGTAACAATATTTCATGCACCTGTGGGCTTGGCATAGTGACAGACATTGAAATTATATAAAGATCTTCAATGGTAAATGAAGGCTGACCAGCTGATTTTGCACACATCAAAGGAATGAATCGGATAGAAAAATATTATTACAATGTATTTTTTTATTTTTTTATTCAACTATCAGCCGGCATTATATGTTGTCCCTTTTAAAGAATTTTCAATCTCCATGCGACAGTAAATTTTCATGGCAACTTTTGTTCCGAATCTTTCCACATTCCCTTTTTTGTGTGATAAAAATGAAAAAAGTTAAGCACCTTTAAGCGTTCTATTTCCAGGCCGGCTGCCAAAATGTTATCTACTAGGTCCCAGTCTTCATCACCTTAGGCATGCCTAAATCGTTCCACGTCCATGCCACCAATTCTAAAAGGAGATAACACTATAGAGTAATGTCTCTTTTTAACCCATAAGATTTATAGATTTTAAATGGAAAAAAATTTATTCCATGTTTGATCTTTTAAATTTATTGTTTTGAGTATCAATGTAGTCTTTTTGCAAAGTAACAAAATCACACATCATACAATGAAAGTTTCCATGTAAAATAGGGTGAGGTTTTCCCTTCTGGTGGCTTAAATGCCAAGATTTGATTTTATTTTGATTATTGATACCTTGCATTATTCATACAATGTACATACCTATCCCAGTCTGACTTGTACAGTGCTATAGGTCCATATCCATCATGTTCCCAGCGCCTATTGGGATGATTCACAGTATAACAACAGTCCAGACGAATCAAGAGTGCATTAAATGTGGTTGTTTCCCTGAATACAATGCTAAAAAACAACAGATACCAAACATTAAATGAAAGACATTTCAATATTTCATCATTACACTACATTCTCTGTCATTGTTTAACTATATTTTAGTTAAAGTAACGACTGCTACTGTTCTTCCTTTCTTCACTTAAAAAATAAACCATGTTTACTGTGTTTGCAAACGAAGAAGACCTTTTGAAGAACTTGCACTTGGTCGACATTTGGCCTCAGCCTTGAACTGATCTGTTCTCAAGTTCTCGTAAAAGGTTTCCATTAGCCTGTCCAAATACAGTAAGTCAGTAAACACTCTTTAATTCTTCAATATGATATATATTGCAGCATGCATAGTAGGTGAGCATTTCTAATTGCCAAGAATTCCATAAGCTACAATCAAAATTATAAATTTGGTACTTCAATTTTTAATTCATTATTATTTTACTTAACGTTCGTTTAATATAAATAATCTCACCTTACGTATATGATCAACGATAATGACAGGCATGGACAAGTGTAAATCACACACATACATATCATTTGGATTTGTCACCACAGTCATGGCATACTGTAAAACAATTGATTTATGAAATTTAGACTTCATGTGAAGCAATACATATCGACGTAAAATCGATAATGATAACATTTAGGAATTCATCTTTGGTTTCTTGATATATCTCTTAAAGATTATCAATAAAATGTTGCACCCCTTGTCCCTGTCTACCGCCAACTGTCAACACAATATTTACAGTAGAATTTATGTTCCATTTATAGAACACTGGTGAACAAATGCCACTTGTCTAAATTTTTGTCAACTTGTCTACTTTTTTATCTACATTTTTGTGTCTAACATAGTGAAGCATTACTAAGTAAACAAATTAACTAGAACACAAAGGATGCTATTTGAAAAATTACAAGCAAATATGTGTTATTATTATTTAGAGCAGTTTAATGTATGTTTTTCTTGAGGTCAACACGTTAACTAAAAAATACTATAAAATGACACTTATAAAACAAATCTCGTGAAAAAACTAAATATTATTAATATTACTATGTAAAAATTGATATTATATTATTATTAGAGAATGCATCGAGTCTCACAGTCTCAATCAAAGACATCACGAAAAAGATTCTCTAAGATTTGGGCTTCTTTAACTTTCTCTCCTTTATTCACTCCTCCGTCTTTAATTAATCAACGTTATTGTTACGGCAAAACAACAGCAACACCACCTTTTCTTGGATCAGATTTTGCGAATAGGTATCCCGATTTATTTCTATAAATTCCTTGAACGACAGAGAATCTTCGTAATCCTTTCATTTTGTGTCCCAGATCCTTCAAGCCAATGAAAACAGACTCTGGAATATTATCATGAGTATAATTTTTCTCATAGTAAACTGTATTAGGAAACAGTTGATGATGTAATCGACCTCTTTCGATGGACTCTTCAAGACTCAAACCAAACCAAAGCTTATTCAGCAAAACCTAAAAAAGTATCGTTTCCATGAATGATTTCATTCACAAATTACAAACTCAGAAATGAAAAATGTAATAATAACCATAATGATATGTACTGCTTATCGCTTGTAAAATTAACTATTACTTTCAAAGGGAGTTGGGTGGGATGGGGTGCTCTGGGGATAGAAATATCGTGTATTTGTAATAATGGATACTTTTTCATTTTGCTCGACCAAAGAGTTTCCAGTTACAGCGGGCTAACCACGTGACACGTTCAGTGAAAGATAAGAAAGAGCACAAGATACAAACATTTAAAACAGAATCATCGTTACTTACTACAGCCACACCAGTTATTATTCTCAATCCACCTGAACCACCAAGAACCATTTTCACGTCACCTTTTGAATCAACAACTATAGTTGGGCAAGCTGTTGATACAGAGCGTTTCCCAGGCTGAATAAAATTGGCTTTTGAGGCTTTTGGTTGATAATTTTTTGATGTGTTTGGTAACGAAAATGAACTCATGTGATTGTTGTAGACTATCCCTGTTGTATAAGATCGAATCTTTGCACCAAAGCTGAATAAAAAAAAGGTAATTGTATGTGGTTATAAATAGCACAATAAAAATGAGCGAAGCTGCAAAGCAAACTGCTAGATGCATGCAGGGTTTTGACGTAGTTTCTGTTTCCATTGGAAAGATTTTTGTATGCTCCAGTGTAGTGTTAACTGTGCAAAATTCTAGCATGATTCTTAAGCTCAAACAATAAATGCAGTTGTGTAAAAGAGTGGTAATTGACCGTCGATCACCGTAGCCAATACAATGAGATAAAGTTGTTGCTTTCAAATTGAACTATGAAAATGCTTACAAATAACCAACTGTGCTAGTAACAGACACAGCATCTCCAGTTGACCCAATTACTGATACATGTGTAGTTCCAAAGTCTTTTCTGGTGGAGTAAAACCCTCCATAGTAAAAACTGTCGTGTGTTTCATTGTTCCATATCTTTTTACGCAAATCTTCGGCATACGTTGTATTTATTTGAACATCCTGAGACTGGAAAATAAAAATCACCAATTTAATAAAGTAATATTATTATAATGAAACATAATCCGAATGAAAAGTTCATGATTAACTCAATATTTGAGAAAAAAAACTTGAGACAAGAAAAACAAGACAATTTTTTATTTTAACAGTAATATTTCGAATTTATTACAAATTCATCATCAGAGTCTACATAGAATTGTCTTGTTTTGTTTTTTTCTTAAATATTGAGTTAAACATGAACTTTTTATTCGGAGTATGTTTAAAATTATACTAAGAAAGTAAACATGTTTATATTTTATATGATATAAGGAGTTTTTACATTATTACTCATTATCGACTGTTACTTTCATGATTTCTGTCGTTTATAAAACTGTTTTTTTTTCTCTTTCGTTCGTTTATCACTACCTACACAAAATAATGTTTTTCTATTGTCTTAAACGTACTTTTTCAACATTAGGATAAAATTCTGGATCACCAATGAACGGACGATAAGCATAGCCGAACTTAAACGCCTCCAAAATTCGATGCCATGTTAGTGTCTGCTTGTTACCTGTTATGGAGTCGGGACCAAACTTGAAACCTAAAATAACAAAGAAGTCGTCAGTGAAATGTGCATTCAGAACTAACATATAATTGATAAACGCTCATTAAATTTACAAATATAAGTTGTTATGACACCAGTTTCAACTTATATTTACTTTGACAATAGTCTAATGTTATTCGGGTCTATTCGTCAACAATGACAACCAAACCTTTTAAAATGTTAAGTATCATTATTAATGTAGATCCACTGCTGGTGGCAGACGTTGTGTAAAGGATGTCATCTTTAATTGATGTACTTAATACACGTCGTTTCTTTGCTGTGAAAGTTTTCAAATCATCCAAGCACAGAATTCCTCCACGTGTTTGGAGATCAGATATCATTTCTTGTGCGATCGTACCATTGTAAAAAGTGTAAGGATCCACCGAAATTTTTTCCAAAGTTCGTGCAAAGGTAGGATCTGTGATAATTTCACCTTCCGTCTTTGGTGAACCATCCTCGTGGAAATAAAGTTCCCTATGGTAAAAAAGCATCTTTTTGAAACAAACAGCGGGGGGAAATTACGAGAAGATAAAAGAGAACATAAGCATTTTCACCATGTAAAAATGTGACTGCAACCTACCTAAAGCCCTCGTCCTTATGAATGTCCTTTTTAGTTGATTTGATAACTTTTGCTAAAGATTTGTCAATTTTGAAACCGTTTCTCGCGAGATCAATGGTCGGTTGAAATAACCGTTTCCACGATAGACGGCCTTGTGTTCTCCAGGAATCATACATTGCTAACACCTCCCCAGGAACTGCGACAGAGAGTACACCTGAACATATATATATACAGAAATTGGATGATGAAATTAATGTCTCACTATTCATGGTGTAGCCTGTGATGGTAATGGTGTAGCCTACGATGGGGATTAGCCTCAAAGAGAGGGACAAGCGACGTACATATGTTTAGTTATGTTTTATGAATTGGTAATGAATCGTTTAATGAATACGTTACAAGTATTTTCACTATAACATTATTATAACTCACGGACCACTTGTGGTGGTATGGAAGTCCTATGAAATGGATCAATACGCCTCAACATCTAATGAAAACAAACAAAAGCTTGACCTTTTTTACTAAGAGTGGCATTATTCCCAAACATGTCAAAGGTCGATTTGCCGGGAGCGGTTTCACGAAAATCTATATAAGTTGTTGTTTTTGTGGATCGTTTATATAACAGTACATAGCCACCACCACCAATACCAGATGAATGAGGATGAATGAGACCAAGACAGATCAATGTTGCTATGGCAGCGTCTACGGCAGTTCCTTCGTTGCGCAATATATCAGCACCAATATTTGAGCAAACTTCTGAGTCAGAAGCTACTGCTCCATGCAAGTTTCTTTTTGACTTCCTTAGCTTTTTTGTTAGTATGATTGACAAGACCACAGCCAAAACCACAGCTATGATAAAGACGACGATTATCAAAAGTGCCAACTTTCGTTTTGCGGCATTCATTTTTCTTTTAAACTGAATTACAAAATAATAATACGATAAATCACATCTTAAGATTATTACGGGAGACTCGACTGTATGTCGACTTCTTATGTACCATTTTCCCTATGACATACGTATAAGGAGATCAAGTACATTGATTTCTTATGTACCATCCACATTATGAAATAAGTATAAAGAGATCAAATACATTGATTACTACTGCCTCGATTTTCGAATAAGTGCAATTTACAATGATATTAATCTGACGCACACCGTTCTGAGAATCATATGATTGCCATATAAATATTTGTGCTGTTTTATTTACAACAAACTATAATGGATTGAAGAATGAAATAGACTTAAAGTCAAGCAACAAAGAAAGACTTTAGTTCACATCATTATAAAGCAGTAATAAAAAGATTCAACTCACCCAAAAAATACAATCTTATAACCTTTGAGTCATAGACTGAAACAGATTGAACATAACAAAGAAGTCGAGTTAAAATTTCTCCATTTGATCAAACTGTGAACAAACCAATGTGATAGAGGTTTGCATATCAACACATAACGAAATCTCAGAGAGATAACGCAGTCCTACGCAGTCTTACGTAAACTATAATTTGCAATGAACAGTTTTTCAGTCAGTCAGTCTGTAAGTCAGCAGCATTCACCTGTTGGTTGTCAAGATGCTAGAATGACCAATTATATTGGTTTGAACTTTGAATGAGAGATGATTCATATAACGCGGTTGTGGTGAGATAATGATGTAACATATGACACAAAGGATATTGGAAATTATAAACATTGGATATTAAAAACACAACAGTATTGAGAAATATCTTCCTATATTGAGAAATATCTTCATTTAACCCCATTTAGCTTGGCATAAAGTGCATCTCATAATGATTATGGTAATAAGCCATAAAGTAACTCAGTTCGGAAAAGTTCAATAATTATTCCAATTTGAAGTTTTCCTTCTTCCATTTATAAAATTGATTGCCTACGAGCAATTTAATTGCAAGAAAATTCACTCTGTTAGGCGTAATTTATGCTAATTTTCTCAATTTAACAAAAACCGATGACTAGAGGCTGTGTGTGCCAGACGGCATTCGTTCATCGTTGCCACTAGGTCAGTATATAACTGAGAGTAGAACAGGATTGATGTTAAATTATTAAATGTTTACTTAAAGCTTAATAAAACCGTCTCAATATCAGTATAAGTCTATAACATTGCTTGTATTATGATATATTGTAACATGATACTGAGATGATTTAGATAAACTTGAAAACAATGCCAATTATATCGTATTTCCATTTGAGCAAATTTCAGGCTTGGAAAAGGAAAGTAACTTTTAAACATCGTTCGCATCTCCGTGGATGATCTCATGTAAAAGTTGGATTTCCTTATTCGATGATCAGAAGAGCTACGTTTTATATTTATGGAACGAATATTCACGTATATTGCTGCGTTACTCAGTCGTTTGTTGTTTATCCTTCATGTCACTATTACAGTCTGGTGGTTAACTTTAGTGACGAGAAACGATAAATATTGGTACATACTGGCGTATTGTCTTGTATTTCTCATGCTAGAAACGATGGTTACTGTAGTTTATCGTAAAGGTCATGAATATTTTTGGTAAGTAGAAATAACGGCATCACTTCGTACAATTTTATAATTGAGATTAAAAATTGCTAGCCAACAAATCATCTGCAAATGTGATAGTAGATCGCATAGGAATTCTGTAGGGTATTTGATTGTATGAAGATTGAGGACAACAAAGACAATTAAAAATCTTGTGTCTCACATTTATCCATTAACGTTTCTCTCCTCGACATGTTGAAATACTGGAAATACAGACTAGTTTTGTTGTTTTGTTGATTCTAAGAATTGAAGGGCTTTTGAACAACAACAGATTACAAAAACATCGTTGAAATATAAGAGTATGTCCATTTTAATGTTACATCCATTGAAACGCGGATTTTTCGTTGAGGATAATTCACTAGTTAATTTACTTTGAGATAGATTTTTGAGTTTATTTTTTTACCAGAAAAGCCATATAAGTGAGTTAAATTTCAACCAAGTTATAAAAGTTAAATTATTCTCAGTAGAAAATTAGTTCAAACGAAGGATAATTAATTTTACTATAACACAACCTAAAACACAAACACCTGTCTAATTCCAAATCAAAAAATACGCGTGGGATAATGAATGAAGCTCGTTTCTAAAACAGACTGGGCCGTCCATACAACATTAATTGGAGGGGGAGTGGGGGGGGAGCTATTGATATATTAAATTGTGCCCAGACTGATTATTTTGAGAGCAATTCACTGAAGGTATTAAAGCAATTTACTTTCAAAAAAAATCAGTAGGGCACAACTGAATATATATGAATAAACTCGCCCTCCACCCTCCCAATTAACGTTATAGAAGCGGTTGTGCAAACAGAGGCATAAAAGAAACTAGTTATTTATTATTTTCAGGATTATATGTTTAATCGACTATAGCTGACTGTAAAGCAAGCATTTTCATAAAATTAGCCAGTGGTACGTGTGACATTATTTGTTTCTATCATTTTTGATTGGTTACTTTAAGGTTTTGTCCGAGCATTTTCATATTCACAACGGCAGAGATACCATGTTTCAGTGCACTGCGATTGAAATTGGGCAGCTGCCTGAGAATGAGCGAAACTGCTGACACAGAAATTCGTTGTTCAACAAACTTAACAAATAATGTAGAAAATGAGGTAAGATTGCAATAAATGCGCTTCTCCTCTGATCATTTACTTATACATCGACGTTGTCAAAGATTACCATAGAGTAATAACTAAGCTTTATCCCACATAAACAATAACCATCCATAATTTTCTATAGGTTGATGGTCTTGGACTAAACAGTCTTTTTACTGATCATGAAAAGATAGTGTCAGCATTAGATCAAACATTTGTACTTTTGCTTGTCATTGGTCGATGGCTGTTACCAAAAGGTCAGATGTCACGTGAGCAACTGTCGCAATTATTACTCATCTATATTGCAGCAGCTGCTGACATCGTAGAACTGACAGAAATTTACGAAATACGAAATGTTTTATCATCTTCAAGGTAGATTCAGTTCGTAGTTACCATATTAGTTATTTTCTCTCCATACTCCCACCCCCCCGAAATTGATGATTTACAACAACATACAGTTAACTTGCTCTATGTTATAACCCACAGCGTGGTGAACCTTCTCATTTCCCTTTGGTCAATCAGTCTTCTACAATTCTCTGTTACAATTCAAAATGCAGAAACAATTGCTCAGGACATGGCAAACGAAGAATTCAAACACGAGAAAGAAAGAGACAATAACGTAAACGACGCGTCTGCTATTTCTAAAATTGAAATCACAACCGAGAGAAGATCAAATCGTATCGCACCAGCTCTATACACCTATAAACTAGCCCAGAGGAAAGCTTTAGAGAAGCAGAGAGAAAGACGAAACACGATGGACTTAGATTACTTGAAACCAATAAACCAGGAAAAAGCACCACGAAGCACAAGTGGAAATATGAATAAAAAAGATAAAATTTTGCCAAGGATCCTAAAGGCTTTGAATCGTTTTGAGAATGTTGTTCAGAACTTCATCCACTCACATATAGATTTAATTCAACTTCTTACACCAATGCTACTACAGGATGGACCGTTTTTAATTTTACGACTTTATCTTGCGTCAAATTATGACATTAGTGACAGTAACATGTTTGTATTTTTGATAGCAAAAAACGCTTTGGTTGTGATGCTTCAGATCTATCGTATATGTGTATTATACTGTAAACCAAGTGAATCCAATGACGGCACCGATGACGATATCTTTAACGAGACGCACGCGGTGAAATTACGTAATGTTCAAACTGCGCATGCGTCTGTTCGCACAGCAACGCTGACCGTTCAGGCTGCGTCGAGATTCAAAAACAGAAGAAAAAAATCGAGAAAACATTCGCTGACAATACGAAACCCACTCACAACATTCAAGAAAAAACGTCATTTGAGTGTGGAAAACTCGACAGAAGAACAAGAGAGGAAAGAAGATAAAAAAAATCAATTTGAAGAAAATAATCTGACTATTTGATGAAACAAATAAAAATTCGACTATTAAAGACGAAGGCATTGACTCGACTATGAAATACTACAATGTAACCCGAACAAAGTAACAACAAGGATTCACCATCTTGAACCATATCCCATTTACAACCATATACAATAAACACTAAATTACAAACTAATGATTGACAAAATAGTTACTTGTGGTTTTGCAATCCCAGACTATAACTTACTTAAATCCTTTGTAAATACATGTGTATATATATATATATATATATATAGATAAACCCTCTGAATAATTTATATATTACCAAAACTAAGACAAGTTGTACAAGGTTTGTGAGCTCAAAAGGCAAAACAGTTCGTAGCGAGCAGTATAAGTCAAAGAAACATAAAAACACCAACGTTTTTGAGACGATTTACACTGTAAATGATTTGCGCCTTGTTTACGTTTTGCTGGCAGGCATATTTTGTGGCGTGCGACATGCAACAATGGTTAACCTCTCTTCAGATTATTCAGCTTTCGCCAGCTAAACGTTAACAAAGCAAGTCATTTATAGTCTTCTGTATTTTATTCAACAGAACAATGAAGAGTCCTATAGATGAAAATAGCAAGGCTTATGTAAGTCAAATTTTCACAGCGTAGCATGAGAATATCACATCTCACAAATCAACTCTTCATTGGTCGTGAAAGCGCGCAAAAGGATTGAGACTTGATCACAAGTCCACCATTAAAGTTTGATGGAAAAAGTGTAAAAAATTAGAAATAAAATTACGTGCATATCTAGTGCAGCAAAAAACGACATGTCGTACAACATAATCACCTCCCAGATTGTCCCACTTGTTTTTGTAGCACTGATATCCTAAAATCCAAAGCAATTTGATCTGCAAAAAAGCATGTCAAGAAAAATAAGTAGTCACTGTCTTTGTTTTGCAGTGTTCATTAAAACGGTAACAGCAATCAATTCTACTTCATCAAAACCATCCAAAATCAGTGAAGATTTAACTACTACACTCGTTGCCCATTCTAAGATATTGACCTTGGTAAGGTACAATAACCACATACAAAAGGATACATTTCTCAAGCAGGATTTTATCTTCCTTACAAAGCACGTTATCTTCAAGAGTTCTCAATAACAAAACTGCTTTTCTATAACGCTCCAAACACTGTTCATATGTACATGTAAAAAATATAGAGATGAATAGATAAAATAAACGTAAATTTAAAGAATTAAAAAAAAATGAAAATAAAGCAACTCACATGTCTCGGCTCTGTTACAAGTAACTCATCCAAGGCAGCTATCTGACACTAAATTTTAAAAACAATAATATTCAAACAGAACTGCAGTTTAGCATATTTTTTCGTTGATTTTAACACGTATTTTAACCAAAAAGCCAGCTACAACAGGATACTGTCATGGTACTTGTAAAACCACCTGGACATAAATGGCTTCGTAATGCGCAGTGAAGACAACTTAAAAAAGATAATATAAGATTTAAGTAAAACCAACCATTTCAAGAGCATGTTGATAGAGAAGCTTCTCCACTGACATCTACGTAAGAGAACACATTTAAAGAATTAAATTTGATGGTAGAGAGCATAAAGTAATTTGTAGCTAAAGTTAACAACATCAAAATGAAGTTTCAATTGATGAGTAAATTAGATGTTTTGTATGATATGCACAGTTTAAAGCACATACGTAGTAGACGACTGTGAACGGTTGGTTCTACATATGAAAAAAGATACAATAACTGGTATACAAACCGTTAGTTTTTCCGTGTATATATCCCTTCCCCGTATTGATAGTTGCTGATTGATCTGTTTTGCACGTAACAAACATTGACGATTTCTTTCATTAAGAGTTCGTATCACTGTAAAAAAGAATCCACATCATCATGATCATTTTAGTTTGGTAAATATACCTCGATATTTATACGCCATTCATGAGGTTACAATTTTATTTTACAACAACGAGATGAGATATGTTCGGTACATCTTTCCCTACTAGAACACATACGTTTTCTAACAGCGTCCGATGGTTTTAGTCGACCAAATTTTATTTCTTCACGAGCAAACTCCAATGTTGTATTGATTACACGAAGAATCTTGACACACAAGATCAATTGTTCAGCTTTCCTGTTATAAAACATGTTTTTGCATTCGTCAGTAAGCTGTTGCTAAATCTTACAACGACCAGCACTGACTGTTGCAAGATGAGCAGTAGTATAATGATTGTATCAAAGTTTCTAGCAATAAGTTGTTGCTAAATCTTACAACGACCAGCACTGACTGTTGCAAGATGAACAGTAGTATAATGATTGTATCAAAGTTTCTAGCAATAAGTTGTTGCTAAATCTTACAACGACCAGCACTGACTGTTGCAAGATGAGCAGTAGTATAATGATAAGTATCAAAGTTTCTAGCAATAAGTTGTTGCTAAATCTTACAACGACCAGCACTGACTGTTGCAAGATGAGCAGTAGTATAATGATAAGTATCAAAGTTTCTAGCAATAAGTTGTTGCTAAATCTTACAACGACCAGCACTGACTGTTGCAAGATGTGCAGTAGTATAATGATAAGTATCAAAGTTTCTAGCAATAAGTTGTTGCTAAATCTTACAACGACCAGCACTGACTGTTGCAAGATGAGCAGTAGTATAATGATAAGTATCAAAGTTTCTAGCAATAAGCTGTTGCTAAATCTTACAACGACCAGCACTGACTGTTGCAAGATGAGCAGTAGTATAATGATTGTATCAAAGTTTCTAGCAATTCAGATGTTCATGTATTTTTACTGTTTTGCTCTATTCAAAGATGTATATAAATTCACCATTGAAAAAAACAAACCTGTATTCACTGTTCACCAGTATAATTTGATCTCCTATAGCACTTTTAGTCTACAATACATTGAGAGAAAACGAGAACACTGAATTGTAGTTTTTAATAATCAAAACTATATTTCGTCAATCACAATTTACCTGTTTGGAAAAAGCAGATTCGGACAACACACGTAATGGTGTTGATCTTGTTTTGAGAACATCAAAAATAACGTCAACATATACGAGAGAATTTCGTATTCTTTCCAGGGCATCAACGTGTTCTTCCTAATGGGAACATTTATTTAATGATTTCTACATCAATGGGCCATGGTAAAAACAAGGAAAAATGAATAACCTCCATGAGTGTTTCACAGGATAACGGTGCAACTTCGACCATGACAGTACCCTCAAGTCCCGCGAAATTTTTCCCGCAAGATCCCTCATATTTTGCATACTCTGCTCCTGCGGGAAGTACGAGTAAAATAGCTTCATGAAGAATTTTTGTACAAAAAAATAAATTTTAATTTATGTCGTACCAAAAAAGGTAGCTTTTAACGGCTTCATTTCGTCACCATCATCTGAAAGTAAAGCGTGGCTATGATGGATATTTGAGAACAATTGGGATTTCCCATCACCTGCTCGTGCTAATGTACCAGCGTTCGGACTGCGATACGGCATGCATCCATTATTCTTTATGCCCGAAATCCTGGGTGGGCTCTCTAACGGCTTTAGCTCGAATTTTGAAATCGGACTGACTTGTTTAGATTTTGCTTCTAGTGCCCATGCCCCTGTTGTAGAGAGAGACGGTGACGAACGAGTCTTCATGATAGGTTTGTTCGTTGCCTTGGTATTCAATATACTGCTGAAAGGGGTGTCGATGCATGTTAAAGGTTTCCCCGGAGAGTAGGGAGAAAAAGCTGCAACAATAGGAGATAGAGAAGGAGACTGAGTCGGAGTAACATCCGTTGATTTGTTTGGCGATTGTAAACAAGAAGGCACGGATATACGGGCAGAGATAGCTTGTGTGAGCAACCTGGCCTTGTTAATGTCAAGTGAAAGTTTAGGTTTGACGTCAACGGCTATGGTAGACGATTGCTTTTGTTCTTTCAAACAGTTCATTTTCGTTTCTCTCATGGGACATGGAACGTTGGGTGATGTTTGTTCCCTGGCAACGATCACATTTTTTGATGATACAATGGATGAAGAATTAGGAGAGATATTAATGACCTTCTGAGTGGAAAATGAGTTTCGTCTTGGATGTGGCACCATAATGGGCGCTGACCTACAGTTATCGCTGTCCATTTTGGATGCAATATCCTTTTTATTGTGGACATGAATTGGCAACGTCGGCGAGGATTTTTGCGAGATAGATTTTTCACACTTAGGAGATGTGGAGTTTCGCGATGGGGAGCAATTTTGTATGTCACGTGACTGAGGTGAGAATGATGGAGACGATGACGAAGGTGAGCCCACAATAAAAGTAGCTTTTCGATGCGGTGATCCTGCCGTTAATGGTGAAGGAGAACGTTGAAATTTAACCTGTTTTGGCGATGAGCTGAAATATGAAAATGAATACTAATTATTTCAACATCCTAAGCACTATGACGAGATGCGATGTAAAAGACGATGTCCAAAAGTATTCATTATAATTCAACTCACTTAAATACAGGAAACAAAGGATCAGAATCGTTGGATGTCAGTTGACCTATAAATAAAACAGCTTAGATGATGAAATGCTATTAACAAAAACCAAACAAATAGCCTGGATCACACAGATTTTGGCAGTAATAAAACAAACATGAAGGTCAATACAATTGATTTTCCTCAACCTTTAGTTTCTACAGATGCATAAATTCCACACATCACACAGGTTCTCCTTATACATACCATCGCTTTGATCTGACAACGTTCGATGGTCGACAATAACAAAATCCTAAGAAAAAAATTTTAACTTCAAAATAATGATCTTCATTCAACCATTGTGTTCGACTGAATAAAAATCCAATTCACTTCAAATTTTGTAAAAGCGATGAAAATTGCCTTTTAATTAAAAACAAAGAACGTCAATAACCTCCTCAGGTAAGGTTTCATGAGGTGAAAATGATGAAGAACCAGGAGATCTTCCGTCTACAAATGAAACAATAATAAATAGTAATTTGCAATGGAATCATTCTTCTATCTACGTACTGCAAAAGTTAAACCTCAAGAAGATCAAAACTCATAAGTTTGCAAAATGAAAGACTAATCAGGAATAGTCTTTAAGTTTACCATAGATCGGAGGGCTGCAATGGTGACTGGAGGGTGAAGTCTCAGTGGGAGGTGTTATTCGACGAAAGATGTCTAATCTCACATCACTTGGAGTGGGATAGGCAGCATTCTGTGGAAAGAACATTAAAATTGATAATGGAAACTTTATACAAAGTTGTAATGATTGTAAGAAAAAGGTGAATGTTGCTTATTCAGTTAGTGATTACTTAAAACAAACTCACCATAGGAGAAATACTTGTTGGAGATATAGACGGTGATCTAGTGGGTTGTTTTCTCAAAGGTACTTGAACAGGAGCAGCTTAAATATGACAAAGACAGGAAAGTTAATTATACAGTTTGTGCCACTTGTTGTTCATATTGATTCTCTTTCTAAAAAGAAAGAGCGTTTTGACAAACAGGAATTGATATTAAACACGTGTCTACCATATAGGTGTTCATACATTGTGTCAAATGAAACACTGAAATTTTTTTTCTTATGCTGTTTGCACAAATTTTATAAAAACGAGAAACACAGTTTCATATTTCAACGTCATTTACAAATACAGTCTAATAATGAAATTGTGAGCACAAATTTACATACATGGTTTACGAACGAGAACTGCTCCGACCAAGAAAGGATGCCGGAAAAACTCTTCTAAATTTTCAAAAAAAAATCTTTGTAGAACAAAGCAAACAGCTATTTAAAATCCATTTTTAAAAGAGCTCGTCATAAATACGAAACAGATCTTACTAAATTCAATCCTGTCTTTTGGATTTCGTTTCAACATCCCAACAAGCAAGTCCTCGAGATTCTGAGATGTTTCATTTGGAATACTGCAAAGGATATTATAAGTAGTAACAATCTTTAAAGAATACTTAAAACAATAAAAAATGTCATTATAAGAAGGATAGCATTTGTTATAAAACATGATTTCATCAAGATCTTATGTACTTACTCGGGTTTAACACTTTTATTCCTTTGATAAAATCTCTTTAAATCTTGAGGAGATGACGCCTACAACGTTCATATCAGTCGTTGAGTAACCATTTTTGAAAAAGCTACTGCCTACAAATCTGATCTTCATGAACATAAACACAGAATTAAGAAAACATGGTATGAATCCATATTGTATATTCTCATGATCACAAAAAGAAGCTGACTGATGTAAGTTTCCTCCCTGAGACGTTCTGTTTATCAATCTTTATTAATTCTTAATCCATATCTTAATGCCAGTTTATCCAATGCCCAATCCTAATCCAAAACAATCACGATGTACTTATCCATTCCTGGTCTATGTATAACAATTCTTGTCAGGATTCATCCATCAATATAATCAATAATGGACGCCCAATTCTTTGTAAAATCTTTATCAATCCTAACTTATCCATCAATATAATCAATAATGGATGCCCAATTCTTTGTAAGGTCTATATCAATCCTAATTTATCCATCAATATAATCAATAATAATCCTTACGCAATTCTTTTGAAAGGTCTATATTACTCTTGAGAAGCGCCAACACAACCTACACATCTTATTCAATAGTAACGCTGACTAGGCCCAACTCAGTGCATCTAATCCTAGAGCACAACAATACAAGCTGACCACATTCCTCCTAAATCACAATATTTTATTTTTCTCAACTGACCACAAATGGAGCATGACCAGTGAGACATTGATAAAGAATAGTTCCAATACTCCAAAGATCTGCTTTTGCATCATACTCGCGTGACATTATCACTTCAGGTGCCTATGGAGAAAAAACCAAACAGTTAAACTTATTAGTGATATTTGAAATTAATTCACTTTTAGATTCTTCATAGGTACTGTATACAGAAGCATAATCTGACAATAACTTTTGTCCTTTCAATAAGAAGTTTTCACTCAATGCAAACATAGAAAGGAGATTTCAATTCTGTATTGTATAGCTGATAACTTTCCTTTAGATATCAAAATAAAACAGACTTACCATATACATTGGCGAACCACACAAAGTCGCTGCCATCATTTCGCCATGAAGAAATCTTGCAAAGCCAAAGTCCGCTGGTATATACAAATATAACATGCACAGTTCTCATCAGTTTAAAATCAATGATACACAAAATTATCTGGTAGTAAAAATAAATGATTGACAACTTTTAAGAAAATTTCATGCCAATATCTGTATATCTAAAGCTAACATTACCAATCTTAATCTTGATGTCAATAGGTCTGGGTTGTGTAATGCCTGAATAACTAAGAAGAATATTCTGAGGTTTGAGATCTCTGTGTACAATGGCTTTTGACTGAAGAACTTTCATTGCTGAAGCTGTAGGAAAAAAAGATACAGTATGACCAATCGATAAAAAAGGGCTCATACTGATTAACCTACAACTTTCTTACCAATTTGTGTCAGGAAAAAGCAAATTGTATCTTCGCTTAGTGTGCCTTTAGCTAAAAAGTATATGATATAGAAAAAAGTGGCCAAATCATCTTATCAACTAGCAACATACAGATATATACCATGAAGATAGTCAGCCAAATCACCACCATTACAGAACTATTTAAAGCAAAAAGATCAGTTAAATCAACAAGAAACTATAACATATCCATCCCTTGAAAAATATACTAAGCAGTTCATTTATACAAAATATATTGTCAAAGGCAGTTTCACACGACCATTAATTATTGACATACCTCCATTACAAGATTTACATGTGTTAATGTTTCCTATATGCATAGCAAATGAAATGAATGAAAAAATCAAACATAAATGAATACAATTTGGCATTTACTCACAAACCATTGAAAGTTCAGTATCTAACTATAAGAATGCGTTAAAATCAATTACCACATTAAAAACCATGAGGTATAACTGACTTTACCTTACAATCGTATAAAGCAACAACATTTTCATGAGTCAAGCCCTATAAAATGGATACATAACAGAAATTTATACAGTTATGTAAATGAGCATATTCAGTAAAATATAAAGTACTTTCCTCGGCCTTACATGAAATGTTTTCATAAGCTATTAAATATTTTGAGCTAAAATCTAAATTGTGAGCTCATGAATTCAAAAACCAACAAACTAGAGTACATACTACCAGACCAAATCTTCATAAACTAAAAAACAAACATCTCTCCTAACTCCTAAATCCACATTAAGTTTGGTCTATCATTGCTCATAGGTGTTAAGACATTGACTAAGCTACAGTAAAAATCTAGTGAGCAATCCAAATGCTTTCATAAAAGTGCTATCTTTATGAATAACATTCTGCAGTAATTAAACAATATCAGCTGGGCTGTGCATACTTCAGCAAATTGGCTCTTTGACAAAAAAGGAAAAAGCTGATTCTTACCTTCAAGATATTTATTTCTTTTGTTAGTAAATTTTGTCCCTTAGTCAGATTTTTTTTCGTTATCACTTTTATGGCTACTGCAGTGTCAGCTTTCTGTATAAAATGAAAAAAAATGTCAAAGAAAAACAATAATAGCGGTCAGGTTGAAAAAAAAGTAATTGCTTCATTACGTTAAAAATAAAGTCGATAAGATGATATGCAATGCTATTCCTAAAATAAGAATACTCAACTATTTCTGTGCACAAGCAAGGCAACTGTACGTATATTATTCTCACAACTAAAATTGTACCAGACGTGATATAATTGTGGGATAAAATACCTGTTTTCTCACGTAATATACGGTCGCGAAATTTATATCAAAGTTTATAACAAAGCCTTTCTAAACGTTAAATGTTCCCACAAAAACATATTTAAAAAAATTTGCGATATTTCTAACGTATGTCATCATATAATCTCGGATGTTTATTTTGAGTATGTCCTCCTGAGCATTTTTTGCTTTCTTACTTCGCGATGACGACCTTTGAAAACGACAGCAAACGCCCCATGACCTATTAAATCCTTTCGCCTGTACTGAAAATCACCAACAGAAATAATATCAGCCACAGCCATTGAAGATATCCAAAGAATTTCGGCGCTGGAACTGGGATATGAACAACTTCGGTTGAATTTAAGGTTAAAATACTATCATCCATAGATTATCTACTTCTCAAAGGCTAAAGCCTCTTTCATATAACTAAGTAAAGTGGTTTCAGGGAACTCATTTTATTTTTCAAGACAACTTAACAGCTGCAAAAAATATTGTTAACCATTGTTGACAAGATTTTGTTTACTTCGTGATCTGTTTTGAAAGGAAAGAGCCTGCTGTAGCTAATATAAGCGGAAGTCTAGCTACGTTCGGTCATTCTTCGTCTACTTTTCGTGACTTCCGAAGGAAACATTGGAAACAGAATGGATCATAGTCAGTGAGCTCTATAAATAACTGGAACAATACTGTTTATTATTACAAAATAGTTTCCCTGACGCAAACAAGACCTGGCACATTTTACTGAGTGGGTAGATATTATAAAGAAACTATCATCCCAAATAGTGTTTAAACAGTACCCATGATTAGGAAGTTGGATACCCACCAACTGTCCATGGTTGTGGCAACAACCAACTGTATGTACTAGTACAGATTAGTGGAAGTAATTAGCTCGCTCAGTCAATAATTTTTAAGATAAATCATCTGCGCATGCGCAGTCTGCTTGAGCGTGCGCAGTCGACTTGACCAGCTACCCAAGTTCATGCTCATGGTAACGATCAATTGCATCTACTAGCACCGATTTTGTAGTAAATAGCATTCTTAGTAGCAATTTAAGATAATAATCTTCTGCGCATGCGCTCTGAGCATGCGCAATCCACTTCGACTAATTGTCTACTATAGTCATGGCAACGACATCTGCGCATGCAACTACTAATTGTTCATAGTCATGGCAACGACTAACTATATTGTGTGGCACTTAAGCTCACTTAATCGCAAATTATCAAAGAAATAATCTGGGCATGCGCAGTAGTGACTTTAATAATACCACAACTTTCGTAAACCTTTGAATTTGTGTATATATATATGAAGCTAAAACTTCATATAGTAGATGTCAACTAGCAGTGGAAGCTGGGTGCGATATAGTATGCAGTGGCTTAGGGGCCCACACTTCGGTGGCGACCGCACTCTCCCGCGCACCCCGAGCAAAGCCTATCGCAGGTGATCTCGGGGTCTGATGGACGGAAGCTTGCTATTGCATCTCTCGAGTAGGATAGCGTGGAACCGAAAACGTTAACATGCGGCGTTCTAGTGCCTTGCGCTAAAGAAGGTATCGGGAAGCATGGCCCGAAAACGGGTTTTTTTGCTTTCGAATTTTATCTTTTTGTTTACAAGAGTTCTTACTGCAAAGGTTCAAACAACTTCTGCCTTTTTGACTTATAATTTAAACCATCTATAAAACACGTTTTATACTTGTTACCTTTTACAATGTAACTTTCTCATAGCTCTCTCGTGATGAACGACAGCCTCCTTAAATAATATAACTCTCATCATGAACAAAAGCATCCATGGTCTTTGTGGAAAAAAGGGATTATCTACTTTTTTATAACAGTTCTGTCTTTTTATAACTTTTTTATAACAGTTCATTTGTATCGTCTAAATTGAAACTCGTTTTCAACCCTTATGTTATAGAGTTTGATTTATTTTAGATAGTAAACTTCTTTTTATCTTGCAATATTTTCATGATTCAATCTAGAAAGTATCTTCTCTTCTCGAGTAATTTTGCGATTAAACGGTACACTTTTCGGATTCAAACGAATTCTTTTGATCGCATAGAGACAGTCGTCCAATTTATTACGTACCTAAGCGTATATAAAGCATTTCCAAATCACGTACAAAATTTACTTCACATGACCAAATTACCATCTATTTAAACGATTTATGTAATAAAAAGTTACCTTGACAACTAAAGCAAACCCTCTTTTTCCAAGCATTTGCTACACTCAAATTCATTGCAAACTCTTGAATTTCTCCCAGCGTAGCCGAAAGGAATAGGCATCAAATCAGGAGACTCATCTTCATCATCACAGCTATTTTGATTTCGCCCTTGATCCTTTTCAGCGTCAAGCTTATCTGAAGTGATGTTATTGCTTAAGCTGTGCAAAATGGGATTTGGAGAGATAAAAGGATGTCGGGGAAGCTGCTGTGCTGAGCATTGGTTACTTTTCTCCGGATATAGACACGTATACAAAGTATATGACATTACAAGACAGTAGCTATAGATTCTTTGTCACTTTAATTCTTGTTTTTCTTCATGTTCATTTTTAAGTGGAAGCTTTGAGAGGCAGTTAGAGAAGGAATATGTATTTGTCAATATAATGATAGCCATGCTTACATTATAACCTGTTATTAAAAATTAAAAATAAATAGCAAATAATAAGTCTAAATGAAAATTCTTCACATTAAACAAAAATTCTTAACATTTTTTTTCATGTATAGTTAGCACATACAATAATCAAAAGTTTATGCAGAGCTGAGAGATATCTTAAGTATCAAGTTTGATGACAAGCAATACTTAAAGTACTGCTTCTGAATTTTTTTAGTGAAATTGTAGACATGAAAACTAGTTGGCATTCTCAATTTTGCCCACGTATCAAGCCGTTACATTTCACACAGCAGGAGAGCTTTAACGGCCTTGCCTTGTAAGTGAGCACTCCCACAGATATTCTACAATTCATTTTATTAATTTTTATGCATTGTTCATTTCTTGTAGTTTTAGCACTAGATTTCTATACAATGCAAATTATGCCCACAAAACACAATGTACATATATAAATATATATTGCAGGTTATTTATGTACGTTACTTTCAAAAATTTTCTTTTCACAGTTTGCGAGGTGTATTTGTGAAATGAGAATGAGAGGTAGAGAAATTAATATTACTCATATTTGGCTATTGCTATGATGAAATTCATGAGTATGTTCTAACCAGTCTTTAAAGCATTATACAGTCCATCCTTGTTTAGCTGTAGACAAAATAATGGTTTTTACAAAATATGCAAAGACAATGATGGTCAAGACTGGCTTGGATGCGACAAATACTTTCAGTTTTACCATTCCAGCTGTTTACATTTACACTTTTCTGCTGCCCTCTCCAACTCTTGACATGATATCACACTATGTGTCTACATTTATCATAAATGTCATGTCCTATCCTTTCTTCTTAGTGTTTCAAAATTCTCTCGCGGAGTGAAAACTGATTGAACTACACACGCGTGTCTGGGTGTAATCTCGCGTGTCTGGGTCTGGGTGTAAAATTTGGCTTCAATTTAAAAAGGCTTTTCTATTACAGCTAAGTACAAGACATTTAAATTACATGACCAAAATTAAAAGTGGTGTTGTTCAAAGACATTTCGTATACTTGACTTCTCGGACCTTTTTGAAAAATTAAAAAAAATAAACACATTACTTGTGTGCGTCACAAAGGTTGTTATCCGGGACTTCAATTAGGCGTGTAGCGTCATCACAAAATTTGTGACGTAAACAGCAGCGCTTTCCGCATTTCAGTGTCTCTCTTTACAAGACGTTTCACAAGAGGAAAGACATTACACGTGCATTGTAAGTTTTAAGCTGTTTTTTTTGGATCTCCGTTCAATTTCTGGATATTTGTATTATGCAGAAAATCTACGTAGTACGTTTCTTATCGTTTAAGAACAAAACTTCGGAAAAAATAAACGAAATTGACATATATTAGGCGTTTCAATTTTTGCCGGTTGCGAAATTTGCGGGGGATCATTTGAAGTATTGTGAAAGATATTTTTGCTCTGTCGTTTGTTAGCTGTAGTAAAAGTTCAATTATATTTTCGTATTTTAATCATTCCAGAGCATTTACTTAAATACTCTGAATTCTTTAACTTTATTTTAATTTAGACAGTCACATTTCACCATACCAGCCATACATCTTTGGTATTTTTCTAGTCATTCCTTGAGTGCACTGATTTCGTGAAATAATACACTTTTTTTCAAATTCATAAATTTTATACTTACGTATTTAATTTACGAGAACTATTGAATGAATTAGGGAAAAGACTTCTTGATAAGAATATATTATTTTAAAATTGTAACCAGTGTACTTTGTCCTTGCCTTTGTCTTTGAAATTTTGTTATTACTATCGTATTATTCATTATTATATCAACGAAATTGTCATATTTTCTTCCATTTTTTGGTGTTTAAAATAGTTGTTTGTTTTTTAGCTGAAACGATTGTAAGTCATGGCAGATAAAAGCAAAGCTAAGCTTGGTTTTGCTGAAAACTTTGCTCTCAGTGGGGCAGCTGCTGTCATTTCAAAGACTGCTGCAGCTCCAATTGAGCGCATAAAGTTGTTGGTTCAGAACCAGGATGAAATGTTGAAATCTGGTCGCCTAGCTGAGCCATATAAGGGAGTCATTGATTGTACTCTAAAAACTTACCGTTCTGAGGGTATTCTTCCTTTTTGGCGTGGAAACCTTGCCAATTGTATTCGATATTTCCCAACTCAAGCTTTGAACTTTGCCTTCAAAGACAAGGTGAAGGCAGTATTCAAGATGAAAAAGACAGACTCGGAAGCCACCAAATTTGCCAAGAACATCCTGGCTGGTGGTTGTGCTGGAGCTATGTCTTTAGTTTTTGTCTACTCATTAGATTATGCCCGTACACGATTGGCTAATGACACTAAGGGTGCTCAAAAGGGAGGAGAACGGCAATTCAATGGCTTGGTCGATGTCTATCGTAAAACCTTAAAGAGTGATGGTATTCAAGGTCTTTACAGAGGCTTTGCACTTTCTTGTGTTGGCATCTTTGTTTATAGAGGATTTTACTTTGGCCTCTATGACACATTGAAGCCTTTGATCTTGGGAGAAGATGCAGGTAGATATTTTTTTGTTTTAGATCTATTTTGTTTTCTGAGCCATTGTGCAGCAGTTTTTAAATATTTTGAATATTTTATTTTATTGTAGGTGTTGTGTTGTCCTTCTGCCTTGGTTATGCTGTGACAGTTAGTGCTGGTCTCGCATCATATCCCATTGATACCATCAGAAGGCGAATGATGATGACTTCAGGAGAAGCTGTCAAGTATAAAGGATCCTTTGATTGCTTTATCCAAGTAGTTCGTAATGAAGGACCAATGTCCTTAATGAAGGGTGCTGGAGCTAATATCTTAAGAGGTGTTGCAGGTGCTGGTGTGCTTGCTGGATTTGATAAATTCAAGGCTTTATATATTGCTTGGCGGCTCAGTTGAGCATTTCCTACTGAAATGAAACATTTTCTCTACTAACTTCTGATGTGCTTTGTATGATGATTTGAACTTTACTCTACTGTATAACATTTAGGAATATTTATTATTTCTTCGGTGCAAAGTATTTTGCATTTGTAGTTTCCTGCTTTTAAAATGTCATGAATAATAAAAAAAAATTACAAACTATTTCAATATAGATTCTCTTTACTATTCAGTATTACAAACATTGGTACAGCACTTCTATATTATTTTATAGTATCACTCCTTTTCAAGCTATTTAGGAATATTTGTTAAACTGTGTTCAATATTTTACCACTTGTATTTGTTTTTCTTTTTCTTCCTATTTAATCTTTTGATGCTCTTTCCTGACTTTGACCTTGATGTTTTCTTCAGTTTCTTTTTCAATACCATAGTGTTTTGCTGAGTTTCATTTCCAGTATCCATGCTTTCAATGCCCTCTGCTGACAAAAAAAACAAATTGCCATTGAACATCAACACATTGAGAATGGAAGACAACGGTGAGTGTAAAATATGCGTAACTTTGAAATGATAAGTGGATGCATGCTGAGCATAACATAAACTTTTAAATAAAACATGCCATTTATATTCACATTGCACCTCTTACTTCACTATACCAGTGAAAAGAAATGCATTACAAACAAGTTTTCACTGCAGGGAGGGAATGATGATTGCCTCCCAAAATTTCACTCTTGGTACTGTGTAAGTCCTAAAACACTTTTACCATCATTAGGTGATCATCAATGATCATGCTTTACAGTTTACAATATCATCATTTGCAATATGTACATACATATTGAGCACTCTTATATCCTTAGTTACTTTTCATTCAAATTTGTATGCTATAGCTATATATATATTTATATGTATAAAAAACTTATATTAACACTAAACTTAAATAAAACTAAACTTATAAAACTTATATAAAACTTTTATATTAAACTTATATTTATATGTACATCCGTATATGCTCGCATATAAGCTGAACTCGCATATAAGCTGACCCTCTAAAACTGCTTTAAAATGGCAAGTTTTTTCAAAAACCTGCATATAAGCCAAGTATAATTTCTGCTGTATTGCAGAAATAATTTTACAACTAAAATTATCAAACTTCAGCACACTTTTAAATTCTGTGGCCGCGTGCTCACATTTGCCCCATTGGTTTGCTGTTCTTCTATAAGTCACGTGACCTTCGTCCCCCTTCCCACACACTGCCTACCAATTGGCTGCCTCTGATTTCCCTCTTCGACTGCCACTGTTTGAACGTGTTATTTCTAAGAAATCAAACCGTGTACCAAAGACGTCGGCTTCATCATTAGCTCTAGCTTGGTTACGGTTGCCATTGCTGACACACAACGAAATAAAAGTCAGATAGCGATGAAAACATGTTGCTGGAAAATTGGCATTAGTATCTGTCCTTGTGTTCATTTTGTTTTATGCGCATATAAGCCGACCCCTGATTTTAGCATTGTATTTTATACTTCCAAACTCGTCTTATATGTGAGTATATACGGTATAAAGCAAAATTTTTAGCTATAAAGCTTAAATTTGGCATTTAAAATGGTCATATGCTGTGCCCAAATGATAATACATTGGAAAAGAAGTATTAAATTGATGGCCAGAATAATACATGTAACCAATGTCACAGATGAAGTTTAATTTCTGATTATTTTCTAACTTTGGTAAACTCTTTACAGGCTAATAGCTTTCTGAAAAAGTTAATATCATATCTGGAGCTGGATTAAAAAAAAGTACATAAATTTGATTTTTTTTGGTTGGGGGAAGGAGAGGTATGTCCTTCAAATGTTCAAACATTTTTGATAGTCTACTTTTTTTATCATCCAGTGCTTTCCCTTCTGTGCAGAATCACAGATCTTACAAACCCACCATTAATTTTTTATCAAGTTCCTTAGTTTCCTTCTTAACATCCTCCATCCTACTCAACATACTACATGTTTACACTTGTAGTCCACTCAGTTCTTTGCCTGAACTAATTGTCAACCTAAGCAACCCTTGAACTTGAAAATTTCTAAATATTTTTGAAAAGTTACCTAAAATTAAATTTGACCTGTAACATTTTCATTCTTCATTCAGTCATTTGTCCATTATTGACTAAAGATGTTGAAGTGTGACTTCTAGTCAGGCATTATAAATCAATAAAATGTATGTTGAAGTCAACTAAAACAAGTTATATTATAATTATACCTGAATTGCATTCATATCTATCTTGAATATTTTTCTTTTCGCTGCTATCTTCCATCATTTTTATTCCTTCCTGTTGCTCTTGAATTGCAAGCAGTTTTAATCTATCTTTAGCAACAATCTTTTCTCGCTTTGCAGCACGTAATTTTCGCTTGCTTTTTGAGCGAATACTTTTCGCCATTATTCAATTCTCCTCTCTCTCAATGACCACACCACGTGCTCCAACTTGTTTACAATAGACGGATGATGATATTGAATATCCAAATACATAGAAACGTACATTTTGCATTTACGTGTCTTGTTAAACAGATTACGAAATGCATTGCCTGTGTCTTGTTGAGTATCTTCACCATATGAACTGTGTTAAGACTTTCAACTGATACAAAAAGTTTTTGACCAAGTTTTCAGCACATATTTTTAATTAATTATCGCATAAATCGAATGCTTACGTAATGAACCATATATAAACAATATTTTGACAGCTATTAGAAGGTGCATAAATTTCAATTGTCCAAAACAAATAACTTGTGACTGACAGTAAAGGTGTTTTTGCTTATCACGCTACAAGACTTTGTTCCTACGTATATCGCAACGACGTAAATTTTCAAAAATGCAAGGAAGTTTTGTTATAAGACGAAATAAAATACTTCAAGATCTTTTGAAAAGCGTCATATATAATAAACGTAAGTTTGACATTATTTCTGAAGTTTGAATGTACATGAATTGCTGATTTTAATTGTGTTTTTCATTTTATTACTTATCAGACGATATTCTTGCAATAAATAAACCATATGGTTTACCAATACAAGGTAAGACTGTAAAGAGGATAGACTACTTAAAGGAAGTCATTAGAATAAAATTTGTTTTAATACATGCAAGCAAAAAAAATGCTAAAGTTGCAATATTTTCAATTTCCCTTTACATCTGGAATACTCACATTTTCCTTTACTGTCAATAAATTGTAAAGATCTGTTGTCATACAGTTAACATATAGAATCAAGGCATTATAACCAAATTTAATTTCCCTTATTTTTATTTAGGTAATTCAAATACATCCATTAGTCTGAATTCTCTACTTGAGGATTTTGCCAAAGTAAATGGTATGACAAATGTACCAAAATTGGCACACAGATTAGACAGGTATTGTTTGTCATATTGTAAAAGCTTTAAATTAATGACTTTTTTCTTTGTCTTAAAAAAATTAATACTTTTCCTCATGCCTTTGCTAGAGATTGTACTGGAGTGCTTTTGTTGACAAAGTAAGTGAAATAAAACAATGTATAGACAAAAGATCTTGTATAAAACCTATCTTTGTAGGGTATGGAACGTTTATACATATTTATAAAATAAAAGCAACAAAATGCATGCATTGATTGGTCTACTGCTGTGTTTGCACTAGCCTGTCAAACTGATCTGAGTTCAACCAATTAAATCAATTAATCAATTAATCAATCAATCAATCAATCAATCAGTTATAGAAAATTTGCAAGTAAATCATCAGTACATTTTGGAGTGAAAATTAAAACATTTGTTTTACATTTTATAAAAATAATAAAAGTTGTTTTATAAAGGTAATAAAAGATGTGTTTGCACAGGCTTAAGCAAACCTCAGAGACATTTGTAAGAACTCTTGAGTAGGTGCACTGATCTGCTCCCAAAGTCTCTTTGTCTTGCATAAGCCTGTACAAACACAGTAAACAACTTTTATCACTTAAACACTGCATACCCATTTTCATTACAGCTCAGATGGTCAAACCATCTTTGCCATAAAGTTACAATACGTACAACTGACGTAATTTAATGTTGTTAATATATTCATAATACTTTCACTATTAGATTGTCATCATGGTCATTTTTAAATCTACTTTGAATCACAAATTTTATTCAATTTTTTCTCACTATTTTACAGGAGCTAGTACTACCAAGTGCAGTTTCTGTTAATTAAAAATATCTCTTCAATTTTGTAAGAATATGTTTAAAATCAGCAAGATCAGGTTTTTTATTCACTTAACATAAGAATTAACATTTTCAAAATGATCAACCATTAAAAATAGCGCAATTATTGAAATGCACATATAAAATAAACTCACCAGTTTGATTAAGTTTCCTTTTTCGCATGTTTCTTCTCTAAGACCATGTCATTAACAGTTGCCACAATTTCGCTGTAGATCTGACCAAGCAGCCAAGTTTCTTGGTGAAGCTTTCCGAGAAAGAAAAGTGGACAAAAGGTACTGGTGTGTCGCCATTGGATGCCCAACCAACAACGAAGGTGAAATAACAGTTGCACTAAAAGAGCGCGAAATAAACGGACGTTTTAAAATCTCATTGTACGAAGACAGCAGTCAGGTAATTGTATGTTAACGTTGTTCTTTCATCTACAGAAGTTTGCTTTATATTCTTATCCATCCTCCTCTGAAAATAAATCGATTTGATTATTATAATTCAGGAGAAACTAACAACAACAAAAACGAAATACAGAGTTCTCGCCCAAAATAAAAACACATGTTCATTACTGGAGGTGCAGCCCGAAAGCGGGCACAAACATCAAATACGTGTACATCTAGCTCAAGGTCTTGGATTACCTGTGCTGGGAGATCACAAATATTCTTCAGATAGACAAGAACCACAGGTAAAACGTGTGAACTAGCCAAAATTTTCCAACATTATACTTAACCATGTCTTTCGTTGAATTTAGATTATACCTTTGCGTTTGCTTCAATTGCTTGGATTTAAAGGTGTACCAAATACACATACTGGTAAACGAAAGATTCAAGCATGGCAAAGGGCAAGTATTCCACTACATCTACATGCAAAGGAAATTCATTTCAAAGGATTGGATTCAAAGCCAGTGATTATTAGAGCGCCACTGCCAGAGTTTTTCAGTGACACATTATCCTGTTTGAGGTTAGATCCATTGAGGACGGAGCAAAAACGCTCAAAAATCGAAAAACAATACAGCGAATTGAAGCAAATAGGAATCTCAACAAGTATCGCTTCAGGTTTTTGATAAATAAAGATTATGTTTACCATAATCTTGGTAACCTTATCATTATTATTATTATAGCTATTTGAAAGGTTAAAAATAATACGTACGAAAGAAATGAAGATTTCATTACTTTCTACTAGAGAAGGAACATAGCAATTGTTGGTCCACGTTCACTTGTATAGGTAATTACTTCAATACGTCATAGATAACGTCATCAATGACGGATGGTCACGTTAACCAGAAACGTCATGAATGACTGAAATCGTTGAACTGTCAATTATCAATAGCTTAGAGCATCTATCCCTTACGATGTGATATGAATTTTGCATAAAATATAAATAAAAACACACAAACTTCAATATGTGTACGTACAAAAGACTCTTCGTATTCCTTACAACGTCAATCTTCCAGTTCTAACAACAAGATTCTTAATTTTTCTTACCAAATCATGACCTCTTTGAAGAGACCATTCTTGTTGTTGTATTTCGTCACAACATTTAAAATTGTTTCTTAATTAGTCGCTCTAGTCTTTTAATTCTACTGGACTCAAGATCTGGTGACGCTGCGGATGTTGAAACATTGCTCGTGCTGGGAGTTGGCAGTCGTGAGCGAAATAAATCTAACATGGCATGTTGTTCACTTCGTCGTAATCCCTATAAAAAAATAGCAAAGCTAAAAAGTTATACATAGTTTCACTCACATAACATATTCTTTACTTAAGTTGCTCACAAACACTGGGTCAACCAAATTAACCTTCAAATGTTAAAAATTGGTAAGAGAAAAGATGCAAAAATTATGAGAGCATTTAATGTGTTCAAACCATTACATGTTTGTAAATGTAGATCGTCCAGGTTTGTATAGTCCTGAGAAGGACTGTTGTTGTTGATGTTGACTGACGTTTCGACAACCTTAGCGGTAGTCATCTTCAGAGTCAAAAATCTGATTTCAAAAATCAAATTTCTTATATCAAATTTCTTTTTTTAACTCTGAAGATGACTACCGCTAAGGTTGTCGAAACTTCAGTCAACAACATCAAAAACAGTCCTCAGGACTATACCAACCTGGACGATCTACATCTACAAACATGTAACGATACTCTCGGGTTCAAACCATTTACTTTGTGGTCAAACCATGTCAAACATTGATAAAATTTTGTCAAACAATGGACTATAGGTTTCATGAAAAGCTTCAAGCTTTTAAAAGTCATTCTCCATGATGATTTGTTCTGGACATGTAATGTTTAACAAACAAAGAAATTACTGTTGGCATCTATATTGCGTAATTAGTGTAAGTAACAACTATTTTCAAGCGCTCAAAGTTGTTCTTTAATGTTTGGAAGTTGAAAAATTCAAAATGTTGACCACTTTAAATGATGGTCAATGTCATAATTTCTTGTTCTAATAACAATTATTTAAAACCAAACGATTAAGGATTTGACAGGGGATTAAATTTGTATTATTTGTGGAACATTTGTGGAACATTTCGGTATGAATGGTGAAGCATGGGGATATTCAAACATGATAATTGAGATAGCTGACCTTCATATCGAGAATTTTCTGGAAGTTAGACGTGTCTGAATCGCCAACAAGCTTTATATAATTGTCTACAAAACCAACTGCTGGATCATGAGGTGACATCACAACCTATGACGTCAAAACAGTGAATCACTTACGTCATCTATGTATGTCATATTATAACAAACAAAGATTGATTAGTGACTGTCTGAAAACTAAATAAAAAGTTACTTCGAAGTGTCAAACGACGCTATTGATATTGGCTCTCTTGTCAAAAGCTTTCGCTCAAGACGTCCATAAATTTTCAAGCAAACCTATGCACACCGTCTCTAACTTTAGTTCGCTTTGAAAACTTCAATAAAAACGTGAAGTTTAGATTTACAACCGAAAAAATGTTCCTGTTTGCAGAAAGTTTCGTCAAACCGTGTATGTATTCCCCCGAAAAGTCTCCCAGAGTCTTCAAATTTCAATTGCTAAGTTTACAAGTGATGATCAAAAATTCTTCTTACTTTGACAATCATTTCTGCCTTTTCCATTCCTTTCATGACAACTTTTGAATAGCTGCAAGCAAAGCGATAATCAGAAAAGGACAAAGTTTTTTGGTCACATTCGTTTCATTTTCATTCACTACCTAGCTGGTATTTTTCTTTTTACATTTGTCATCAAACACGGTAAATCAAGAAGAATGGTCTTGAGAGAATGAGTATCTAGCAAAAGCTAAAAATACAAACTTCTTCAATGAGTAACTTTGTTTATAAAATGTCGAGAAAATCAGCAGTGAAAATAGCACTGAGATCATAAGAACTACTAAAGTTAGAACGATGAAACAGAACACACCAGCAACGAAAATCTTAACAAAAACACAAAAGAAAATCTACTTGTACAGCACAAATCCATCAAAACAACTTAAAGTCAAATTTATCGTTCCGAAGATTTTTGCTTTTTGCTTCATTCATGTAGAAGATGGATGAACTAGAACTCGCCCTTCACTATGGTCAACATAACAAAATCAGGGTGTCTGACAGAGATATGTTTAGACCATTGGTTCAGATTATGTTTGTTATGCTTTTGCAATAAGATATAAAAAATAATTATAAATTCATACCTGTTCAGCACCAACAGTACTCAATGGTTTGCATTTGTATATTTGACTGATGAACTTTGGTATAAATGAGCTGATCGATAAAAAGTGAATAAAATCAGTAACGCAGTAAAAAATATTCCAAGGATTAACGTACGAATACTTACTTAGCAAACTTTACACAGAACTGAGTGAAATATTTTCTTACAGAGGTTAGATAATCACGAACGACAGGCACAGTTGTTTGAAGATGTGATGCAATTGCTGTAACGTAACCACTTTGGTCTCCAACAGCTTCGATGTTCTGCCAGTGCACCTGAAAGTTGACAAACGATAATTTCATCAACCGTCGTTTGCTTGTGGACAGGAAATGATAAAGTACGATTGTTGATGCACAATACATGGTTATGGAAAGTATGAACTCCTCTAAAATAAACTTAATTTCTTCGTGAACATAAAGAATATTATACTTACTTTCGCCATAGCTATAAGAGGAGAATCACAGGCACTTTCTGTGTCTTGCACGAGCAGTTGAATTGAGTTTGAAATTACGCTATAATCAAGAAAGAATTTATTAAATCTACACGAACTTTTTGCCATTTTGTCATTCTTTTTCTTATTATGAAATAAAAAACAACAAATTTCTTAGATCAAATTCAACTCACGAATGAAAGACGTCTTGTTCTTTGACAAGATCAATCTTTTCAGCTAAATCAACATCGATTTTTTCTTTTAACTTTTCTTCCAACTGAATAAAAAGAAAAGATATTGACTAAAAATAGCATACAATCTTTATGTTTGTTTACAGTATAGCGTACACCCTATATGTTTAATAAGAGAATAGCATACAACAATATAGTACACACTTTCTACGGTTCATTACAGTATAGCATACACTCTCTATGTTTGATTACATTAGTATAACATAGACTCAATGGTTATTTTTAACATACACTCTAAATGGTGAATGCACATGTGTTGTTTACAAATATCAGTTTTCATAAATACCTGTTGTGTAGTTTCCAAACAATAGTCCGCTGTGCATAAGATAGAACATGCCAATATCTGGTCTTCCTTATTAAATTTCACTTCATTATCTTTTAAAATGCTTGCCAACCCCCCTGACTGGTTTGCTCTTCTACATAAGTTCAACAAAAATAGCACTTGTTCGTAAAAAATTGGCTGACATTCGTTAAGTTAAAACTTACTGTGTAAAAATAAATACTTCCATTTTTTGCCCCACTGTGAGGGAGTGTTTTATGAATAAAAAATGTTTCACATACGTTGGCATGTTGGCAAACAGTATTCTTGTAGCAAACTCCTTCAGATATTTCTGGAAAGTCTCCGTAAGCGAGAGGAGCGATGACCCAGTACTAAGTTGAGAGCATTGAACCAAACATTTCTTATAGAACACGAAAAGTTCTCCAGCAGAAGGCAAAATTACGTTGCTTCCGTCACCTTCCACTTGAGGAATTTTGTGCGTTTTGAAATCGGAAACAAAACGATCCATCAGTTCACTTAGATTTCTGGCAATGTGATAAAGAGTTTACAAAATGTAGACATGTTTTATTCGCCATTAACATGACTAACAGAAAGACGAAACTTTGCAAATTACGATGACAAGAGAAAACATGTATGACATAAACACAAGACAAGTTAAGACATGTACGATGAAATTTGAAGAGGAATCGAAGAAAGGAATCGTAAGACAACTACTTTGTATAAAGCCACATACCTTTGCAGTTTTCTCAAGTGAAAGTACCATGTCATAAACACAAGACAATTGAGGTTGTATATGACAATATGACAAGTGAAAACATGTTAGACATAAACATAAGACAAATGAAAACATGTTAGACATAAACATAAGACAAATGAAGACATGTATGACATAAACAAAGACATTCAAAACGATGTAAAATTCATCTCAATGAGCCAGCAATACTAACTTGTCCTGTGACTCGATGTATACATGTAGATGAGGCTCAAAGCATTTTGATATTTTACCAAGAAAATGGGAATCTTTTGTAGCTGAAATCTGTACAAATGGCAAAAACATTGACGTCTGTACAAATATACTGATACATAACAAAAACATAAAACTCAAGAAAAATACTTTAAGTTTGTTGAAAAAACGAGAAATATTCATGTATATAAAAACAAAAACAAATAACTTGCCTTGTTTTTATCACTTTCGCTAGAGTTCTGAAATGAAACACAAAACATATAAAAATAAACCTTTTAGTGTAAAGATCTCGTTTCATCATTTGTTAGTAAAGAATATCTATAAAGAATAAGGCTTGTTTTAAAAACTTTCTTTTACAATTAATGGTAATAATTTTGCTAACCAAGAAAATTATCAACGCATGAACATTATATGTTTGTAAATGATGATCGTCCAGGTTAACGCATAAACATGTTGTGTTTAAGTCAACAAATTAGTTTAGTTAATGTTGTTCAAAATCATAAAACATTTAATATTTGCAGTATTGTACCTTCTGAGAGTCATACAAGCTACCAATAAAACGCTTTGCAAGAAAATTCTCAAACGTTGAAGTTCTTTGAATGGCAAACAAAAGAAGTTTGACATCAATTTCACTCGTTCTCGAGGCCATGGTCTTTCCCAAGTCAACCCTAAATATGATCAAAATTTAACTAATTCTCTTTTTTCCCATTTAAAACAGATTGAAAGACAAAAAACAAAGATTGATGTAATTGATAAAGAAACAAAGGTTAAAGTAATTGAGAGCGGTTCACGTTCGTTATGACTTACTTTGTAATGCGACAAAATTCATCACAAAGTCGCTCCTCAACATTCCAGTCAAGAGGAAATGTTTCTTTGAAATCTTCATCAAATTTAACTAATGATCTCTTGAGCCAGGAGTATCGTCGATCTATCTTATCTAGCCAACCAACCTAAAATTTGGAAAACAAGTTGTCTATTTATACAAAGTATTACAACAACACCACACAGGTATGGTAAGACAATAACACTGTACAGAAATGGTAAGACAACAACACTACAAAAGTGAGGTAAGACAACAACACTATACAGGTATAGTAAGACAACAACACTATAAAGGTGAGGTAAGACAACAACACTATACAGAAATAGTAAGACAACAACATTAAACAGAAATGGTAAGACAACAGCACTGTACACAAATGGTAAGACAACAACACTATACAGAAATAGTAAGACAACAACACTATACAGGTATAGTAAGACAACAACACTATACAGAAATAGTAAGACAACACTATAAAGGTGAGGTAAGACAACAACACTATAAAGGTGAGGTAAGACAACAACACTATACAGGTATAGTAAGACAACAACATTATACAGGTATGGTAAGACGACACTACACTTGGTCAAATCACTACACTTGGTCCCAACTCTCCCATCTCCCTTACATCATCGTGGATTTACCTCTTGTGTATCACTAAAGAGTTGAATGTATTCTTGGAGTTGTAGATTTACAAACCAGTTGATTAGATCTTCTCTAAAATTACATTTTATACAATAATTTAAATGTTGAAAAATAAAAGTTTCTTCGGATTTTATAAATGATTTTTATTGAGCTTTCAACTCGAAACACCGAGTCAAAGCTCAATAAAAATCATTATAAAATCCGGAGAAACTTTTATTTTTCAACATTAATGCATGGACTACCAATTTTCAAGATTAATAATTTAAATGTATCAACTCGAAGATTCAAACTTCGTTTTGCAAGTCTTCATAGGTCCTAAGCATTGACATATTGTCCAAGAGTTACATGTTCATAATGAATGGGTACATCTGTGTATCCTAAGCATTGACATACTGTCCAAGAGTTACATGTTCATAATGAAGGGGTACATCTGTGTATCCTAAGCATTGACATACTGTCCAAGAGTTACATGTTCATAATGAATGGGTACATCTGTGTATCCTAAGCATTGACATATTGTCCAAGAGTTACATGTTCATAATGAAGGGGTACATCTGTGTATCCTAAGCACTATTTAAGTGAACACCAAAATATTTACATAGCACAAACAAAATTGCGTCTGGTTACGCTACTGATTTCAAACAGAAAATGTAAAGTTTAAATTCCAGTAACCAGTGACGTAACCATGAAGTGGTGAAAATTTCTATGATTTTCTACCAATAAAAGTTATGTTTCATATTCTTATGTATCTTACTTGATTTTGGTATCCAGAACGCTTACAACTAGACACGCTTCAGCCAAAAGGGAATTTGGTCCAGAGGAAGGCTTTAAATAAAACAATGCACACTTGGTTAGACGTACTTAGGAGTGAGAACAGTGACGTAGCCAGCCTGCGTGCAGGTTTGCTCATGCTATGTAAATTTCATATCATCATCATCATCATTTTTTATTATTTTAGAAATCTGTGTTTTCACAGTAAATGAACACAGAAATATTTACAAAGCATGAACAAACTAGGGGGTGAGGACATTGGGCAGAGTATGTACGAATGTAACTTGACAGTGGGGGCCTAGACATGGTATGTACAGGACAATGGACAGACTTGAGGTGGGAGACATGGTATGTACAAATGGAGGACAATGGACAGAGTATGTACGAATGTAACTTGACGGTGGGGCCTAGACATGGTATGTACAAATGTAACTTGGGAGTCAGGGCAACGGAGAAAGTATGTACGTTTACACAATCCAGAAGTGAAAGAAATGGATGGACTTTACTAAATGATAAAACATGAAAGCTAAATGGTATACCTTAACACCACGAATAGAGAGTGCATCTTCAAAATCAGCAAGGATTTGTGTTCCAAGCTCATTCTGTATTTGCTTTACTCTATAAAAAGAGAAAGGAATTAACAAGCTTGAAATTTTTTTAATTCGTTATATTTGGATGTGTGCAGAAAACGAATCCTCCAACCAATATCTTATAATATCTTCAACAACTGTAGCACTCCTCCTCTCTTCTGCATAATGCAGAACTCCCCCCTCCCTCCTCCATAATACAGAACTCTCCCCTCCCTCCTCCATGATACAGAACTCCCCCCTCCCTCCTCCATCAGAACTCCCCTCCCTCCTCCATAATACAGAACTCCCCTTCCTCCTCCATGATCAGAACTCCCTCCCTCCATGATCAGAACTCCCCTCCCTCCTCCATCAGAACTCCCTCCCTCCTCCATGATCAGAACTCCCCCTCCTCCTCCATGATCAGAACCCTCCCTCCTCCATCCTCCTCCTCCATGATCTCCTCCATGATCCCTCCTCCTCCTCCTCCATGCAGAACTCCTCCTCCTCCTCCTCCATGATGCAGAACTCCTCCCTCCCTCCATGAACCCCCTCCTCCATGATGCAGAACTCCCCTCCCTCCTCCATGATGCAGACTCCCGAATCCTTCCTTTATGATTATTCACATACCTTTCAGCAAGTTCAGCAATTTGCGGTATCCCAAAATATTTCTTGAAATGTTCAAGAACATTGAGGACCCCTTGTAAAAGATTTGCTACTTCACGATATTGACGCTTGCGTGTGAGAGATCTTAAAAAATCCAATCAGTTAGAAATGTTGTTTAACACATAGTGAATACATCTAGAACATTTGGGAACAATGATGATACATGATATTACTTGAATGCATAAATAGACTATGGTGGTAAATTCTCTACAATTTCCCACGCGAAAAAAATCAATTTAAAAACCTTTACAGAATTTGCACATAGCGATAAAATACTATACAAGACGATGCATTATAAAATCAATATTTAGTGGCACGTTATTCAATTCTTGTTTTGAACGAGCTTTTCAAACACGACAAAATATATAGTTTCAAAAAATTTTTTAATATATTATATCGTTCAAACTATTTTTTAAGTACGTTCCTATTTAACTACGTACTATTTCCATAACTATGTATTTTAAACTACGTTAAAGATATTGCCAGGCAGTCACATGAATCCCGTTGAGTCACCTGAATTTTTCAGGTTCATGAGACAATTGCTTAAATTGTCCAGCAAAGTGCGAAGATCATATCTTCATTTAATATTCTTTTTCAATAACCTTACACTTCTCTATACAAATGCGTCCAGTTTAGAAATTCATAAATGTCATTTATACGTCCCATACTAACATATCAACTTGTACAGGCATGATTAGAGAAATTTGTGTGGAATGTTGATTTCCTGAGTGTAATTTAAAAGCTCGCTCGGTCATTTCCCGAGTTGCATTTTAAAAGCTCACTTGTTGAGTGAAACACAGATTTCTTTCGATTTCGACAAAGTATTGAAAGTAAACAACACATGCACTCCTTTTAATTTTGAAAAATGAAGCAAAAAGGATTATCTCACAATGTGACTTCTCTAATACTGGACGCCAGCGAATTTACAAACAGTGCAAACATTTAAGGATATTTTCAAGTATAAAATAATCGTATAGCAAAATACGTGTGATAAATTGCAAACAATTCTACAAAAATCTATATTTCCTGCTTTAAGCAATAATACGATCTTCAATTTTTTTGCTTAACACGTTATTAAGTAAAATAAAGGATTAACAATAATTTTTAGGAATTCTAAAATGCGTGACAAAGTAATCTCGAAAGGTGCGAGATTATCCCACTTAAATGCGATTATTTGAAAATAACCTTAATATTTTAGTCCAAAAACAACACACTTATGTATGATTACGTTATCACAAATATAAAAATGTATTGAATGTCTGCATGGTTTTTAATTTCCAACAACTCATCTCTTTCCTTTTCAGACAAAGTCAACCTTCTTAAATAAGATTAAAAAATGCCTTTTCCTAAGGTAGCTAATCCACCACTCAAAAGTGCAATTAGCCATGTTCTCCATGTTCTTTGCCATAACGTGTACAATTTGCCATGTTCGTTTGGCACATACTTATCAAAAATTTGTAAAACAACATTTTGATTAGTTAGTTATAAACCCAATTTTTTATGGGTGATATACTATGTAATCACTTACTGTAAGCCTTCAACACCGCCGACCAACATATGAAGATGATTTAATGTTGTAATAGAATTTGTCAAATGTTTCTTCGCATAATCCAATTGTTTTATGTCGCGGGTAATTTCTTTCACCTTTAATTGGAAATATTTTAAGTTATTTTCACAGCCCCTAACAAAAGCTGGCACTTCTATGTTATTTCACATTATGTTTTGTAAACATTGAAATGATTTTTGTATCAACATGGAAAATATTTTAACATAGAAATGATTATGTGTTTCCAGTTGAAGACTTCACTTGTTTTGAAGATGAAAATAACAAACAGTGCTAAATTAAACAGAGAAGGGCTACAATGGAAACTTTTAAACATTTATTGCTTCAACGTTAAAAATAGGGTGAAAGTGTGAAACTCGAAAGAAAAATACATAATAAACTAGAAATAGCGCGTATAAAAAGAAAAAAAACACGTAAAACCATTCTTGAAAAGTAATCTTTAATACGAACTATAAAGCATTATAATAATCTTCAATGAATCCAAGAAATGAATCAAGAGTTTTTGCATCTTATGTTCTCTTTTAATAACAAAATGATAGTATACGTGTTACTGAAGTTAACATTCATAAAAAAGTGATCCCATGATGCATGCATAGCATTTCTGAACATTTACTTGAGAGATGTCAAACACGTGATATGGTGACATGACACATGGTGATATACCGTAGTATTATGTTAGCAAAGGAGAGATCGATTTAAAAATGTTTTTCTAAAGTGTTACTATGAAATTTGTCATAGACAATTGATCTTGGATGCTAATATTCTGTTTGCACAGGAAATTACGAGAAAGTTCCAACAAAAGAGGCTCGTTTTTCTACTCTTCAATATTGGTACAAACTTAATGAAAGGTCAATCATGCACTGACCAATATTCAGCGGCTTTAGTGAAACCTGAGTTAAACGTCCAAGCAAACAGAATACTAATTCTACATTTATACAATTTGGGCATTTATTTTCTTGCTTAAGCAGCTACTTGTTAACAATGATTTATCGAGTTTTATCAAGCTTCGTTTCTACAAATTATGGAGCCACGATAGTTTGCTTAATGATCGTGCCAAATACAGCCTAACTCGTTCCAAAGTCTTTCGAGCAAAGTCTACAGTTAAGTTAAATTTGAAGTGGAAATTTGTATGCGTTTGCATGGCATTCTTGAAGTTATCATGATCATTGTCACTGTTAAGCATGCATTGAAGAATCTCGTCTCTTTTCGGTGAAATGGACATCTTCAAACTATTTTCATCGCTATTATTCTATAAATGAAACAAATACAGTAAAAAATGGAAGCATGTTCATAAAAAGCAAAAGTGTGCAAAAACTTAATGACAACGAGAAATGTAGAGTCAAATTTTAAATCGAATAAAATCATGCAATTGTGATTAGATAAAAGAAAGTTTGATTAATCTTACTTTGCTCAGTTCTAATCCTTTTTCCATTGCAATCTTTGCATCTTCAAGACAGCTCTGTTAACCACTTTATTAATATAATTGACCCAAGCCCTTCACAACATCACAATTCAAACATTTCGCCATAATTTTTAACCAGAAAAATTGTCAATAAAAAAACGAAGTGCGCTTAGGTCCGGTAAGGTTACTTCGAGAAAACATTGTCAGTTTAATTCATTAATGAATTTGGCCAAACTAACGTTTATGACTTCTAATTATAGTAAATACTAGAGTAAACGGAATTTTCCCACGGCAACTAAGTGTTTTCAAGGTATATCGGAATTTTAACAGCAATGCTCTTCAAACTGATAATATCTTGTAAATTTTAAGTATTAATCTACAATTCATAGACTAGTATTTAATTAACCAACTTTGTTATTAGAAATACCCTTGCAGCCCTCATTTTATATATAGAAGAAAAACCAGAATTGAATATAAATATAACTTACACTTTCTCATGATTGAAACAGAGTCGCTTTTCGCAAGCAACTAACCGTTTAACCACCCTGGAAGACGCGACCTTTTTTTAAATTCACTCTCATTTGAGTTTGTGCTTGTTCCAAATTTCTATACATGGATTTCTACAATGACTATGCTCTTCAAACTAATATATCGCGAGCGTCAAGAGTTAATCAACAACTCATCGTACTTCTACGAGTTGTGTCCGAATAATTCTTCAACGGTTCATGCTCGAGTTATTGCGTAACTATATTTTCGATGATAAATTATCATAAAGCAGTTTATTTTTGGATGCGTAAAAAACACATTGCCCAGAATTGGGGCTTTTCACAACCTAGCGACACCTTTTAGCGTTGACAACAGAGAAAGTGCGTGTCGTAGCCAATCCGGCGTTGGCACAAAAGTGCATACACATAAAGAAATACCGACTTTCTGTGCGTTTAGCATCAACTTCGTTCTGACTCGTTCTTTTAGAAAGAGCATAAAACTTAAGTTTTTTCAAACGTGCGAACCATAACTATCGACAGACGAAGATTTTTTAGTACCGGACATTATCAATGAAACACATCAACATGCAGAAAGTATGTGCAATAGGCGAGGTTTGTTCACGATGTTGACTATAGAACGACCTTTCTTTCCATTTTTAGACATGTTTCATTACAGCTTTTAAAAGCGTTGAGGTTAGAAACACCAAGAGAATATTTTACTAAATCCGATAAACATAAGACATAAGGGTGTTAAAACATCATTGATAAATACCATTTGTTCCGACTTTTCTGCTTTATATTTAATGTCGTTAATCTTCTCAAACAACTGTTGAATGGCGAGCTGTGTTTCTTGCAGTGCCTAAAATAAAATATTATTATCTTTCAGCAAGAAACCCGAGCAAAAAGATCCTCCCTAAGAAGAGCGAAAAAATCAACAAGTAAAAGTGTTTGCTTCTGTAGTCACTTGTTTGATATCAGAAGAAAAAATCGTCAAACATTTGGAAAATTCTTTCTTGTTCGTATTCGTTCAAAGAGACTTTTCAGCCAAGGTTGAAATATATTAAATTGGCAATATTTTTACAAGTCACAAAGCTTTATATACTTTTTTTACGTTTATATTGCTATTTACACTTTCCAATCTTGACTTTATGAAATATAGCAATCATAAGACGGATATTCGAGGCTTATCTAGAATGTCAACAGGAAAATACTTCGCAGCATATTTTTATTAAATATCTGAGATAAATATTGAATTTACAGAAATTTCATATGCTTTCGTTGTAATGGATTGATATTTTGCTGACCACAAATCATTACTTCGGTGTGACATACCTGACGACCTTGCAAACCAACATCAGTTTGACCACGAATAACTTGTCTTATTTCCTTGTCTAGTACCCTTCATATAAGTTAAAACAGAAATGGTATAAAAACAAACTTTCCCATGAAAAACTTGCTTAAAAAGAAGGCTGGTGAGAGCCACAATACAAACTTTGCAAATAAAATCCTTATTTTACCTTATTCTGTAAATCATTTTGTTTGCCACTTCATCAAGATTTGTCAAAGACTAAATAAGGATTTGAACATCTCATGTTGAGTAATTTAATTATTCAAAAAAATGCAGTCAACACACTTTCTAGGAAACATAATGATGTTTATACTGCTATGAAAAATGAAGCAGACAGACATAAAGTATGTTAAAAAATCTTCTCACTGTTCGTATGTTTAGAAATAATAGATGATTTTGTTATTTTCTTGCCAGCTGCTCTAAACTTCTTTAAAAGCAAGCCCATGGTCCAACACAATCAATAACCACCTTACTATTTGGATAAAACCATAATATTTTGCATGCATGCATAAATACAAAATAAACCTATTTCACATAATCTTTTGCAATATGTCATCATTTCATTCATCTATGGAAGCCCCATTGTCTAAACATTCTTAACAACAACTATAGTGGAAAATATTTTCTGTGTTCACTGTTTACTTGTGATACCTGTTCAGTTGGGAACATTTTATTGATGTAGTCAACAGCATTGAAATCCTTATAGTCAAGAGGATCTTCACTCTGAAATATCTAAAATCATACAAAATGTTGTTGATGTATTGTCATTGCCATCTCCTGCCACGAAAATATTTTAAAGTTAATTTATCTTGAATTACTTTATTTTCTATATTTTTATAAATAATAACATCCTTAACCCATTTTCCATATGAAACCATTACGATATGTAAATTGTGCAGATTCATTTTTGGAAAAAAATTGTATATGCTCCATTCAGTTGGGTCAAATCATATTGCACCTAATTGTATCATATTGCACAACAACATGTCATCTTATAAAGTCCCTATTTCTAACATTTGTTAGTAATGTTCAAAGTCCATATTTATGACTTTGGACTTCATAAACAACAGTGGCTATGCTTTGTGTCAGTGCTTTCCTAAATGCTCGAAAATTCCTCCTCTAGCTATTGCTAGAGATTGCAAATGGCAAATTTTCAACAACAAAATCCCAAAGAAACAAAAAACATTAGTTTTCCCAATTATCAAATTGTTATAAAACATTTAAAATAGACGACAAATTTCTTTATAGAAAACATGTTTTGGCATAAAGTATGCCGAAAATGTCTTATAACCATTGTGCTCTCACGAAATTATGGAAATATTAAATTGTTATAATATAACAAAATTCTTTTCAAAACTGCAGCCTCAAGAAAAGTAATTTAAAATGTAAAAATATCCAAAACAAGATAGATCAATCCGAAATACATTCCTCAGAAAACAGATACAAAGAAGACTATAAATGTTTCTCACATTATTGATAACTGAATGATAATCAATAAAATCATTCAGTTTTTCTTCAAAGAGTAAGTCATCTTTGCATCAATTGTTTTTTAATTGTTTGCTTGAGAAAAACGGTAGATATCACGTAAGATAATTTACAGTGTAGATAATTGGCTGTCATTTTTTGATGCATACATAAAAGACATTTAAAACATAAACTCAATTTAGCCAATAGCACTTGTGATGAACGTGTTGCTTCCCACAACAATAAATAGCTTTAGCTCTCTAAACTTCAAACAACTTACTATCATTTGTAAGCTACTTTTGATAGTTCATTAAACTCGCATGTTTGCACATGCTAATGACGGAGTTTTCCAGAATATATTCTTCAGCTATTTGTACTGTATAGATTTTAAACATTTATCATACGATTTTCCTCGTCTAAATTATAACCAAAAAAAACGCCAGATTGATTCATACTGTTTATGGAAAATAAATGAAACAACACCATTTTATAAGGCATAATAATTTAATAAACAACATTATTAATAGAACAGAGTATTGCATTCATCACTTGCATTTCAAGAATCAGCTGGTCATACAAACTGACAACAAATAATATCGTTAAAACACTTGTGATATTCTAATTTACCTCTGAAATAGCCTGTTCCACCTCACTAGAGTAAACAATCGGCTTTAAAAAGTGTCTATCGCGTTCGTCCTCACTAAACTCCTCCGGTTCCGCCATATTGAATAATCACACATGATGTTGAAAGGACTGGTGACGGATTAGGACATTTCTACGAAAGAATAAATGAATGTTTATTGTTGCGAGATGTCTGGCTGAGAATTGCTGAAAAAAAAGTGTCTCAGAAATCAACGTCAAGGTAAGGAACAGATCTTTTTTTTAAACTTCACTACAAGTTATCATCATCTGCCCTTGATAACACTCGAAAAACGATTGCATTGAAGTAAAATAACCAAGTAACTCTGCGCTTGGCGTTGTCGTATCTACTTTACATTCGTGTATCGCGACATCGACATTCTCACATAGACGTGGCTTTAAATAAGCTATAACGTTTAGTTTAAGTGTTTTTATCTGTTGAACTCAAATATATCTATTCGAATAGTGCAGAAAATAGTCGTTTATGCGTTACTTGTTTAAAGGCTACTAAGTAATAAAATGTTACATAGTATAATTTATCAGCTCACATTTACAAGATCAATAGTCAAAACAAATTTTGTATGAATAATGCTGCGACAAAGAAGCACAGTAAAAAAATGTCATATTTGTGGATTTGAAACGCAATTTACGAAGACATTGTGGCAAACTGAATTAATATGTACGTGACTGTATGACTAGCATATCAAACGGACGCGTTAATGTATAAATATGATGAATTATTTGAGTTGGTGTCAAAGAGAAACTCATGCAACGCCGCAAGTTTTGTACGTGACCGGCTACGACAGGTTTATACAGTCTGTGTATGAGTACACACTGTGACAATTTGGGCGCAATGCATTTACGTATAAAGGGTGTCTTTCGCCGTTTTATTTTTAACTTACTAAAATCAACCCATTAAGAAAATGCCATTAGCCGTGTGTAGCATTCATGCTTCTATTTGAAAGTCTTATTGTTAAACCATTAAACAAAAACCTGTAACTACATGTGAGTGTATACATGTAAAGTTGTAAACCATTAAATGTCCTGTATTTTATTGGTGTTTCTATGGCATGAAACCGAAGTCGTAGAAAAATATCAAGTACAGTAAACATTGATACAAGGAAATTGACCGCCGATTTTTTCTTTGTTTTTTTTTTCTTTAATTTTTTTGTTCGTTGTGTTGTCCCTTATTTATCCTAGTATGATGAGCGAGATAAGTAACTGCTGGCAGGAATTTTCGTAATCTTTATGCTGTGCTGTAATCAAACTTCTGTAATGTATGAGTATATGACCTGACTGTCTAATGATATGCTCTCACGAACTATGTATTAAATTTCGCCAGGCATGCCTCAATGGCTTAACAAACACAAAAGCGCACGCAAAGCCTAAAAACTTTTACATAATGAAATGTATTAAATATTAATCACGGTCTAAAAGACTTACATCGCGATAGCATCTTATAATCTATGTTTCTGGATTCCTCGATGCGATTTGTAAAGTATGGATTAGGGCCATCTGCTTCAAGCGGACATAACTTTTTGTGTATTTTTTTTTCTGAGAATCATCATCAGACATTATTTTGTGTTTACGCTTTCTGTAATACCAGTTTTGGCTTTTTTGCAAAAAGCTCAGACATTGTACCATCGCTGGTGCTCGTACATAGAAAAACAAAGGCGGAAAGAAAACAGACCGGTTTATTTTGAGTATCCTTGTGCGTGTGTGTGTGCTTGCGTGGCGTGTTTGAGCACTGAAGCCAAGCAGTAACTCATCGATCTATACAGGTATGTCTTGTCTGCTTCTAATAAAAGTTATGCAATGCTAAATTTCTAAAATCATGAGCTGCTTTTCACGCTAATGTTTGTGTCGTGTTGTTGACTACTTAATATATTGTTTCAACAATATGATATATGTTTATATGGGCCGTAAGCATTTTGCTCTCAGTCATTAAAGGAGGATATGACTATAAGATAGCAGCCAACGTTTTCATTTCTCGACAAATCTTGTGGGAGTAGTCTCCAGAATCATAATTAATTTCCGACTCTTTATCAACGAAGTCACAGACAGTAGTTTCTTAGAATTTTAATGGAGCAAAACTTGAAAAATGTCTCCATTTTTTATACTACACAAAGGTTTTAGGGTAAATGATAGTCTAGTGTCTCAAAATCGACATTCAACCAACATAATTTACCTTGTATTTATGAGGCAATTATACGTGCAGACAACAAAGAATAAGAATTAAAATGTCGTCAGACTTTCAATTCTGCTGACACGATTTTGTAACAACTTCGATAAACACTTAGGACAACAATTCAGTCGCTTGCAATCATCTCGATGCTTCAGACTATCACGCGCAATCGCAAATTATTGTATGAAAAAAGTAAGTAAAGCCTTCGATATTTGCTTCTGACGGTATTATCTACTGCATTTCTTCTATAATTGTCGTCTTTTTATGTCATATGTCTGATTTTAAATGAATATTATGTATTCATAACTCTTGTCGCCATATCCAACTATAATGAATGTTTTCTTATCCAAATTGTTGGTGTCGCGAAAGCTTTTGCTAAGTTTTGCTCATGTATTTATGTTATTTCATTAATATAAATAAAGTATATTTCAGTAGCATCAGAAATAAATTAAATTGATTACAAATATAACATGAACATAATATCACATCGATGTGTTAAATCCTGTTAAACGCGAAATGAAGCGATTACTCACTCACTCAAAACAACTTTCGAGAAATGCGATGGTTTCTAAGATTTTATTCTTATAAAAATTCGCTCAGAAATACTTCATGCATGCCGCTATTACTGTCAATAATTTCAAAGTATAGTTTAAAATTTAAAACGTAGTGAGGATTTACTAAAAAAAGTCTGTCATGTGGAACAAACTATTCAACATTCAGGTAAAATAAACTTTTATCTCTAGAAGTACATAAAATAAAATCAATACTGGATATTGCTCATTTTTTTAGCGCACAGCTTCATATAAAATAATCGAAAATCTTAATGCGTTTCGTTTCATTATCGTTTGTGAGAACCAGTATTATGATCTTGTCGTGCCATGCTTTGCAATGTAATTTACTCTTACTAATTTGCACCGAAACAAGGAGTCTGCGCTGTTCATATATATCAGTCATTAGGATGGATTACGCGAAAATTGCATTTAGTACTGCTGACATGAAAAAATTGGCTGGAAAAATTCTTTAAATGACTGCGAAGAAGATAAAGTCGTTGATAAGCCTTATAGTTACCAACTCTGTGTGATTTTACTTGAAATTCAAGAGGGTTAGAAACATTTTGGTGTCATGGTGATGTAAGAAGCTCATTTCATTAAAGTAAATCATTTTCTTTGTAAGATAAGGTCGGCATTACTATATTTCATACAGCCTAACGTTGCACTTGTATGAATTTACTTCAAATTTAAATTCTGTTGATTTAGTTGTATCAAACAATTAAGACATTTTTTTATCTTGTAATGCGTCATTAATGAGAATGGTTTCGACACTTGATTGAAAATATGTTTTACATTTTTATTTAATCTAATGGAGGTAACTCGAAACATATTCTAGCAATGTTACATGACTTTTATCAACTGCATGTTGCCTGCGATTACTACAAAGATTAGACAAATGATGTCAATTAATATACAGGATTGGAAATATCGAGAGTGGTATCATGTTATCGAGTTGCATATTGTGAATGCAGGTTTTTGTCACAGCTAGATCAAAAGGTTATTCATTTGAAAAATAATGCATCAACATTTGTGTTGAGTGACATTGTGTTGAACCGAGAATTATATTTCTTATGGCGTGTCTTACACTTATTAAAAAAACTGCATCGCTATATATACATGCTTAGTCTTGAGTGTGTGTATTTAATGGCGAAATGATGAATTACGAGTTATAAAAACCGTTATGTGTTGCGCACGCACCGTTGTTGACTTGTTGTGCGTATATTTTGTTGTTTTATCGCAAGCATACGTCAATGTAGTCAGAAAATGTCGCTTAGAACCGGCAAAAATTATAATTATATCAAGTCTAGCTTGATAACTCGGAAACATTTTTTTATAATTGTGGGCTAAACCAATTACAAAATGCTTAAACTATGCATTTGACTAAAGTTTGAATTTAATTGAGAATTTTTCACGAACCACGAGTTTCACCTTTAGTGCTTCTAGTGCTATATTGAAAGAAGGACAATTTTTGAGAAACATTGAAAAGTTTAAAGTTTTTAACTGACCTTTTGAATAAATGTAGGTTCAGCGCTTATATGTTTCTTGGATTCTAGTCAAAATTGTACTGTGCTAAAATACATTGAATGTACAAGTAATATTTGAGCTAATCTGCCGCAGAAATTGAAGTTTACTAAGACTATCAAACACATTCTATGTAATCCTCCTGAACAATTGACGCATGTAATTAAGTAAAAAAATTTAGTGCCTTAGAGCATTCAGAAAGTTTGACATCATCCCACTTTACGTGATGATTAAAGTTACACTTTCATTCCTGATGAAGCTGTAACTTGTCACAATGATAAGCAATAATATTTGTATGGTTAAGATCTTCATCATTACTGTATCTACTGTCCATCCGTTCACCTTCCGCCCACTATTAAATTGTTTACGAAGTACAGCAGTCAACGTGTATTGCACATGAACAATCGAACGCCGGTCCCCCGTAGAGTGTTGATTAACAAATGACGTAAATTGCCTTATTAAAATTCCACGAATTTTCATTTGAGGATATCAACAAGTGGACAGCACGACGTCAAGGCGTTTTGATTGGTTTGTGCACTAATAGCCAAAGTTGTCGTGGTAGTTTTTGTGCACGTGTACTAGTTACTTGCTTCGAGAAGCAAACGTAAAATGACACGGGAATGACTTGTGATATAACTCTGTTATTTCATTTTCTTCAAATTAAAAGTATCGCTTATCTCATACCAGTTTAAAGATAATGCTGTTGCTTCAAATGAAAGACGTTCACAAATGACAAAACAACTGAGTTTCTTTTCTTACAAAGGACCTGAACAACAGCGTTAAGAGTTATTTGCATAAAATATTGGTAAGTTATTGGTTTTACCATTGAACAACGAATTGCACCATTCCAAATTAAAGTAGTGAATTTTGCTTTGTCATTGTGCATAAACAGAGATTGCTGGTATTATGTGTATTCATTGAATGTCTTTGATAAACCTGTAATTTCTAACACATAATACACTTACATGATGAGACAGGACAAACCGCACAAATTTACTAGTTTTTATTCACAGAAATAGTTGTTAATGTTAATTTTACTGCAAAATATAGCATCTGTCGTATACTATTAGCTCTGAACAAATAATATTAAAATGATTAAGTATAAAAACACTAATAATTAACTGTAACTGTTTGGATTGTCTAGGAACGATCATTCTTTGCGTAAGCAATATATAAGCTTACTTTAAAATAGTTTCAGCGCCCCTGTCCCAGAATGCCTTGCCATAAATTTGTTCAAATGGCTTTTCTAAGACAACAAACAATTCTAAAAATCACGAAAATTTATATCTTGCAATGTATACAATTAATTGCATTCTACATATTATAAAATTGTTGAATAAATGCTCGAAATTCTGTTTATTAGTTGCCCGTTTAACACAGCGATAGGTATACCATCAAACATAACTAATGTGAAACAAGATATGCAATTACATTAGAAAAAACCTAGACGCACTGTGGCGTTAATTAAACGATACTTATTTGACTGTGGCTGCTTACTTAGAAAATAGGTAGCACTATACTTATCTTGCACTATCTTATACACGTAGTAAGGCATTGTAAAAATATTCATAAATAATCAAAATAAAAATATCAATAATCCTTCGACATTGTGAAAACAAACCATGATGCAAAGAATTAGGAATGTACCCTAATTTGCGAAGTTTACGGTGACGTAGACAGTTCGCAAGTATGGTTCTGCTGTGCAAATTTTTCTGTGTTTACTTTTGAACTTGGGGCATTCTTGTAGCGTGGCTACCCCACTTATAAGTTATTCACAGGTTCACAGACATACGTGGGAGAAAAGGTCCATATTTCCTTTCTACGTACGTAAGTATCGCTTACAAAAATCCTCCAATAGCATTATATGCTGTTGACACGTGACTTTTCATGTCTGACGACAAGAAATTATCTCTTCACAATCTAATATTTTCAGCTGGTGAGAAAGTTTTATTTGTGATTGGCGAATACTTTCTACTTGTTACCTATAGATGCTATTCACGCTAAGGAGGATGTAGTTATTGATTTGCAAATCGTTTCCCCAATAATTAACGTGAACCGCAATTTTTAGTTCGAATTTTTCATTGTTAAATTTGAAGTATAAAGCAAGTCAAATCCGCCATGAAATGATTGGACGGGAACCGTATTTATAGACAAAATTTTGTTTAGAGCAAAAATTTATCTCATGAAATGAACGTAGAAACTTCATAACGATGAAGCGAAGCGTATCTCGCCGAGAGTGACACCACTGATTTTCTTGTTTTCAAAATATAATATACAATACACACAGGCGGGCACGTTTTATGAACAGGGGCAACATAATTTCAAAGTTCTTTGAGGCATGTGTTTATCACTGCTTTGAGTACAACGGTTGATATTCAGTGTGTTTATATTGATATTTTTACCATGTTTTCCCTGCGCTTGTTACCAACCATCCTCACGCGAGACATAAACGTGGTTTTTCCTATGATTTCATACATGTGTTCATAGATATGGTTATTTTAAAATATAGTCGCACGTGTAGACAAGTGTGTGATGAGAAACTCACTCGTTTCTTAAAAAAGACAACTTCACACAAGCATTGCGGTTAGAAAGAGAGAGTCAGAATACGAGAAAGATTGAGCCTGACACTTTTTGAAAAAGATTATCTGCGATGTTTTTCCTTTACCCTACAGGAAAACCACGATCAAATCTACTTTGTGCGATTCAGTGATCTTTTCCGCTTTAAAAGACGTGTCATTTGTGAGAAGCTTGGTGGACAAAAACGATGGTCGACTATAGTCGTCCAACGATGATTTATCTAGAAGACGAGCCGTCAAAGATGGGTGAAAGATTCAGAGCTTGTTTCTGTCCGAGTAGGGAACTGAGTCAAAGTCACAACGTCCATCACGGACATCTTCCAAACATGTACATGGGCGATAAATTAGGCAGGCAAAATCTTTTTTTTTAAATGAATTGTTATGTTTGTTAATACTATGTAAATCTTATGTGGAAAATATTGAAAATTATTGAAATTTTTATCATGTGGTGATTGAAGAAATGTATAAAATCAAAAATTTTGCTTTCTCATATTTTTTTCTGGAAATGGTGAAATAAGTCATCGTTTGCTTCTTATTACTTTCAATTTTTTGGTTTTCACAGAACGTCAGGAGCGTACACAACCTCCACACCTGCAGGCTCATCAAAACATGATCTTTAACAGCAAGGATCTTGTGACGTTCTTGAAGGATCGAGAGATCGCAGAAAAACTCAGTCCATTTTCCATCCCTGCCGTAACATCGACGGAGATTTATCGGCCAAAAGAAAAAGAGCACGCCCCGAGGAATGAGACAAGAAAACGATATATGTGTGATATATGTCGGAAAGGATTTCAACAAGTATGCCAACTGAAACAACATCGACGTATACACACAGGTATTGCTACTTATATACATTAATTTTTGAATTAAAGTATTCATGGGTTTATGATGTTGAGTATAAAATAAATGGAGTATCGTTACATCTTTGTGTCTAAGAACCTTTTGTATCTAAGAACCAGACAGCAAATACGGTTAACCTGGCGTTTACTCCTCATTTGACTCTGAAGATGACTACCGCGAAGGTTGTCGAAACGTCGGTCAACAACAACAAAAACAGACCTTCTCAGGACTATACCAACCTGGACGATCTACATCCACAAACATGATAATTGAGTATAGTGAGAATTCCGCATAATCAAGAAAGTCCCCGATGTTTTTAATTGGCTTGCCAATTTTAATGAGGGGTGCTAGTCAGTGATTTAGATTTTTTGCAACGTGGATGTGCTCGTTAATCCCTAGTAAATGATTAATGAGGACGATTTCTTTTTTCTGTAGGAGAAAAACCTTACAAGTGCAATGAATGTGGAAAGGCATTTACTCAAGCAAGTCAACTTAATCAACATGTTCGCCTACACACCGGCGAGAAACCTTACTCTTGTGAGATATGCAGTAAGAGATTTACACAGCTCAGTCAACTGAAGTCCCACAAGCGCACTCACCAGAGCAAGGTCGTACGTCACGGTTATCAAGACAACGGCCTTCGCCATACTTTTGAAGAGCTTCCGAAGCCGGAGAAGCGAGGTCGACCTAAAGGTGCTGTATACAGTCACAAGAGATATGGCTCTACGGAGAAAATGAAAACACACACGTTTACTCCAGGTTTTATGGAACGAAGGCAAGATAGCATAAGAAGTAATATGAACATCGGCCCTCCTTCTCACCTGGAGTATTTCGCACAGATCAATGCCATACAGCGAATGTAAGAAAAACATCAATTGGCATCTTTAGAAAATAATCCACATCGCCTCTTCGCGAGTTTCCTCGTCCATAGGAGCAAAGCTCAAAATATTTTATGTCCATTAGGGTCCAACCCTAACGAACAACGTAACGTTTTATTGTATAGAATGAAGGAGTTCGATGATGATGATAACAATCAAGTTACGTATTCACAATTTAAAGCAGCAATTCATTCTGATATTTTCCAATTTAAAAATTAATGACACCATAGTTTAGTAATCTACAATACATCTTCAACAATACCAACTACAATACAATTAAGTTTGAGAATTCATCCGTCTGTAACAAGTTTCGAAGCTAAACTGACAGGGAAAACAACTGCCTTACTTATATTCATTTTAGACGTTCAAAACGTTTGTGTTAATTTGAAAAAAAAATATGAAAAGTTTAACCGACTTGGGCTTAGCCCGTAATTACAACGCTAGTGTTCGCATATTCAAAATATTACCTAGTGAGTGATATAAAACATTTGTCAGCTATAATTTAAGAAAAAGTTGAAAAAGATTAGCTTTTACCATCTAATGGTCAAGGTCGATCAACTTAATGGTAGCTTTAGTTTCTAGATAGTCACACAAAGAACTATTTAGTTGTATTTTCTTTTCAATAGGCAATAAAGTGCAATTGTATAAAAAAGGTGCGAGTGAATATCGTTAGATTAACTATCCGATTTTAATTCTCATCTTTTTTGCCCTATTGTAGTTCTCTGTGCTGTTGGGGCCCCCCATTCTCCCACAAAACTGGGGGTTTCTCGTTCCGGGACTGACTTTTGTATCTCTATTTAATAGAAAAACCCCCAGACCTTTTCAGTTTGTCCTTCAGTTTACAGTTTCTGAACACTTTTAATACACATCTTCCTAAAAAGGTAGGGGTGTTTTTCCCCACCCTCAGTGGGCGCCCATGCCAGCAATATGTGGGGTGTTTTTCCCCACCCTCAGTGGGCGCCCATGCCAGCAATATGTATTGTTAATCAGGTAAATGAAAAAATATCACGTTTTATTTCTCAACTATTCAAAATTTCATTTATGCGACGATCCATTCTGTACACCTTAGAACAACAACCTTTCCCAGACTTACACTTATCGAGGAATTTTAAAGATTTCCAAGGATACAAAAATTTTAATAACACTTAACGTAAGTTTTAGCAAGCTACTTTTATGTACATAATAGTTACAAGCAAGGGTAACAGGACGGTAATCGTATAAAGGGGCTATTTACATGAAAATTCGTTAATTTTTCAGCTCTACAAGGAGGGTTAGCCCAGCCTGTTACGTTTATATGGAAAATTTCCGTCTCTACTAAGAAAGATCTCGCGGCTGGCAGAGCTGGTCCTCCTTTCATGTAAACGAAAAACAATTTCATTTGGAATTTTAATAACACGCGAGATGTCGCTTGGTAGGGCTAGCCCTCCGTGTTGAGCTTATATGAACGGCCTATAAGCTCAACATCACAAGTATATACAAAACGGGCAATGAAAGTCGATCAAACATTTGTAATCACACAACTAAGCATTTTAAAATGCTAGTTTAAAATGTCATTTAAATGCTAGTTTTTTAGGAATAAGGTTTTAGAATTTTCGCAATCATCAAAAATGGAAAGAATCGAACGACAAAATTCCCCACCCTTGAAGAGGTAATGTTTCGTTTTAAAAAAAAATTACAAATGACGATAGAAAAAATTACACTATATTTAAACCCCCACGATCGAACGGCAAAATTCCCCACCCTTGAAGAGGGAATGTTTCGTTTTAAAAAAAAATTACACTATATTTAAGCCCCCCAGGATCGAACGACAAAATTCCCCACCCTTGAAGAGGGAATGTTTCGTTTTAAAAAAAAATTACAAATGAAGATAGAAAAAATTACACTATATCTAAACCCCCCATGACTCTCCGCCTTTACGTATATCGGAAACAGCAGACAACAGCTTTGTTTTACTTTCGTAAGCAACAGCTTGTACAACTGACTTTCCTGTAGTCGTACCTATTTGATGACCTCGTTGTTTGAGGCCTCTCTGTACATCTTCGGTCATTGGGTTTGGTTCTTTATCGTAGATTATAATTTTATTAGGCGTCAGCTGATGATGAAGACGAAAACCATTGATAGCCTCTGGCAGTGGAACTCCCAGGTAAAGATGATGAATGGAGACCTATGATTGGTTGAATAACCAATGCCAAATTATCGTTTTGTATCACAAGTGCATAAATTCATAAAATTGAAATGAAACGTGAAGTTGTTGTAACGCTATCGTATTTATATTGTTGTACCTGCAATTTTGCTTTCTTCTTGTTAAAAACTTTTTCAAAACGTAACGTTCGAATCAATGAAATTTGTTCCGGAATGCTCGACGAATTTTTTTTTAAGGAATTTGTTTTTCACTGCTCATAAATTTGCAAGTGATGTAGGTATGTGCAGGTGGTGCGGGTTATTTGACATAGGTATGTGCAGGTGGTGCGGGTTATTTGACATAGGTATGTGCATTTGGTGCGGGTTATTTGACATAGGTATGTGCAGGTGGTGCGGGTTATTTGACATAGGTATGTGCAGGTGGTGCGGGTTATTTGACATAGGTATGTGCAGGTGGTGCGGGTTATTTGAAAAGATTATCGGAGGCAAATGGTCACAAAGCAAAACCAACAAAGAATTAAAGTTTAATATATCGCTTGTAATACATAAAACGAACTTACCCAAGCTATTGACGATATGATTTTAGATCCACCAGCAGCTCCAATCGATAACCTAACGTTACCAGTATTCTTGTCAAAGAAAATAGTTGGACTCATAGATGATAGCGGTCTTTTTCCAGGTTGGATAAAATTATTTTCTGATGGCTTGAGGACTCCTTTTTTCTTTCCAGGAGTGGAAAAGTCGTCCATTTCATTATTGTATATTATACCTGTATTCTTTGATCGAAATTTACTACCAAAACTAATGAAAAACACAAAATACAAAATTTTAAATCTCTTTTTCTCATACTTCTTTGCACAGTATTTTAAAAAACGAGATCAAGGAAATTTAATTTAATGAACAAGGAAAAATTGAATGGCTGTACAGTCTTTTATAAACTAATAAACAGATGAAAAGATGAGCGTGCAGGAAGGAAAGCGTGTATAGTGCTGTGTAAACATACAAAATATATAATGATGAACGAGTAGAAATGAAGGTCTGTGTTGTGTTCTATAAACTTTTATAAACTGTACAGGACGATGTTAAGATTTCAAACATTATCGTTAATCAGCATGTGCTATACTTACTGATAATTGATTGATCCAGTGATTGAAACAGAGTCGCCGTTAGGAGCTATCACTGATAGATGACTTGTACTGCCTTTATCTTCAACGTACATGTTATTTCCATAGTATGACACATTGTGTGTTTTATTGTCCCAAATCTTGTTGTACAATTCTTTGTTGTATTGAACATTATAAATATCTTTAAAAATTTTATCCAGCTAAAAATAAATGTGATTAATGTCGTTGTACGTTTCGTAAAAGGTGAATAAAAATGAATCTGTGTTGTCGAAATGAAAATGAAATTTGGAAAAAGCAAAATTCCGTAATGGAGCATCAGATATGATGATGCTAGTTGTTAGTCCTTGTTGGTTTTGCCAAAATGTGAGGAAGTTTATACCATAATCAGCAACTACATTCGAGTATTAGTAAGCACAAGGTCTGGTCATATAAATGATCAGAAACATAAATCTGAACATGTTGTACTTTATTTCTTCACACTAAAGGACCGATCGAGTTCTCTATCATAACATCAAAACCTATACTGTCACTAACCTCAGTTCGATTTATAAAATCGGGATCACCGAACGAAAGTCGTCTGGCATAAGCAAATTTCATAGCTTCTATGATCCGATGATAAGTCAAAATTTTACTTTTCTTATCCTTTATATCCTCTGGTGTGAATTTGAAGTCTAAAAGAGCACAAAACATTAAACAAAATTCTCTTTATTCTTTTACATAAAACTGCTTGTGGCTATGTCAGTGCAACAAAACTTACTCTGTAAAATATTCATAATTTGCATAACCACAGGTCCTCCAGAAGGAAGTGGACAAGATAACATGGTCAAATTCCCAGGTAGATCTAATCTCATTACGTCTTTTGTTGAGACTCCAACCTCATAATTCTTTAAGTCATTCAAGGTTATAATTCCTCTATTTGTCAGGAAATCATTAACAATTTGTTCTGCTAATTCTCCAGAGTAAAAAGACTCGGGATTTTCTTTTAATATACGAAGTGTTTTTGCTAAAGGTTCATTTATGATCGTATCGCCTTCTTTCTTCACTCTTCCATTTTCCTTTGTTAATAGTTTTCTAAAAATATATAAAATTTATAATCAGAAACGAAAAAACCTCAAGAACAATAAGATTACAGCGAAGTAATAACAATGAACTCTAAAATAACTAGGATGCTAACTTTACAGCCATATTTTGAAGAAAATATCTTCGCTGTTAGAAGGTTTTATGAAGACGATTTTTTGCAAATGATAGTTTTTTAGCCATGATAATTATCCAAAATGTAAAATGTTTGAACTTTAGTTCAATGAAAGTTTGAAGGACATCAGTAAATCTTGCAAGATGAAGAGCGAACTTTGTTTTTGAAATTAACTATTAAATAGCTACTGGTCGTTTCTTTTTATTAAAATGAAAATATCATTTCCGAGCAAAGTTAGCTCTTCTTAGTCCTTTTCATAAGGTTAGCGCGGACTGAATAAAACAACACAAACAGAAAATATTGAAAAAAATTGGAAAAATAACATCCTTATATCTTTCTTTAAGATGAACTAAGGCAATATTTCAATTAATATAACGGCGAAACTGTTGGATGCAATAGTAACTATAATACAATTAGAAAGGTTCAACTATTAACTCGACGGGTTCAACTCTCACACGAAAAATTCTTTTTATCCCCAAATGTTTAGATCTTCAGTGGAAATCACAAATACTAGTATTCTTACCAGGTAAAACAGTTCACGAGACACACACGAATGAGCAAAATTCCAGATAGAGTTTACAAAAAGTTGGCATGTTAGTTTCATTAAAGTTCACTGAAGTTAAAATTAAAAATACAAAAAGTCAAACAACATAAAACTAACAGGAAGTCTGGATCTTTGATGCGCTTCAGATTTCTTTTTATCGCCGCGGCCAAATCTCGAGTCACACGAAAGCCTTCACTGGCCAAATTAATTGCAGGATCCACAAGTTCCTCCCACTCCAATTTGCCAAACATACTATGCGCTTTAATAAAACCTTTAAGTTCCCCCGGCACACCCGCAGACAACAGACCTGTCAAAAAAAATACAAAGAAACTTAACATCAAAATTATTACAAATAGCCAAAAAAACGACAGTGGGTGTTGATCCAGGTACAAACACTGAAAATGATTCTTGGAAGATGAAAAAGGTGTAAACATGCTTGTTGAGAAAAGGAAGTAATTACGATAGTTGAGTTGAGGAGATAATTACGTTAAAATCAGAGGAACTTTTGTTGAACTTTTCAGAAAACTTTCCACTGAGATTTTGTGATCGTTAATAGAACCGTTTCTCAAAAAAAACCAAGTCCAATAAACAAAATAAATTAGTATATAATCAGTGTTTCCTTACCAGTCTTAGACAGTTGTGGATTTTCTACATACATTGTCTTGGTTGCTGCGCCTGGAGCCTTCTCTCGAGCGTTTATAAAGGTAGCATTTTTATTCTTTTTGCTGTACACCAACATAAAATGACCTCCACCTAAACCACTTGACTGCATTGTTACAACAGATATACACAACATCGTAGCAATAGCAGCATCAACAGCTGAACCTGATAATATTGAAGGTTAAAAAAGATGTTGTGACATAAACAAACTGGTGTTCATCAATCTCTTCATCACAAGTGATTTAATGTTGAAATATGTGTCTTTGTATATTCCGCGTATCTTCTTTGTCGGGAGTGATATGATGTTAGAGCTTACATCATCATGTAGTGTATTCTTGTGAATTCATTAGGCATGATGTGATGTTGAAACTTAGGACTATTTTAAACATATAGCCTAGTGTTTTCATTAGAAGTGACTTCACCTTGTATAACGAGTCCTTGCATACTCCAGTTTAGTGTATTTATCAGAAGTGAATCTGGCGATATTGAAATTTCTTATACAGTAATGAAGTTGAGTAAATAACTTGTTGTTGTTGAAACAACATTACGTACTATCTTTAAGAAACATTACGTAAATAATGATAATAAAAAAGGAGCAATGTTAGAAATTGTCAACAGTCAAACAGATGTGTTATTGGAACAAACCTTTTTTCACCAAAATTTCACAGCCAATCCTTGAGCATTCAGACGTATCCGAGGAAACAGAGAAATTCGTGAAACTATTTCCAGATAAACATGGGGTCAGATACTTTGGGGCCGTATCTTCACTGGCTTGTAGACCTGTAACATTTGTGTCTTCATTATCTTGTAGCCCAAAGAACAGACCAACAACAACACCAAGAATGAGTAGTAGCAGTCCTCCAGCTAAAATGTACACAAGGTAAACTTTCGTGGTAGATTTTCTGTAAATAAAACATACATCATAAGGATCTCACATAACATGAAATAGAAATGATATCAGTGTTTGTTGGTTAATTGAAAAATATTCAAATTAAAAAAAGGTCTTATGCTTTGTTGGAGTCAGCTAGGACTTTTTGAATGCTGGTAATTAAGTACGAAGAGATTGTATGTAAGACTTTTAATAAGGAAATGCTGTTCTATAGTTCAAAAGCATCTTAAGTTGGACCTACGACTGAGACAATACACAAAATGCGAGGGAAATGAATAAAACCGCTCATTGTTAAGCATTTAGTATTTGAATGCAATATGAATATAATTAAACATTCAAGAATAGTATTTGCATTCAATAAGGATATAATGAACATTCAAGCAAAGTATTTGCATTCAATAAGAATATAATGAACATTCAAGAATAGTATTTGAATGCAATAATGATATAATGAACATTCAAGCAAAGTATTTGGATTCATCTCAATCATGTTACAAAATACCATCTATTAAATAGTCCATGACTATTTTTACAATTAGTTTCAGTCCTTTTTAAAATTTTCATAATCACACCAATTGTTGTCACGAAAATTATTTGAGTATTATGAATTCCTTAATATATAACGTTCTTACGTTTGTTTAGATACGTTTTTGTGACGAGGAAATTGGCTGGCAACATTTATAATTCAGTACCATAACAACGCTATAAAAAAACTCAGCTGATACATTAAAAATTTGAAAATATTTCGAACAGGCAAGAAAAATATGTATGTAGAAAGCAGTCATTTGTCAAAGTCAATTAAACCAACATAGCCAGATGGCATTAACACAAATTCAACTCTACCATTGGTTTACCATAAATGTCAGCGATAACATAAGTTTTTTGCAAAACTAACATCAGACGACAACATAAGTCAATTGTATGGTAGAGTTAACTTTTGATGAGGCAATATTGATATGTTTTGACAGATTATATAAATATTCTATCACCATGTAAGGTGTGCTAATTTGAATACTATAGCAAGCGGCTCACCGTGTAATAATTATTACCACGCTAAGAATTCAAAGATATTGGACGCAATAGACATGCTATATTTATTCAAAGACTTTGAAAACAATACTCGTATTATAATGATATTGACACTGTTGTCGACCATACACACAAAGGAACAACACAGAGTCATTTTTAAAAATAAATCATAACCATCCATTTTTTTCTCGTATTCTTAATATTACAGTAAGGTTTTATACGGCAGAAAATAGTCAGAAATTGAGTGTTCCAAATCTTTATATCAAAACGAAAGATTACAAAGCAAAATAAACGTCCTCTACTCTTTGTAGACTGTTTTAATGATCATTCACACGATTATTCTTCGCGTATAGCGTACTTAAAACTAAAAAAGCTCGACACTAGGCAGCAAGTATTCTTAAATAAGCAATGTTCAAAACAGAGTCAATACAATCACGGACATCTATTTATTTTCCTGACATTCAAAACTTTGATCTTGTGCTGCACTCGAGAAACTATTGGACTTATTTTAACTGCACTTAAACATATAATTCAGCCTGGTATTGGCGATGATTTTAAAAAGTTATAGACCAACATTTGTAAAAGATGAAGAGAGAAAGGGAGAGAGAGATAAACTAGTGCACAACATAGACATTTTTAAAGCTGAGACATTTACGAATTAGCTATAACCAAATTATAAACGACAAAAATGAAGACAGTTGCTCTTATGACCGTCAGATGTAGAAATGGACTGACGTTCAAAGAAAGAAAAAAAAAGCCAACAGGGTAATCACTTATTCAAGACAACCCATAGCAAGTCTTCGTTCATAGCGAAGGAATGAATGTTCTTCATAAATTCAAAAAAGTGTATAGTTTCCTGGTACATAGCTATATACGATATATTATTGAAAAAACATAAACAAGTGCAAAGATTTAGCTAAGAGAAGCAAAATAAATTTCCTTGATAAGCCTTTCAGTCAGAGATTAGCCCAGCAGCATCACAACACTTTTAGTACTACTGCGTTTTTTTTTAATCTTACCGTTTTCTATTTTCCAAAACAATTGTTTTGCTCATTCAGCTACCAGCAAATAGCTAATAACTGTCTTATAATATTTTAATATTAAGTAGAAAACAGCCAAGAAAATTCAAGTAAATGATAAGCATCATGCAGTAAAAGCAAAATGAAGAATACATTTTAAGGAGTTTTATTGCTCTTGTGATGACTAGATTTTTTTCAATGGGACATAATGTGCATAAAGTTTGTGTTTCATTCCCAATAGTAACTTTTTACAGAAAATTACCAGTATGAACACAACTAACTCGACGTATATACACATTAAAACACAAAGCCTTTTCTATAGTTTGTTTATAGCACTCAATAACCCTTCCGTTGATATTAGCTGCAGAAAGCGCTGTTAGAGTTTAACATCATACAGTATAACACAATAAAACTACCATCCGTCCGCTATACACGTATATATATTGAAATCAGTTAGGTATCTTTCTAAAGTATATGTTTCTAGAGAAAGACATTACTGACGATAAATCTGTTAAAAACGTGGGCATAAACGACTAAGAACAACAAGTAGAGTTTACTACAAAATAATTTGCTTCCATTCATTGGCATTCAATATACACAAACCAATATTTGATATACTGTGCTCGAGCATCAACATTGTAAGGTCAACAATAATTTTTGCGTAGCTAATATCGATCGGTAGTAAATTAAAAACATACCTTTTTGATTTATCTTTGATAGAATTTGGTTCGATAAAATCGACATGTTCCTCTAAAGGCTTTTGGTCAACCATGTTGTCAGTGTGTAACCTTCGAAGACAAAAACTCAAATAAATCTCTGAGCACCAACTCGCATGTGACTCTTCACAATCACAATTTGTAAGGTGGCGTAAAAAATCGTCTACGCGTGACTACACAAGAATAATACAACAATAGAACATATGGTCTACAATGATTCACCAACGTTTTGTTCTAATTTCAATTATTTGTTTTCCGTCCGCTGGTAATGAGTAAAATTATTCTTTAATTATACAGGTGGAAAGGAAATGGAATGAATTTCAAGGTAAGAACAAACAGTCTGGTCTTTTAGCCAAAACGTCATAACATCATCTCTATTTTCAATAGCATTTAATCTTTAAACACCTGATACCAAAATATTTTAAATTTTGAGGGAATTAAAGAATTATAGAAAAGATTTATCTAAAGCTTTACTTTAAACAAGTTATCTCTTGCTGTGCCTGTTACTTCAGAGTTCAGAGGTTTGCAAAATGATAAAAACATACCAATTTTATTCTAACTTTGCTTAGTTGACAGCAAGCTGTACTTGAAAACAGAGCAGCTTTAGCAAAAAGGAAATGAAGAGTCATTTAAAGGACAATGTAAATCACAATCTTTGATCACATAATTAAAAATGGTAGAAACAATAACAGAAAAAAGTCATGGGGTCATTGAATGTCACCCACAATGCCACCCACTAACTACGCGTATAAAGAAAAATCATCATTTCATTTGGACAGGTGACCAGAAAGTAATAAGTATAACAGTTAAGATTAATGGCAGATGTGCTCGTGTCGCGACACAAGTAATGTTGAAATTATGTAATTTTTAAACTTACAAGACGAGTGTCAGACGCTCGAGTAATATTTGAATATTTCCATTTGAAATTTCACCTAACTGAAATACTCATAAACATTGAGAAATACGAATCATTAATTGTACAAACATAAGGACAACAGCTTAGGAACAATACATATGGTGAAGACTTGTTTATTGATACAATTCCATAATCTCGCGAATAACAAAAACAGAAGTATACAATTCTTAAAATATTTTCGATGATTCGATCGATAACCTTCATCTATTAAGGTGGTACAATAAAGACAAATAGCACACAATTTTAGACAAACTTGTATTTTTAGTGCAAAAGTAATATGAAAGTGTTACCTATTGAATATTATGGCCAGACTTTGTTCAACCAGTTGTATTTTACACTCTCAACAACAATAATGAATTAGCAAAAGAAAACGTAATGATGGGTTTGAAGTATGCATTTGAAAAATAATTTTTAAAGAAATACTTAAGTAAGGTGGGCATTATACATCATACAAAATTTCCGTTATTACATTGAGCAATAATAACGAATACTAATAACTAATTTTGTCCCAGATAAAAATATAACATAAAAACAAAACTCTTTGTTTTTATGTTATACTTGATATTTCAATAGCTATACCCTGCATATGACGTTATTCCGGAGTATGTGAAGTCACGAGTCATATATCGGCTTGTTTGACTTGTTTGTTATTGTTAGTTGTGGTCGTGTAGTTTGTGCAATTGTGCCCAGGGCTTGGAAACAAGCAAGACACTCCCTTTATTCATTTGCGATTAATGTTGTAAGAAACTTGTATATTGATTCATTAAAATAAATTTCTTTTCGAGATGTCACGACTAGTTGCCAAGCCCTGCAACAAACTTTATATTTTTGCCAATTGACATGACATTTTTCCTTGAAACCAAGTTACGTTGAAAAAAGAACCATTTCCAAACTTAAAATAATGCTCTCCAACAAACAATACAGCAACCTGAGACTAACAAATATCTTTGGAGAGGAAGGAGCTGGAAGCCTGTCGATATTGAGCTTTAAGTTTCTTTGTTAAACCTACGGTTGCTTCAAAAGCGTTTCAGCACAAATCATTCACAAAGTATATCAACGTTTGATGCATTGATTACGAGAAACTGTTTCATTTGAATTAAAAAGAATGGCTTATTTTATTGTAAACATTGATGGTTAACACCAGCATGTTAACAGGTGTTCATGTGTTGAAGGTATCATCACAGCTAAGAAAAGTTTGAGAAGTTTGTACGCGCAGACGTCTGAAGCAACACATAGTAATTATACAAAAGACGAAGAATTGACTTTGGGCACAAACATGAAAGTGGATAAAATAATCAACCATACAAACGAAATTCTCTATCTGGAGATAAAGAAATTCTCTTTTAGGCATCTCCATGAATAGAGATAAAGATCAATTGTCAAGTCCGAAATCTATGGATAAAATTCTAAGTCCCATCAAATGGAATTTACGTTGACGACAAAAAAGCAGTCCATTCAAAGCCAACTGGTATCTTCTTTAACAAAATCAATTACAGATAAATTAATAAGTCCTCAGTATGAATATACAATAAAGATGTAAATATAAGCCCATACTAAGATGTGCAAGCAACAGATGAATATACGTGCACAAATGTCTAGATGAATTTTCTTCCTATCGTCTTTAGCAAAAGGAGGAAGAAGAATTTAAAGACGTCAATTTACAATAAACAGAATCTAGCAAACTTACAGTTAGCAAAGCCTTTTAGTCCAACCGTTTCCGCTATTAGTTATTCAGGAAGAGTTAAATGCGCCGTCACTGCATTATATACAAAACTGGTAGCTCTATTATCGCTTTCTTTTGACCAGATCGTCTGACGAGAACAGATACATTTCATTTGGATCTGTCATCACAAACATTATCAAAAACTGAGCAACAATATTGAAGAAGAAAAAATTACTACAATAAAACATCCTCATTTTTACATCTGTCAAAGGTAAACAAAAATAGAATTTTTAATGCGTACAGTTGAAGCATCGGTACGACAATTTCGAAATCTTCATTTATAAAATTTCCAAGTTGCAACATAAAATACGACGCAATTCCTCGACATATTGCTACCATATAAAGAGGAGAGATTTCCCAACTTCTTTATTTGTTCAAACAAAGTAAAAAAATTGGATCCAATTTAAGATTCTAGAGATTTCATTTACTTGAATGAAAACCTATTACATCGAATTGCGGACTCGTGTATTCATTTGTGATATGCATGCATTGACCGTAATTTTCCCTGTGTCCCAATATGTTTCGATGAGATGGAGCGGGGTGGGGGCAGTAAAGAAGACAGACATTATCATGTAAAAATGGAATAACTGCTTGTATCATAATTACATAACAACGCTTGAAAGTTGTTGTTTCACTGACATACTGCACTATTTTTTCCACAACAAAATAACGTCTCAAACGACTTAAAAATCAAAAATACATTCTTGAGACAAAGGTGTAGGTAAAGGTAACATTTGATATGCTTCATTATTTTTCTTAAGTTCTCGTGCGTTTTGTTTACAATAAAACCTTTTGTCCTTTTTCGTAATAATTGAAAAAACATATAAGGACGCCACAAAACATCTTGGTAATGAAAATGTTAACGACCTTTTGTAGAACCGTTTGAAATTTGAGCTATCGTACTAAATGTGGCGACAGAAGGGGAATAAGTTCTGTAACTTAATATTCATATCACAAGTGATTTCAACATACAAAATGATTAACAAGAAGGAAACATTAACTAATACTTAAACAAATACGATTGTGTATGTAACCATATAATATATGTACTTTTAATACTCTTGTTGATATTTAGTTTGAATACTTATCGCACGAATGATCAACCAAGAGGATGTACGTTTTGAACATAAAGGATTGATGCAAATTTAGTCCATAACATTCGACTTCACATTTGTGAAAGCTTTAAAACTATAAATAAATCCACAGAACATGGAAAATGGTGGACACATAGGATCTGCAAACAGTCTGGCGCTGGCAAGAATGGAAAAAGGAAAATATAATGTGGAAAGGTATAGACAATTAACAGTGTCTGGTTTACATCAGGATTGTTCCCATGTGAGGACGTTATACATACGGTTATATAAACATCTTATTTTTTATGTTTTCATTTGTACCCCATGGTGTTTATGTTTACGAAGAAAATATTCTTAAGATGAAGTGCGCGGCTATACGATGTTGAAAAATCTAAGGAAAAAGTTATATGAAGTTTAAAACACGTCAAAAGCGTTTCGATTCCTTTCATACACTCAAGTGTATGAATGGTAAAATGACACTTATTAACAGACATTGAGTAATGTGCATTTCATAATAAATCATAAAGAAAACAACGTTTGTAATAAAATAGTCAACAGAAATATTTCATTAGTTGATTCATTTTGGCATGATCTGATTGTAATGATGTGTTTGGCATGAAATGCAAATCACTTCAATTATTCACTGTTTTGATAAAACGCTTAATTACTCTCATCAACCAATTACTGGACAAATTACTAATTCCATAGAAAAACTAATGATGCACATATTTTTGTTACTAAGATAATTTTACTAATGTATTATCGTTACATTCAACCATCTACCGCAATGGACTTTGCTTAAGTGCGGCTTTTATTAAAGTCTTCAAAATTTAAAACACTCAAATCTAGCAAAATGTTTCAGCATTTAACTAATCAACTTTATAATTAAATTTACATAACCACATTCGCCAACTAGGATGAGCGATAAATGCAAGATAAATCACACTTGTCATTATAACATTTCAATATCACGTGACATTTAAAAAATTTAATTGATAACAGCACATAACATTTAAAAGATTTGTTTTCAACGCTTGCAATGGTACGTGACCTTGCTAACAACTTTTTATTTTAATATAAAAGGCTCTTAGAACAGACTTAACATTCAGGTACAAATCTGTTTATCCTTAACCGAAATATGCGACACGATTGCTCTATGTTTAAAATGCATTGCGAATTACAAAATAAAACAGATTCCGAAAACAGACATGTCGTTTTCTTGATATTCAAGATGATACAAGAGTTTTAGACAACAGATTGTGTAATATTTCGTCTTCATTCCAAAGACATCGTCGAACTAATGAGTCTAATGAGTCTGACGATGTCTTTGGAATAAATACGGAATATTACACCATCTTTCGTTTAAAACTCTTGTATTATCTTGACTATCAAGAAAACGACATGTCGGTTTTCGGAATTTTATTTTGCGAAATACTAGTCAGTAACATGCCATGCAAGAAACGACTTCGTATAATAAAGACAATTGACCACATGAAATTTTTAGCATAGGCATTTGAATGAAAATAATAATTTATTTAATAATTTATAAGTAACGTCTCATCTCTACATATTAGTAGCGTGGTTAGCTTCAAGTGGTAAATTACAGTGAGTTTAGTGCATGGGATAAATTTTACAAAAAATAAAGTATAAAGTTTGAGTTAGGATACAAATACACAATGTGGTGTTTATGAAAACTAAACGTAATGGGATACTTAAAAATACTCGTGTTGGACAGAACTGCCTTGGATATTCAGTGTGGATGTGAGTCTAACGATCAGGAAGCTTTCATGGATCATTCAATCAGAGATATAAGATCGTGAAGAGAAGATATTAAAATCATCGAAGGAAGCTTTGGGACCCGATGGGGATGTGATAGGACATGATGATGGTTGTGATAGGACATGATGATGGATGTGGTAGGATATGAAGACTGTTCTGCTGTCCGAGATTCCCTAACTGGAATGAAGACGTTTTGCTTACCAAAATTTTCTACAACGGTGGACTTTCATCTGTTGCAACGATATCAGTTAATCAGAGAAAATCTGATTTATATGGTTTGCTAAAAGATAAACTAGCAGTCTTCGCTAATGAAATAACTAACCTCTTAAATCATCTCGTACATAAGATCACTAGCTTATCAATTCACAGAAAAATTTCAGGCAAAAACTGAAAGAAATAAAACAAAAATTCTGACTACACACGGAGATTTCCCCACTTCGTTGCTGTTAGTTAATGCTTCTACTTGAAAAGAAAATGAGACGTTCATTTTATATCTTCCATGAAAAGAGTTCCCCCTTTATTGAAATGCTATACCACATAAGCCAATACGACGCATAAGCCGATACCATTGCTACATACCAAAATTTTGTTGATTTATTTATCATTTTTCAGTGGTTACAAATCAAAGGGTTCAAGGAAATGGATTTTGATCATCGCTGTGGCGTTCATAATTGTCGTCCTACTTATCTCAGTTATTGTTCTCGCCATTTTGTACGAAGATAAAGATTCAAATTCATCAAAAACATCCCCACAAGAATTTTCAAAACCGTCCGATGAACCTTCTTTCACACCTACAACCGCACAACAAATTTGCGAAACCAGAAAAGATGTCCCTACACCAAGTCTTCCATCAAACCCGGAGGTATAGTTTTTCAACACCAGGCCATTTCCTTTCATTTGCCAACATGACTTCAAGTACGTAACTTTGAATGGTGCTCACGTGTTTTTTTTCAAAACCTATTACCAGGGACCATATATGAAAGCTGCTGTCTCTGCTGATGATGTTCGATGCTCGAAGATTGGAGTGGATGTACTTAAAATGAACGGTTCAGCTGTAGACGCAGCAATTGCTGGATTATTTTGCATTGGTGTTATACAGATGCATTCAGCTGGCATTGGAGGTGGAGCCGTAATGGTTGTGTACACGAAAGCAAAGAAAACAGCTGAATATTTCAACTTTAGAGAAAAAGCACCGAGAAAAGCTTCAAGAAACATGTTTAAGGGAAAAAACAAGGCTTCGCTCAAAGGTAGATTTCATTTTATTCTCTCAATGATAATGAAACTTTAATGAAAGATTGTCTATAAGGATAAAATCAACATTTCTGTAGCAAACACACAGAAATCACTTGCTTACAAAACGTTTTCCTTGACAGCTTTTGTTTTATTTGTTCGTAAGTTTGAACATATTTTTAGCCGTCTTGAAAAGCTGAATGTGCAAGGAAACTTGTGTTATTTATAACAACGTTCCTAGTCATCTATTTTTAACATAAAAGAAAATAATGTCATTGTAAAACATCGAAAGTGAAATAAACTCCAATTCTCCTAAGGTGGCTTGGCTATTGCTGTACCAGGCGAGATAAAAGGAATGTATGAAGCTCACAAGAAATATGGGAAACTAAGGTGGAGAGAACTTATCCTTCCATCGATAAATCTGGCAAGAGAAGGATTTATAATTCATGAAGCACTTCATCAGGCCATAGACAGGAAAATAGAAATAATCAAAGAACGTGAAGGCTTGAGGTACAAACTAAATAGTTATGTAGATTGCAACAATTTGGACTCTCGGATGATTTATAAAAAGCTGTAAAAACACAAAAATTGTTTGTGCTGTAAAAATCAATCACTTAATTATGTTTAGATGATCAAGTTTTTGCCAGTTTGTCTTCTGTTATTTTATGGAAGAAATAATAATTTTAAAAATGAAATGACCAAATACCATTGGATTTAAATTTTAGGGAGATTCTTGTGAAAGATAATGGTTGTGTTAAGACGAAAGGTGATCGGATAATTAACGAGAAATTAGCGATAACTCTTGAAAGAATTAGCTTCGACCCAGAGTCATTTTATAATGGAACTTTAGCAGAAGATATCGCCCGTGATGTACAGAAAAACAATGGAATAATTACACAGAAAGATCTCGAGGATTACAACGTGGAAATTGAGCCAGCAATCACGGCACAAATTGGTGATCTTAATCTTTACACGTCAGGACTACCATCCAGCGGTGTTTTAATTGCATTCATGCTTAATGTCTTAAAAGGTTAGGTTTGCCCGTTTATCATGTGATAACGATTTGTTGACTACAACGATGATATTATCAAAAAATTTGTATTTAGGCTACAATTTCACCTCTAAAGATGTCGCAAATAACAAGGCGAAAGCCAGTACGTATCATAAAATCATAGAGACTTTTCGTTATGCTTTCGCCAGACGAGCGTTGCTTGGTGACAAGAATTATGCCAACGTGACCCAAGTAAGTTGCTAAAAATTTCAATGTAACAGCCACCCGTACATTGAAAGACTTTGCTTACGCCATCTGTCACGAATGAAGCTCAGCTGCTCAGTTGATAGCTTTAGTGTGCCGCGGGCTCAAGACTCTAGAGATCACTTGTAAGATCTCAAATAAAAATTATTTGTTCAAGTTATCGCATATAATAAGGAAGACTGTAAAACTTGACGTGAAAAACACGATATGCGCGCAACCAACAGCAAATGAGCAACAGAACAGTATCCTTAGTATACCGAAACAGAGATTATTTAAGCCATTCCAATGAAATTATGTATTTTCAATTATAATTTTACCACAAACACCGTCCTTCGCCTTTTTACACAAGAAGAAGAGGCAATCCATGATCCTGTCTACATCCATATTACCATATATGTAATATTTTAGATATACGCCGACCTTCAAGAGCCAACTTACGCAGAGAACATACGTCAACTAATAACAAATCGAACATATCACGATGCGAGTCATTATGGCGGTTATTTTTCGAACCATGATGTTCCTGGTACCTCTCATCTGTCAGTGCTTGCCTCAAATGGAGATGCAGTATCGGTTACCAGCACAATCAATACTCAGTAAGTTTTTGCAAGTGTACTTTGAAATCCCTTTATGTTCCTGTGAGTACATAAGTGTTGTCATATGTACCTGTTATCTATTCACGACCTTTACATAAAAACACTAGCTTAAATGATCCGATAAAATTTCCTCATTCATTAGTTTTGGCTCTAAAGTGCGTTCAACTGTCACTGGGATTATATACAACAACGAAATGGATGATTTTTCTACACCAGGATTGATTAATACATTTGGAGTTCGACCTTCGCCCAGCAATTTTATAAAGCCTGGAAAAAGGCCCATGTCGTCCATGAGTCCAATTATTCTGACAAACAAAACGTCTGGTGACGTTGTTTTTGTTGCTGGGGCATCAGGAGGCACCAGGATTACAACAGCAACTCTATTGGTAAATTTGTGTAACTTTTTCTTATGAAATTACGAAGATTTGATATCATAATTCATAAGTTGACGATCAAGTTTAAAAAATCATCATGATAAATGCTCTTTAACATTGTTATTTCTTACTGTTTTCTTTTGAATCTTAATTTCATACTTAAAAGGAATTTGTACTGTACTTATTAAGGTAATTATGCGCAAGATTTGGTTTGGTCTTACTACAAGTGAAGCAGTGAACATGCCTCGTTTTCACGATCAACTATTTCCCGACTTTGTTACCATTGAAAAACCACCAAGAAATCTTGATGATGATATTGTTGACAAGTTGCGGACGTACAGACACAAAGTGAAAACGAAACGAACCTTGTCTGTTGTGCAAGCAATTTCAAAAGAGATTAACGGGTTAATATACGCCAAATCTGATCCAAGAAAAGGCGGTTACAGTTTTGGCTATTAAACTATACATAAACTCGCAGTAAAATTTTTCAAGACTTTGTCACAGAATTTTATAATCGCCCATTTCATCATAACATTGACAAACTTGTAAAACTCTACAAAACACGCCATTTTTATCGGAGCATCGACAAACTTGTAAAACTCTACAAAACACGCCATTTTTATTCGCAACATCGACAAACTTGTAAATATTTTTAGTTTCATTCAGCAGCACGTTGACAAAGTTAATTCCTTAACTACATATTTCATCAAATATGTTTCATTTTCTACATTTTTATGCTTATAGTTCTATTCAATTTTACCTTGAGTGAGCGGCGAATGTGTTTAGAATTTGAAAGAAAACTCGTCAAACTGAACGCTTTTCAAAAATTATCACACGAGCTGCCGGGCACTCGTTCGTATTTTTGTTCTGTTCAATTACGACATATATCACGTGACATGATGACGTTAGTTTTATTTCCATCTGTCAATGAGGAAAGGCTAAGAGAGACAAACAATCAAATCTAATTTCGTATGGTTACATAAATATCTTTCTAAATTACAATAAGATTAATAATCAAAGGAAATCAATGTTGTGCCAAACAATATTTTGAATGCTTTTAAAAAGACGTCACGATTTCTCCAATCTTCACACATGACATGAACTTTTCTGTTTTGATCCAGTAAAAACGATATTACAAGATTCACATCGTGAGCCTTACAAAAGTCATTGTCTGTTACGAATTCTCCAGGTAAGATGTTTCGTATTTCTGAAACGAATCATATCCTGATTAAGAGATTAATTTAAGTATACTTTTAAGAATAATCATAGATGTTATTTGAAGACAAGTTTACTTAAAATCAAATGCAATAAACTCATTTACCAGGCAAACTAATTTCGACTCTAGTTTTATTTTCCAAAATTATATGCATTTTGTCTTCTTGAGCATTCAACATCATTTTGCCAGTAAGATAACCTGAAAATAAACATTTAAAATAATTGTAATTTTTTCTATAAACAGCAGTCTTGTTCTTGAAAGTAAAACGAAAATTGAAATGAACGCTGACATAGAAAAGTTTGAAATTTCATCGTTCCAAAATAAAGAGAGATTTTAAAATAATTGACTCAAGACAAAAATTATAGAATACCTCTGATTTTGCTTGCAATAAACAGTTTTTACAAAAAATGAAAATTTTACCTCGTACATCTTTGAAAACAACAACAATTTCATCTTTGAGTAAACTTATCAATTGTTTCTCGTGATTTGTTATTTGGGTCTTCCAAAAATACGGTGCATGACTGCGGTACTTGAATACAGCGGTAGTAAGTATCACATGACTACAAATTTCAGCGTAAGGTATATCCAAGAGCTCAAAATGACTGCATGGAAGAGAAATGACGTCAATATCGTCTGTCAATGATTTCCACGAATCGATAGGATCCCAATAACAAGAAATTAATTTTTTATCTTCGTCGTTTTTGCAGCATTTTATGTATGTTATGTTTTGTTTGTATGCCATCAGCTTAAAGAAAAAAAAATTTAAACTAAAATGCCAGTTCTGCACTGTGTGTAAAGACACTAAACTGAAGCATGTAAAGATCTATCACTTTTGGTGTCTTTTAATCAGAAAACCATTGATAAAAATACTGAACTCAAATATAAGATTACATCAAACACACTTTAACTACCTTGACAGGTTGCCAATCAAAATGAGCAACGCATGCTCCCTTAGATTGGCTTTCAAGTGACGCAACATGACTTTTGATGTTATTCAAATCGACTTTCGATTTCATGGCTCTGTCCACTAACATTGAAGATGAGCTCCCACGGAATACAAATTCATTAATGAGCGACTTGTATTCTTGGCCAAGTTGACCAAGAGCCGTGGACTCAAGATAACGAGTGACCTTTAATTAATGAAAACAGAAATTCAATTACACAAGAAACGAAATCAAGTTCTGTAAAAAGGCTTGACAACTATCAAAAAAAAATTGCAAGTTATTGAAAACGAGCAATATAAACTCGCAGAAAAAGGATTGCACTTAGTAATTGGTAATGTAATTTTTACCATTTTTTGCTTTAAATCCAATATAAGGTTTGTATGAAACGTTTCAAACTCCGGATCATTGTTCTGAATTGATCTCGGTATCCATGACATGGTGTCTAACATTGCAACCATAAGAACATTGTCGCCAATATACGTTAGCTGAGAGGCAATTTCGTAGCAGATGAGTCCACCAAATGAAAATCCAGCTTTTAGGACAAAAGAAGCAATTTTTTGTTACAGAATCCTAACGATGTGTTTATATTACAATGAAAGTTGAAAGCTAATGATAAAAATGAAGTAACACATGTAGAAAAGAAATACCAAGGCCTAGTTCCTCCAACTTACAAAAACAAAAGAAAAAAAGGAATTAGGAAAATACCTAGCAATGGCATTGACAACATTTTCAATCTTCAACAGTAAGTAAAGACTAATGTCCAATTTTTTCCAACTAACCTAAGTAATATGGACCAAATCTTTGAATGGATTTGATTAATTTGATGTAATTTTCACCCATCTTCTTAACGCTATCAAAACAATATTCATTTTCAACCAAGGAATCCTCCGTACCAATACTGTACAGAGCAACTTTCTCCTAAAGAAATCAAAAACCAAACCTCCTTTAGTGTCCACACCTTTAGATGTAACGATGGCATCAAAAAATCACACATATATACTAATAATTGTTCATATATTTCTCACCTGATGGTGAAAGGCTGACGCAAAAGGTAAGTTTGCCAAAGAAGACCTATGACTACTATGTATCATAAAGATATTTAAAACAGCTTCATCAGGAACATATAGTGGAATCACTTTAACATTATCTTCAGAATTTCTTAAAAAATTTTGTTCGATATTTTGCATTTGTGTTATGGACAAAGATGATTTTGTGTCGGAAATGACATGAAGACGTTGAAATTCCTTTATTTGCTTCAGGGTATCATTGATTATTGACATACCAGTTGTTTTTGGTTGGATGAAATAATAAATCTGTCAAAATATAAAATGGAGGTTCATACTTGGTCATACGTGAAAGAAACAAAAATTTACTTGATACCTCAAATATTGCACCAAGTGTATTTCGTGTTTGCAGGCTCATGTTAGCTGCACCTATCGAATCGACGCCATATTTAAATAATGGTTGGTTCAAATCTACCTCATGACAGTCAGTTTCGGTCCAAGTCGACAACAGCCTTCTCACAAAGTCTTCGATCGTTTTTCGACGATGCATTGGATCGAGGCAGGACAGAAGCTCCAAAGTCATGACATTTTGTGATTCACTCGTCTTGTTCAAGTACGCCTCATCGTTTAGCGAACCCAGTCTTCGTGACTTATGTAGTACGTACGCAGAGCTCTTGAGATACGTTGACCAATCAATATCGCAAATTATGACATGTGATTGGTCTGGATATCGCTCTAGAAACTCTTCGAGATATATCAATCCTACAAATAACAAAATATGAATTTAGGGATTTTATTAATGTAATACGCAAAACATGGATCCTCTGACTGCTATCTTTTGCAAAAAATTAAAATCCCGACTTAAATGAGCAATCAGATATTTTAAATCATTATAAAATTATCCCACCTTGTTTACAAGACATCATACGAAACCCGTAACTTTGAAACAAGCTTGCAATATCTTTACTTCTTTCCAGTATACCAGCACCAGCCATCGTGCCCCATGCCACAGATAGAGCAGTCAAACCAAGTTTCTTACGACGAAAATCACACAACGAGTCGAGAAAGCTGTTTGCAGCAGAATACGCCAGCTGACCAAGATTCCCGACGACGCCAGCAATAGACGAAAACAAAATGAAGAAATCTAAGTCATAGTTTAGACTTAACTGATGAAGAATTACACTGCCTAAAAGAAAATTGAGGAAAATGATCAAAAATATCCTTGATTGGAGAACAATGCGATGGGAAAGAGGTCCTCCTAACTGTAATAAATTGACAATAAATTACATCACATGACACAAGTCAAAGATATACTTATGAAATTCAAAAATATTTTGCAAAACAAAATACCCTAAAGTACCTTGAACTTTTGTGGCGACAACGCGTAGGCAAGTTTGAAGATCAACATTAACAATTCTTTGATCTTCCAGTATCATTGCAGTAAACACAATCCCAGCTAATCGGGGAAGTCTCTCCAGTTCCCTTGCAATTGCACACATGTCCTGCCATGACGTAACATCTGCTTGACGCAAAAGTATTTTTGCACCAGTTTTCTGCTGGATTGCGGCTACCTCAGCTATCTTCGAGGGACTTGGTGCCGATCTTGCTGTACATACTATAGTCTTCGCTCCATTGTGAATGAGCCAACGAGCAGTTTCAAAACCAAAGCCACGAATACCTCCAACAACGAGATAGCTCCTACCACCATTTAAGCAGTTAAATTGTTTGCTCTTTTGTTTAACATCGTCTGATATTGCTCGACTGTTAAACCACGAATCATCTTTAACAGCTGTAGTCAAGAACATAGAAGAATCTGGGTGGTTTGCATCTGTTTCTATGACTCCTAAGAAAGTATCATCAATTTGTTTCAACATTGTTATTAAACTTCGCAGAAAGATTTTTATTTTCTAAAGACGTTCATTCAACATTTTAGTATGCAAGCAGTGCCCACACTTTGCATCATATCTTCATTAAAATTACTAGAAAATTGTTGTTTTGCTGTGTATGAGCAGCAAACGTAGGGGCTGTTGATTTGTAAGTGAATAAGTTAATAAACATAAATCAAACAAAACGATATTCAAAAGTCGTTTTCTTTTCTTCTAGGTTACATATCGTATTGAAGAATGAAGACATTTAATTTCAAATCATGTTAAAACATAACACTAGATGTGAAACATTATTCAGCAAATCTTCACCAAAAACTCTAAGACCAAAACATACCCGAATCAAAAGTTTCTTCGAGATCCAATTCTTTTTCAATGTGCTCAATTCCATGCGAGTGCTTGACTTTCTTCAAATTCAGTTGATCGAAACGCTTAATCCGATTAAGATACCGTAATCCGTCTCGATATACTATCTCCTCTTCAATGTCGACCAATTGAAGATCGTTCAACATTGATCGGAAATCGGTGGTACTGGAATCTATTGACAGGTCAGCAATGCATATTTTTGGTGAGGTCATCTCTTCAGCTTGGGTTCTTCTAAAACCAAGCAAACTGCTGGACCATGGAAATGTGAGCGTATCTCTTTGACTTAGACTTATGGGAATGGCGTCACAAGTAACAAGTATAAGTTGAATGATGTCGGAATAATCTACACTTGCAATGGTTTGAAGCAAAATTAAGGAGCTTTCAAAAGCATCTTGATGAGCCTGTCTAAAATGAATCCATTGTGGCGACAAACTGTGTGTGTTTACTGGTAAAAAGTTGACAACACAAATGTTTTTGTAGTTTTTACTGGACTTGAACGCATCATAAGCAGCCTTGAGTACTTCCAAGAATGCATTTCTAATTGATGTTTCGAAAGTCTCCGGAAATTGGAAAATAAATTTTGGGTTATCATCAGGAATTAACTTCATGAACTGGTCTGCATAACTATATTGATCTGGACTGATGAGCCAGATCTTGTCCACGACGTCAACGTTACCATCAATCTTAACCTCCTCCCATAGAACGTGATACGTCACATCTGTCAAACTTCGTGTAGGACCAACTTTGGACAAGTCAACCATTTTGAATTCAGTAAAAGAAAGCACTGCGTTTCCATGGCAATCCATCAGGACAATGTCATAAGTCTGATCTTCTTGAGCATTCTTGTAATAGTTCACGTGATTCTTATCGTGTTTCACGTGATGTTTCACATGACAATACATAACATCAGTAAAGTTTACACGATGAATTTTAACTTCGGCCACACCATAGGGAACAGGTTTCTCAACAGAATTCGCCAACAAAAACAAACTTTGAATACACGAATCAATGATGGAAGGATGAACAACATAGAATGGTAATGAACAACGTATCTCGTCAGTAAGAGAAACAGAGCAAAGCGCTTCCACTTGCGAACACCATGTTTCTGCGATGAGAGAAAATTGCGGTCCATATGCAAATCCTCGTTGTTCTCGTCTCAAATTGAATGTGTCTAGACTCTGTTTGACAAGCTGTGATTTGATGGCTTCCAATGGAACCTTCACTACAATAATTTTTGGTAAAAATATATGAGAAGGTAGATTACAGAAGTAAAAAAAATTACAAGCAAATGACCATAAGTATGTCAGTCATGAAAGAAAGACTTCACGTCAACTTTACCTTTATCAAAAGAATGCTTGGTGACATCAAAAGATACGAAACCTTTAGAAACCAAGATCTCGTTGCCATTTTTCTCCACTTTCGTCATTTGATAATGGTGACATGCTTCAGGCTTTCCTCGCGTGTTTAATCGAGTGCAAAATCGTGCTATTTCGTTGTTCTTTAGAGTAAGGAGATTTTCGAACGTGGCATTACGTAAAACTGGTGGCACATCTGGAAACAGATGCATAGACATTGCAAGAGCCATTTCCAAATAAAAAGCTCCCGGGATAACGGCTTCTTTAGAACCAATAAACTTGTGATCTTCCAAAAAAGGAAACTTATGCAAATCAATCTCTGAAGTCCAGGCGAGCAATCCAGAGCATGCTTCTGTTGGAAAAATGTTTCCTAACAAAGGATGAGTTTTATCCAACTTAAAGCTGCTGTCGATTGTATTTTTCATTTGACTTGTTGACACGTTTGCAGACAATTCTTTCTTTCCAGTAAACCGTTTAATACATTTGTCAGGTTCAGAATCTCGGTACCAGTACGTTCGTTCCTGCCAGGGATAACTCGGTAAGCGAATTAGTTGCCTCGTTCCACATCCTTGAATTCGTTCCCAGTCTATTGGGTATCCGAGGGTGTACAATTTTGCTGGGCAATTGCGAAGGAAGGAAATATATCGGTCTTTTGCTGTCTTTTTGGGTAAAGTTTCGATATAGAAAATCGAATTCATTTCCTTTGGCAGCTCATCTCGTTTACGAGCGAAAATATCCTTGAATAAAAGCAAATCATAAGTGTGAGCCACATCAATTTAGGATAAGAAATAGTTTTTGTTAAACAAAGTTTTTTTACCTGGACACAACGGGAAAACTGGGGCGTAATATTAATCTCGAGAAACACCTTATATCCATCGACCATCATTTGGCTAGCAGCTGAACTAAATAAAACTGGATCGCGAAAATTCTTCCACCAATGATCGCGTGCTATACAGGATGTCTGGCTTCCCAACACGGTGGAATAGAAAGGTATTTTTGAATAACCTAATTTCAAAACAGCATGTAATATAATTTCAGAATAAACATTTAGAAAATATAATATTCAAGAAAATTTAAAATAAAGACGAACATGATAACTTTTCTTGAATTTTCATACCTGGGCATAGTTTCAGTTGCTCAATGTCTTTTTTAAATGTCTCTTGGACACAATTCACTTCATGACTATGAAATGCACGGTTCGTGCCTAGTCTCCGGTAAAACATCCCTTTGTTATACAAATATTCTTCTAGTTTCTCAACAGCGAATTGATCGCCAGATAAAACAACGTTTGATGGACTATTAACAGCAGCAATACTCAATCTTGACTTCATTTTTAAAGATCTCAGCATTATTTCAGTATCCTCCATCGACATTCCAACTACTAACATTCTTCCATTAGGAGAGCAAGCTTCGTGAAGCTTTGACCGAAGCAGAATTAACTGGACTGCTTCTTCTAAACTGATGATATGCGCAATAAAAGCAGCAGAGATTTCCCCCAAGCTGTGGCCAATCACAGAAGAAGGGATAATTCCCCACGACTTTAAAAGTTGCGTCATACCATAATGTGTAGCAAATAATGCCATTTGAGACACAACGTTATTCTCAATATGAAAGCTACCTTTCATCAACAAATCACAAAGACGGCAAGAAAGACCAATCCTTTCCAAAATTTCATCAATTTCAAGTATAGATTCTTGGAATCTGGGCTCGTGTTGCATTAAATCCGATGCCATATCACTCCAGATGTTGCCCTGACCGCCAAAAACAAAGGCCAGTTTCTTGATAGTCGAGCTTGCATCATTATTAGCCACAATATATTTTGGCCAGCCAGGACTATCTTGTGAGTATAATCTCAGTGAATATGAGGCCTGTTTAAACGACACAAATGGCAAGGCGATTCGATGTGAGTGCACACTACGACGACTGTTAAGCGAATAACAAATGTTTGCCTTTAAAATATTGTCATCTTCACTTTTCTCTTCTAACCACTTCGAGAATTTTCCTGCCATTACCCGTAATGCTTCACGGGAACGAGCAGACAGTGTTAAAACCCAAGCCCCTTGTTTGGGTGGCGTTATCACCTCATTTTGCCCCAAAGATTGACTTTCACGTACGATCACATGAGCATTAGCTCCACCATAACCGTAGGAGCATACAGCTGCTGTGCGAAGTTGACCGCAGGCGACAGTCCATGGCTCGTATTTTGTCTGAACACTCATCTTTCTCTCGGCAATTTTTAACTGTGGTTTTAATTCCGATATATTGACTGTAGGAACGAAGTGAGCATATTTTATCATAAGACATACTTTAATTAAACCTGCAAGGCCTGCTGTAGACTCTGTGTGGTTGATATTTGACTTAACAGAACCAATACGAAGTACACGAATTGATGTGTTTGCGTACACTTTGGAAACCGATCTCATCTCAATGACATCACCAACAGCTGTACCTGTACCATGCGTTTCTACATAATGGATATCTGTTTTTCTCAGTCCAGACTCTTTCAACACAGAGTGCGCAAGCTCAGCTTGCATTTTATTGCTTGGTGCCGTCATGGGAATTGCTGTCTGTCCATCGTTGTTGAGCCCACAGGCAAGAATGTCAGCATACAATTCATCGTTGTCCTGAAGCGCAACATGAGTTGGCTTCAAAATGACAACTGCTACACCTTCCCCGCGTCCGTAACCATCACCTTTTGCGTCAAAACTTTTGCATCGACCATCATCTGCCAAAAGTCCGGTCCTACAACATGCAGTGTGAAAGTATCTAGCAAGAATCAAATTTGGGGCGCAAACAATGGCTACATCACATTCATCAGCTTGTAAATGTGTCACTGCTATGTTTAAAGCACTTAAAGACGATGAGCATGCCGTGTCCACGGTTAAGCTTGGACCGTGCAAATCAAGAGAAAATGAAATTCTATTCGCAACAGTGGAAGCTGTGATTCCAGTAGACGCAAATTCATCAATGTTCGGTACATTATCATCGTCCAATAGTAATCGACCATAATCTAAGTTCATAAGCCCAACATAAACACCGGTACGTAACTTCTGAAGATCTTCAAGCTTTAATCCAGCATCTTCAACGGCTTCGTACACATGTTGTAATAGTAAACGTTGTTGTGGATCCATAGCACGACATTCAGCAGGTGAAATGCCAAAGAACTGTGCATCAAATTTGCTGATCTCATCAAGAAAGGCACCTTTAAGCGTGTAATGTTTACCAGGGACGTCATGATTGGGATTATAAAACCTTTTCATTGTTAAACTTTCTAATCTGTTTTCAGGATAAGAAGCAATGACGGAGCCCCCTTTGACGAGAAGGTCCCAAAAATCATCTTTGGAATTAACACCGCCACCAAAACGGCAACTTATTCCAACAATGGACACTGAAGTTGAATACGTTTTGTGATCTTTCATTCTTCCAGGATAAAACGTTCTTGGATTTATTTTGCAATTAGCTTTTTCAATTTTATTTGAATGCTCTTGCGCTGGTGTAAATGACATGTATTGCTTTGTCGCAATTAAATCGCCAAACCAGAGCCAATATACCATGAATATGACAAATATATTACTCAGAAAAGTGACGAAAAAAATTCCGACTGATAACTTAAAAAAAATTCCAATAACCAACAAGTTGAAAATCTCGACAAATACAAAACAAGATAAAATTCTCACTTTCTTCCGTGAGATTTTCTCAGAAATAATTTTCGGTTGATAATTGCGAATGACAAAACAAAACAAACCGAGAAAAAATAAATAAATAAAAAAACGCGTAAATTTTTCAGGAAAAGTGAAAAAGTGTTTTTGAGACGTATTTGAAAAAAATTCAGATTGTAGACTACTTTCGTTTCCCACTATTTTATTTTCACGTGAGTCGTTTTGATTGGAAGAAAAGGTATCATTCGTTGTATATATAGAAATATCACGGTTAGGACCTTTCATACGAATATCGTCAGTCAGTTTATGTCGAAGATTAGGCAACTTTAACGAATCAATTGTACGGCTATGGTAACATGACGAAATGATATTGACACGTTTCGTCTTAAGATCTAAAGTGATCAGAGAAGACCTAGAAACATTGCTGCAATTACAATTAGACGGTTTTGTAAAAACCAAGGAATTATTACATAAGTTAGAACGCTGTTTTTGATTGGAAGTTTGAACACTTTGCAAACAAAGTATAGAATAGCTAAGAAAAGCAATGGCAAAGGATACAATAGATCGCATTCTTTTGATCTGTATGATAAAAAGTAGTCTTGATTCTCATACAAACCTCTAAAGAATGAAAAAAACGACGTAAAAGCGTAGTATCAAAGATCATTATACACATTTTTAACAATATAAGAACTCAATTTTTAGTATAAGATCATTCAAGAGACTAAATAGAGTATATAGATTCACAAATTTCAATTTTATCATTCAAGACACTAGATTGTAGTTAGTAAAAACTCAAGATAGCTGCAAAACATAAGAATGCTACTGATAAAGACATTGGGTTGAACATAGAGAACGAACACAACAAAAAATAAATTGAAATTAAAGATTTTGAATCACAAAATATTACCACAATAGAAAAAAATCAAATCACTTACATAACGATATTGTAGCTCTACACATCATCACAAATACAAACATCTGAATGAAAAATAAAGTTTTTATTGAAATAAATACTTGATATACAGATACCATATAATATCTACAAGGATTTGATCTTAATGAGAACCAATATAAAAAATATCAATGCATATAAGACAAATATAAGAAGAAATAAGGATAACAATGGTAGAAAATGCTACAGGAAAGACAAAATAAATGTTATGAAGAAGGGAAAGCACTTGTTCAGTTCTTTATTTCAAAGGAACCCAAAAATAACTCACTACAGTCAACAACACAATTGATAAAAACTGTTTGAATTGGCAAGGCGTTTGTGCTTGTGGGCAATATGGTATGTTATATTGCATATGACGAAAAGCTTTAAATCGTGTGTTCCTTCACCGCATGGGATGCGGAAGAAAGATAAAATCCAACTGAAAGCGACACCATGCAAAACAGATGCTGTTAAATTTTGTTTTATTTTTCTGGTTAAATTTACATAAACATCACCGTCGATTTGTCAAAAATGTTCACAATTCTTTACTTTTGATTTCGTGGATATATTGCAATTATTAATCATTAGAAAATATAACACAAATTAAGTGTAAGTTTCATGCAATATTTCAAGTTAGGCAATCAAGTTAAAGTTGTATAAAGTTAGTTACTGTTTACAGTTTATTTCGTGATTTTTATGCTTTTGTAACAGAAAGAAAAATTAAAAACCTAAAAAAATTGATAAGAAAGCATATAAGCTGCAACGATTATACAGATCAATATTTGAGATTTAAATTATGTGAATAAACTATTCATACAGTTAAAGACGCAAAAATAAAAAATTCAACGTACAATTCTTAATAACATTTAAGTGCCCAAAGAATGTGGAGAGAAACAAATGTTTCCCAACATTAAGAAAACAGAGATATCAATATAACTGCGTTTGACCGAGGCTTATTTCTTTATAAATATTTAGTAAATGTGAACGGCAAACAAAGTTGATTTTATCATTATGTATAAAGACTAGAAATTCACACGTTATGGACTTGTCACAAGCTCATTTTAGTAGTCAACATTACATAAAGGCTTTATACTTTATGAAGCGAAAAAAGATAAACATAAATTTCAACAACAAAACAGATATATTATTACTTAAAGGCATATCTCATTTGCTTCAATGGCAGCTTTTGTAAAATAATTTTACATTTTAACAACGCCTCAAGAGAAATATAAAATCGAAATCAAAGCCAATAAATAAAATTTCATTTTACTTGTAACATGCGATGAGTGAGCCGATTGTTGCAGATTTGAAAACGATCATGTTGCAGTTTCGTTTTTTAGATTTCAAGAAGACCTTTTCCCAGAAAACAGTCGACAAAACAAATACGAAAGAAAAATGGTAATTCCTACTCGCTCTTTCGTGCAATATGATTGGTTACCTTACTTGTATTAAAATTCGAGTCGTACTCATTTTCGCTCAGCTTTAAATTCGCGCGATTTAATTTCGCGCATTTTGTTGACAATTATTCGCGCAGCTTTAAATTCGCGTAAGTAGTTTTATGTGCTCGTTCTTTTTGGTTTGTTCAAAAGAACTATTAATAATTAACGCATTCATGAATACAGAAAAATCTGGGCTCCAAGAATCAACCATCAGTTAATAATAAAACCAGAATCAGGAAACCTATTCGACCCATATGCTATTGGTCTGTTTACCAAAATCAGAGGCAAGATTGAACCATTGTCACTGGTCGGACATTTGCCTCGAGAGATTTCCAGATTTTGCAAGTTCTTTTTTGAATATGGGGGCAATATAGAAGCATGTGTGTGTGACATCAAATTTCGTCGATCCCCATTACCACAAGGAGGCTTGGAGATTCCTATTACCCTAACAATCATGCAGAACAATGCAAGTTTTAGGATATACAGCAAAATTCTGGCATTCGTGACGGAATACTACGTAGAACCTGAAATTGTACAGGATGAAAATGAAGACATTTTTGATTTTTAATGTTACCAGGACAACTATAAGCATATGTCAATATGTATATGCGTTAATAAAACAACTGATTCGCATAACCAACAATGAATGTCTCATATTACACTACAAAGCTTTTCGCGCGGATTATATTTCGCGCAGTACTAAAATTCGCGCACTAAGCGCTGCGCGAATTCTAGTACTGCGCGAATTTGAATACAAGTAAGGTATTTAAATGAAAACATACACTTGTGAAGAAAATACTTAAGGCAATCATGAAGTATTGCTATTTCATTATCACACTAGATTGTAGTTAGTAAAAACTCAAGATAGCTGAAAAACATAAGAATGCCACCGATAAAGACATTGGGTTGAACATAGAGAATGAATAAAAGCTGACATTTTATATTCTGACGAACACAAGAAAAAGTAAATTGAAATTAAAAATTTTGAATCACAAAATATTACCACAATAGAAAAAAATCAAATCACTTACATAACGATATTGTAGCTCTACACATCATCACAAATACAAACATCTGAATGAAAAATAAAGTTTCTATTGAAATAAATACTTGATATACAGATACCATATAATATCTACAAGGATTTGATCTTAATGAGAACCAATATAAAAAATATCAATGCATATAAGACAAATATAAGTAGAAATAAGGATAACAATGGTAGAAAATGCTACAGGAAAGACAAAATAAATGTTATGAAGAACGGAAAGCACTTGTTCAGTTCTTTATTTCAAAGGAACCCAAAAATAACTCACTACAGTCAACAACACAATTGATAAAAACTGTTTGAATTGACAAGGCATTTGTGCTTGTGGGCAATATGGTATGTTATATTGTATATGACGAAAAGCTTTAAATCGTGTGTTCCTTCACGTAAGCGACACCATGCAAAACAGGTGTTAAATTTTGTTTTATTTTTCTGGTTAAATTTACATAAACATCACCGTCGATTTGTCAAAAATGTTAACAATTCTTTACTTTTGATTTCGTGGATATATTGCAATTATTAATCATTAGAAGATATTACACAAATTAAGTGTAAGTTTCATGCAATATTTCAAGTTAGGCAATCAAGTTTAAGTTGTATAAAGTTAGTTACTGTTTACAGTTTATTTCGTGATTTTTATGCTTTTGTAACAAAAAAAATTAATAAGAAAGCATATAAGCCGCAATGATTATACAGATCAATATTTGAGATTTAAATTATGTGAATAAACTATTCATACAGTTAAAGACGCAAAAATAAAAATTTCAACGTACAATTCTTAATAACATTTAAGTGCCCAAAGAATGTGGAGAGAAACAAATGTTTCCCAAAATTAAGAAAACAGAGATAACAATATAACTGCGTTTGACCGAGGCTTATTTCTTTATAAATATTTAGTAAATGTGAACGGCAAACAAAGTTGATTTTATCATTATGTATAAAGACTAGAAATTCACACGTTATGGACTTGTCACAAGCTCATTTTAGTAGTCAACATTACATAAAGGCTTTATACTTTATAAAACGAAAAAAGATAAACATAAATTTCAACAACAAAACAGATATATTATTACTTAAAGGCATATCTCATTTGCTTCAATGGCAGCTTTTGTAAAACAATTTTACATTTTAACAACGCCTCAAGAGAAATATAAAATCGAAATCAAAGCCAATAAATAAAATTTCATTTTACTTGTAACATGTGATGAGTGAGCCGATTGTTGCAGATTTGAAAACGATCATGTTGCAGTTTCGTTTTTAAAATTTCAAGACCTTTTCCCAGAAAACAGTCGACAAAAACAAAACGAAAGAAAAATGGTAATTCCTACTCGCTCTTTCGTGCAATATGATTGGTTATATAAAACATACACTTGTGAAGAAAATACTTAAGGCAATCATGAAGTATTGCTATTTCATTATCACACTAGATTGTAGTTAGTAAAAACTCAAGATAGCTGCAAAACATAAGAATGCTACCGATAAAGACATTGGGTTATTTCGTGCAATATGATTGGATATATAAAACATACACTTGTGAAGAAAATACTTAAGGCAATCATGAAGTATTGCTATTTCATTATCACACTAGATTATAGTTAGTAAAAACTCAAGATAGCTGCAAAACATAAGAATGCTACCGATAAAGACAATGGTTTGAACATAGAGAATGAATAAAAGCTGACATTTTATATTCTGACGAACACAAGAAAAAGTAAATTGAAATTAAAAATTTTGAATCACAAAATATTACCACAATAGAAAAAAATCAAATCACTTACATAACGATATTGTAGCTCTACACATCATCACAAATACAAACATCTGAATGAAAAATAAAGTTTCTATTGAAATAAATACTTGATATACAGATACCATATAATATCTACAAGGATTTGATCTTAATGAGAACCAATATAAAAAATATCAATGCATATAAGACAAATATATGTAGAAATAAGGATAACAATGGTAGAAAATGCTACAGGAAAGACAAAATAAATGTTATGAAGAACGGAAAGCACTTGTTCAGTTTTTATTTCAAAGGAACCCAAAAATAACTCACTACAGTCAACAACACAATTGATAAAAACTGTTTGAATTGGAAAGGCGTTTGTGCTTGTGGGCAATATGGTATGTTATATTACAAATGACGAAAAGCTTTAAATCGTGTGTTCCTTCACCGCAAGGGATGCGGAAGAAAGATAAAATTCAACTGAAAGCGACACCATGCAAAACAGATGGTGTTCAATTTTGTTTTATTTTTCTGGTTAAATTTACACAAACAGCGCCGTCGATTTGTCAAAAATGTTCACAATTCTTGACTTTTGATTTCGTGGATATATTGCAATTATTAATCATTAGAAGATATAACACAAATTAAGTGTAAGTTTCATGCAATATTTCAAGTTAGGCAATCAAGTTAAAGTTGTATAAAGTCAGTTACTGTCTACAGTTTATTTCGTGATTTTTATGCTTTTGTAACAGAAAGAAAATTTCAAAACCTAAAAAAATTGATTAGAAAGCATATAAGCTGCAATGATTATACAGATCAATATTTGAGATTTAAATTATGTGAATAAACTATTCATACAGTTAAAGACGCAAAAATAAAAAATTCAACGTACAATTCTCAATAACATTTAAGTGCCCAAGCAACGTGGAGAGAAAAACAAATGTTTCCCAAAATTAAGAAAACAGAGATAACAATATAACTGCGTTTGACCGAGGCTTATTTCTTTATAAATATTTAGTAAATGTGAACGGCAAACAAAGTTGATTTTATCATTATGTATAAAAGACTAGAAATTCACACCTTATGGACTTGTCACAAGCTCATTTTAGTTGTCAACATTACATAAAGGCTTTATGCTTTATGAAATGAAAAAAGATAAACATAAATTTCAACAACAAAACAGATATATTATTACTTAAAGGCATATCTAATCTGCTTCAATGGCAGCTTTTGTAAAATAATTTTACAACTTAACAAGGCCTCAAGAGAAATATAAAATCAAAATCAAAGCCAATAAATAAAATTTCATTTTACTTATAACATGTGATGAGTGAGCCGATTGTTGCAGATTATAAAACGATCATGTTGCAGTTTCGTTTTTAAAATTTCAAGAAGACTTTTTCCCAGAAAACAGTCGACAAAAACAAAACGAAAGAAAAATGGTAGTTCCTACTCGCTCTTTCGTGAAATATGATTGGTTATTTAAATGAAAACATACACTTGTAAAGAAAATACTTAAGGCAATCATGAAGTATTGCTATTTCATTATCACAATAAAATCTGAGGTGTAAAGAAGAACATGATTCATCGTAATTTTCATTAAAATGTCTTGGTCGAACAACCAGAAACATCGAATTAAAAGAGAAAAAGAAATTTTAGCAAAGTATTTCCCTGGTCGCGTGCAATGGTCCTGTAATTATGGCCAAACTAAAGTTCAAATACGAATGACGAGTAATAGCAACAAGAATTACACATTGAGTATAACATTAAGTGAAGATTTTCCTCATGCATGTCCTGTATTGTTAGTGGAGTCACCATCGCGTTTACTAACACGAGAAAATCTCCCTTTACCTACAAACAGCCGCGCGTTTCACACAATGGAAAATGCGAGTGGCTTTGTTTCGATTTGCCATTTCGTGCCGCAATTTTGGACGAACGAGAATACGTTGTATCAAGTGTTCATGAAGGGACGTCTATGGATTGAAGCATATGAAGGATACCTGAGTACAGGAAGATATATGGATTATTTCTTAAGTCATCAGAATCATTAAATATTGGGCTATAAGAAACAACAGTAAATAAGTATTTTGAAAGAAAACAGCAGTATAAAATTATTCATTTTACAAAATTTAATGTTTATTGATATCCAAGATGATAATTTAATAAAAATAATATAAGAAATTTATACATTTCTCCATTTCTTAAGTTGACTTGAGAAAATAAACCGTTCAGAGGTGCATAGATATTATAAGAACTTATTTAAATGATATGCTAAATTGTTAAAATTATAAAGCTTACGTTTTTAAGGTCTAACCTGAATAATTTCATTTTTATGGATATAATATTTTAATCATATCATTGCCATGAATTTAGCAAGTAATGTTTGAATTGAATACAAATGGCGGAAGTAAAAAGGTTGTGGGGTGAAATAAATTTATCTTTTTCAAATTTTTTGATTACCTAAACCATCCTTATGGTCAATAACCAGCTGGTTTTCCGCCTTTTCTAAAGTCTGACTCGGCCATGAACACGTCGCGAAAGTGTCCCCTTTTACCCCCACCCATCGCCATCTTTGTCCTTGAAATCCCCTGAACAACACCGTGGCTTTTGTCTGTTATGCTGATCTAAATTTACAAAAACTTTGGAATAAACTCATTTAACAACACATCAATGACGACAAGTCGTACCCTAGCGCCATTTTTACGTAAGTAAATGTTACAAATAAACACATGAAAAAGAACATACATAATCAAAATTGCAAATAATGTTCTTGGATTATCCGAGAAAAAACAAAGATTGGAATTTATACTAATTTTTTTGAACCCACCTTATGCCCAAATTTCTCTAGCTCGTGTAACACAGTGATGGGAAATCGAGTCTCTGCAAAAAGGGATTCTGGGTAAAGTTGATGATGTAATCTTGGCATTGAAATTGCGTCATGTATATCCTTTTTAAACCACAGGTAATTTACTAAAGTCTGGAAAGAAAAACATACATAATGTTTATTTAAAATAGTTACTAGTTTATATTGTACAGGCCTTGGCAACGACTATTGATTTTATCAAAAAACAACAGTCTTGATTAATCCTCACCATAATTACATTTTATTTATGCTGAGTTGTAATGAATTAAGTATCGAAAAATAGTGCATAGTTTCAAAAAAAACACATTGCCTTTCTGACCAAACCCAGACAACCTTCTGTCATTACTCTTTTAACTACGTAAAAAGGACCTATAGTACATTGTTTATCAAAAATAAATCAATATTTGAATAATAAATACTACCAGCATGCTTTCCTGCCAGCATAAAAAAAAAGTTATAACATGATACCATTTGAGCATATACCTGAGCTACTGCAGTGGTAATAACAGTCCCGCCCGAGGCCCCAGCACAATATCTACCAGCATGCTTTCCTGCCAGCATAAAAAAAAACTTATAACATGATACCATTTGAGCATATACCTGAGCTACTGCAGTGGTAATAACAGTCCGCCGAGGCCCCAGCACAATATCTACCAGCATGCTTTCCTGCCAGCATAAAAACTTATAACACGATACCATTTGAGCATATACCTGAGCTACTGCAGTGGTAATAACAGTCCTGCCCGAGGCCCCCAGCACAATATCTACCAGCATGCTTTCCTGCCAGCATAAAAAAAACTTATAACATGATACCATTTGAGCATATACCTGAGCTACTGCAGTGGTAATAACAGTCCCGCCTGAGGCCCCCAGCACAATATCTACCAGCATGCTTTCCTGCCAGCATAAAAAAAAACTTATAACATGATACCATTTGAGCATATACCTGAGCTACTGCAGTGGTAATAACAGTCCCGCCCGAGGCCCCTAGCACAATATCTACCAGCATGCTTTCCTGCCAGCATAAAAAAAACTTATAACACGATACCATTTGACCATATACCTGAGCTACTGCAGTGGTAATAACAGTCCCGCCCGAGGCCCCCAGCACAATATCTACCAGCATGCTTTCCTGCCAGCATAAAAAAAACTTATAACACGATACCATTTGAGCATATACCTGAGCTACTGCAGTGGTAATAACAGTCCCCCGAGGCCCCAGCACAATATCTACCAGCATGCTTTCCTGCCAGCATAAAAACTTATAACACGATACCATTTGAGCATATACCTGAGCTACTGCAGTGGTAATAACAGTCCGCCCGAGGCCCCAGCACAATATCTACCAGCATGCTTTCCTGCCAGCATAAAAAAAAACTTATAACATGATACCATTTGACCATATACCTGAGCTACTGCAGTGGTAATAACAGTCCGCCGAGGCCCCAGCACAATATCTACCAGCATGCTTTCCTGCCAGCATAAAAAAAAACTTATAACACGATACCATTTGACCATATACCTGAGCTACTGCAGTGGTAATAACAGTCCCGCCTGAGGCCCCCAGCACAATATCTACCAGCATGCTTTCCTGCCAGCATAAAAAAAAACTTATAACATGATACCATTTGAGCATATACCTGAGCTACTGCAGTGGTAATAACAGTCCCGCCGAGGCCCCAGCACAATATCTACCAGCATGCTTTCCTGCCAGCATAAAAAAAAACTTATAACATGATACCATTTGAGCATATACCTGAGCTACTGCAGTGGTAATAACAGTCCCGCCTGAGGCCCCCAGCACAATATCCACGTCTCCTTTTTCGTCTACAATAATCACAGGTGCACTGGAAGACTGTGGCCGCTTTCCAGGTTGAATAAAGTTAACGGGCGCAGGTTTCAGTCCAAATTCGTTGACTATGCCAGGTGCACTGAAATCGTCCATTTCGTTGTTGTATATAATTCCAAGAATGGGCGAACGAAACTTTGCACCAAAACTAAACAAAGATGAGATAACGTTTGAGGTGTTGTTGAATAGGTAAGACTCGAGATTTAGTAATGTGTTTTTATATAGCGTGTGAAAGAAAAAGAAAAATTTGTCACGAACAAGAAAAATGACAGTTAACTAATATTTTAAAAGAAACAGAAATTTTACTCTGGGCATCATAATAATTTACTAGGAATAGTTTATATTTTCGTTTTAATATGTCGATCACGAAATGAGACCAAAATGATTAAATAAATTCAATCTAACATAACGTAATGCTCACAATCCATTGACGGTGCTGGTCACAGAGACTGTGTCACCGTTTTCAGCGACGACCACAAGATGAGTAGTGCCTTTCTTTACAGGAACGTCGTAGCCATTGTTATCGTAATATAATGCAGAAAATGTCTTTTTGTCGGAAATTTTAGAACGCAATTCATCTGCAAATTTGCTATCAAGCAATTTCTTAACGACCTACATGAACAAAATCTTTAAATATTGAAAATTTCCAGGAAATTTGTGCCGTTTACTGATCATAGTTTAACTTTATTTTCATGCAATTGAAAAAAATGAATCTTACTTTCTTTACGGACTGTTCATAATCTGGATCGGCAAGTTTATAACGTTGAGCGTAAGCCATTTGAAAAGCTTCAACAATCCTGTGGAAAGTCAATGCTGTGTTGCTCTGGAGATCATCTTTTGTAAAATTATAACCTTTAAAACGACAAACATGGAGATCTAACCAAAAAATAAAGATGTAAAGGATCTTCAAGGAATGGGTGTTTAGAAAATAATTTCCACTATATTTTGTAAGAAAAGCAATCATAAAAATTTTAGGTTCATTTACCGATTTTTACGGCAACATCAAATCAATGTTGATTTGGTCATTCAAAACATACAAGACAAAATTCATTACCTAAGTAGAAATGCAAAATAGCTAGCAATCACAATTTGATGTGATTTTTTTGCTGCTCGGGCTTCTCAACAACATATTTTATAAAATATCCACTTGCCACCACGAAAACCAACTTAAAGCCCCACTAAAGTAAAATATTCTTCCGTAAAGCGGAAGTAACCTGATTCATCGCTTGCTATACATAGGTCACTTGTGACAGAAACACAACTACTGATAAAAGGAACTTACCTTTCAATATATTAAGCACAAGCACAAGAACTGGTCCACTAGTTGGAGGGGGAGTTGTGATAAGTCTGCCTCGACCAACAGACTGTTCTATACTATCCCGGAAGCGAACTTTATAGTTTTTTAGATCGTCCATCGTGAATTTTCCGCCATGAGCATTTATGTCGTTGACTATCTGTTGACCAAGCACACCACCATAGACTGGGTCGGCGTTACCAGCATTGGCAATGATTCTCAAAGTTCGACCGAACGTCGGTCTCTTGAGCATCTCCCCTGCTTTCAACAAACGACCATTGTAAGTAAAGATCTCCCTAAATGATAAACAACAAACAGTTGTATTCAAAAAACTTCAACTTTTATGTTGAATTAAATTTATTGACATAAATCAACTTTCACTTAAATCTGCTTTACATAATCTCACAGTCACATAATAATGATATTACACAGTATGATAAGTCATTAACAAAAATAATCTTATTATAAAAAGTTTTACAGGTAATTAAGACCAATAAATATACACCAAATTTTCTCTATATGACTTACTTTAAGCTTTTATCTTTGAGGATCTGAAACTTCCAGACTTGGAGAGCAATAGAAAGAGAATTTGACACATTAAAGCCACCTTCAGCTAGATTGATTGCAGGCAAAAACAACGCTTTCCATGGCAGTTTCCCGTATTTCTTCCAAGCTGCTTCCATTCCTTTCAACTCTCCGGGTACACCAACAGCCAGCCCACCTGAAACAAAGACTTAATTATACATTGCAACGAAAATTAAATCATACTAAGTCAAATATTCTTTTCAAAACTAAATCAGCTCGTAGTGCAGAAAATTTTTTAAACTGTAAACTAAAATTTTTGTTTCTTTGAAGTTTTACTGATTTTAAGCTTACGAATCAAGCCATGAAGCCAAGGACCGTTCACCGATAAATATACCTAAATTTCAAAGTCGAACTTTAATCTGTGACAATCCCTGATCTTCAATTGTATATCATTGGCCACATTGGTTGGTAGAAAAACCCTTATGGTGAAAAGAATTAATAACCTATCAATATGGCCGCTTTGATATGTCATATAAAAACCAAAGATGAAAACAAAACCACATGAAGTTTGCATTAAGCTTTTGAAGAACTTTGCCAAAACGCAACACATTATTATATTTGATATATTTAACAGAGATATTTAAAAAACAAACATAATGTACAGTAATTCAAACTTGTCCAAAATGTACCAAATGATCACACTAACCCATAATGGCTTTCGTCAAATCACCATGAAACATATCCTTGTCGGACAACAACGGTGCGTTTTCACGAAAATCGATCATTTCCGAGAATCGCGTGTATCTATGATAAACGAGCATAAACCCACCACCACCAATGCCTGTGGAGTGAGGATGAACGACGCCAAGGCACAACATGGATGAAATAGCAGAATCCACTGCCGACCCACCATGATGTAAAATGTTTCGTCCGATTCTCGAACATTCAGCGTGGTCTGTTGACACAGCAGCATGATTGTACTTAAAACGTTTGTTGGAAAAACCAGAAACAATACTAAAATAGGATACAAGGACATGAATTGAAATATGTGAAAACCAATAAATATGTCTGAGATTGAGGGAAAAACAAATTTCCCTTTCAAAGGACTCATCCCCTCAGCATACTTACTTTCCCATCATGAAACGTTTACTCTTGAACAACAAATCCCTTTCATAATTATCAAACGCAAATTTCGCGATGGCAGTGACGATAAACACACATGTTAAACAGAGTCCGAACATATATCTTCTTTTTCTTTTGCGAAAAGAATACATCTTGTTTCCGTCCATTTCAATCTACAAAAAATACCTTTTTAAAACCTTGCGCTTCTACAGTTTTATAATGAACTCTATTCAAAGCAAGTATAGTTTGAAACTTTTTCATACATTGTACAATATTGCTTGTATGAAACTCTGCAAAATTCTTCTATTTCCCTGAGGTATGCACAACCCGTTAGAGTACCAGTGCAAACATGTGCTGACAAGACAATACGGTCATTCAATAGAGATGAATAACATAAAAAAAAGTATGAAAATTTACCGGTTACAAGTGTCATAAATAGTATATTGTCATTATACAATATATAATTTGTTTCTGTTGTCAATTCTACAGCACTGAAGTCAACAAAATTTTATCAATTTCATGTTTCACACGTAAACTTGTCGATTGAGAACATAATTCACATCGAATTGCATGAACAGAAATCATATTCTTCACTCATATTATGATTTGCCTAAATCCTCAACGTGACGTCACTCTATAGAAACCTTGTCAAAAAACGTCATGTAAGCAATAGACTTCATTTTCAAGCGCTTCAAACGAAAGATGAAGAACTCAAATGAACAAACTGTCCACCATCGCTTCTAAAATTAATCAAGGAATTAGTTTTTTACAGAGTGTTGAAACAAATGCCAAAAGCCAGTTTTAGTTCAATTAGATCGAGTGACAATAGAAGAAAGAACAATGGAAATTGATACTTTCTCGTGGAACGCATGTGGTTTTTATGTCTTTAATAAAATCACAACTGATTCAAAGAAATGAATGCTATATTCCATTTATTTCCTGCATACATAAAATGGACAACTATTTCAATTTATTAAAGTTTATCATAATAAAAAACTTCTGTTCCCTGCGTCACACCATGCTCCATGGGATTCTTCGTATTTTACGAGACTTTAAATAGATTCTATACATAATATATTCTCCATTAGCGATTTAACGGTTGCATTTCCCAAAACTGACGACAAAAATATTGCTTCGATGTCCCGCTCTTCAAACGAGCTCAAAGTCAAGACAGTTAACAATACACATCCACAACGTTCGCGTTCACCAGGATGTGTAGATAATGTATGTTCCTCAAGGGCTCTATGACATTTATTTTGGGTTACCTGTATCAGAGAGCTGTCCACAATTCCTTCAGTTTCTAAAAGTGTTTAATGCACATTCTTATTCATTGTTAATGCAACACAACAAACTGGAGAAGAATAAAATAATAAATGCATCTTGAAAGTTAGAGATCAAGGTATATTTTAATCCATACAAACCTGGATTAAAGAGTAGAAGAGACTTCACCAACAATGTTTCAGTTTCATCTAAGCGCAAACGTCGAAGTTTTTCCAAGCCGTGCTCAATCTTACCGGGTATTTCAGGCCTATTATTGGCTTTACTCCATCGTAAAAATACATCTTTCAACATACTGCTGACGTCATGTCGCGAGTTTCCTGGCAACATTTCGAAGCACATTAAATTGAAGAGAAACAGTTTGCTCCAGTTTCTTCTTAAAAGCTCCAGTTGGTCAGGATAGTAAAGTTCAGAAAAATACGGCAAACCCTTTGCCCATTTTATGCTCATGAACAACCAACGAGATGCTGTTTCCACTTGAGTTTCACCTGTTTCACATGTCGTCGACGAATTTCGAGGGCGTTCCGAACACAGCAGATTGTGCGCGGCCAGTTTTGCAAAGCTTGACGAGTCCCGTTGATCACTAAACGGTGTTCGAGTATGATGCAAAAAAAAGTGCGAGGAGCAACCAGTCGCTTTAAGTCTGTCGAGTTTTTCCATAGTAAAATGATCTAAAAGTTTAGAAGTACGCATCAGATTTTCGCGAGTAGAATAATATTCATGTTAGGTCTGTATAAGTAATGTAAATGTTTTCAGTGCGGACTTTCAAAATGAACCAAACGTAAGAATATGAAGAAAATATAACATCATAAAACATAAAGAATAACAACGACGAATACATCGTTAATTCTCAAAATAGCACATCAAACGCCAGTGGGCTGAAAACTACCTCAGACTTGAGAAACTGGGAAAAACAAATTACTAACTTCTAGATTACATGTTTACATAATGCCCAGACTTAATTATATTTTATGCTATAAATACAAACCTTAATGTTACAATTCTCTCAGACAATTCGAATAACGACAGCTATATATTTGAGTTAAGATATAATGTTAAGATTAAAACAGCATATAAACCCAACTCTAAATTAGTCGGGGAACTCCTTTTTCTCCAAAGTTCAAGATAGAAATGACAAGTTAGTGACAACATAAAAGTTTAAAGTAAAGAAATTACTTTCCTATTCTTGTCTTGAAGTAAAAACACAATTTAATTACAAACAAAAGAGCGATTTGTTTTAAACATCTGCTTCTATTACCTTTCGTGAATGAAATAAGACGTCAATAGAGCAATTCACTGCTTTTTAAAAGCTATAAAACTCCTTCTATAATTATCAAGCCAATCACGTGCGACTTAAGTTGCCCCACTACACTATTTTATGAGTCTATAACGACGTTAAGCATCATCGTTGAATGCTCTGAACTTGCGCTTGATTCTTTAACGATTGTTATCGACCTTGCAGGGCATTCCCGTCATATGGCAATTTATCACACAATTTATCAAACAACTTATCTCTCTCTATATATGTATATGCAAATTACGAAGGCATGGCCATTAAAAAAAAATTTATCATGATATCATGTGTCTTAGATCTCAACATAATTTCTTATTCGAGTACGTGAATTCAAAAGTAAATACATTTATTTATTGCGTAAAAAATATAATTCATCATGTTTTGTCTTTACGTTAGACTAAGATGCTTACAAAATATTCACATAAAATGTAAGATTCCTGGCGTGGTTTATACAACATAGTTATATTATTGCAATAAGCTGGGCATAAATGTTCACTATAACATAGTTCTGATGAGTATATTATTGCTCATAGCTTACTTCATTTTTTCATCTCTTACTCACTGTTCACAAACACACAAAAACAACCAGTTTTTAATTGCACCTAACGTCCTATCATTTTTAAAAGAGTTATGAAAGTCGTAAGAAACGAGAGCGATATTCTTGTATTGTTGTCATAAACTTATCCCACAAGGGTTTTTTTTTTATTTAAATGAAAGATGTCGTTGAAGGACGTCATAAGAATTTATATTTGTCATCATAAGTTTGCATTTTAAACATCGTCTATCAGCTTACTATGGCATATTATGTGGTGCCAAAGTAAAAAATCATTTATTTATCATGAATTGGTCTTTTTTAATGAATTCGCCATCTTGCGTAGACTATATTTGATTAAAATGCGCATCATTGTCACGCATTCACAATCTTGTTTACTAATATGGCGGTGTTGTATATTCATTAGTAAAGATGCCATTTTGTCTGGCAAATTACATGGAGGTAGGAACAAAATAATATTCTCTTAATTCGCATTTTGAAAATGATTTAAAACACATCTACAAGCAGCCAACTAGATTACTGAACGATCTGGATAATATAACTGCAAAGAAAAAATTATCTTTTTAATAATGTGACAGCACGAGTGAATGCAAGTGAATATTTATAAATGCGTGTGTAGTCACGGAGTCTGAAAAGTATAATTATGCAGTAATTGAAGGCAAAATAACGATTTTCCTTACAGCAACGACTTAATGTTCTTATAGCTAAAATTTTTTTTGAAACGTGCTTTTACTAATCGACGAAGGAATTTTTCAGTCATTCGCAAATGAAAAAGACAAAAATATCATAACAAAGCCGGACATGAAAGCGCATTGTACTTTTAATGGACCAGCAAAGTTTATAGGAAAAATGTTGCAAAATATTGAAAATATAGCCATATATCTAAACTTAGCTACAGTAAATTAGTACGAAGCACGAAAATCCATCGCTATTTTTCTTAGGTCAGTTCATGCCATTATTTAATATAATATTATGTAGTTATCATATATATGTTTAAATAAAAAATGGTCTAAAAGAGTAAAAATACATATTCTACCGTATGGCGACAAGGCTAAATGAGATTGATGAACTCATATTTTATGCACTATGATGTATACAATACACACAGTATACTCTACCTCACATAATACATAGGCAAAGAGCATATCCCTATCATCAAACGGACATGTGTCACAACAGATGCCAATATATCATACAGAAAAAGAACAGCGAGAAAGATTAGCAAGAGCAGTCGTTAAATGGCTTCAAAGTTTATAAAGTAGCTAATCAACATCGTTCTTGTTTGAAAAAGAGATAAAATCAACGGATGGTATAGGTTTTGCGTGCTTCTACTTCAATACATACACAAACAAGTTGTTTTAAGAAATGTAACCATTTCAACCATTTTTTCTTCTCCTTTCGATAATTCAGCATGTAAAGAAAATTAAAGTATACACACAGTTCAATAATTGACAACATTACCTCTTATTAAATAGAAATAATTTCTTTGAGAAAAGTGATAAATACCAAACGCGTCCTTTCCTTAACACATTCAAATACAATATTGGTTGACAAAACGCAAAAAAAAATGTTTTCATCACGAATTCTAGCTAAGTGCTTTTTAACGTGTGCTTCCAGGTGTGAACAGTTTCTAACAGCGTATGAGTAAAAATTCAATTTCTTGCACAGTTAAGTTCATTAAAAGATGAACATGGGTGTTCCGTACAAATAATTTATTATTGAAAAAAAAAATAAGAAAAATCTTCGTGTACATTTAATGAGTTGTGTTTTGAGCTACAATTACATAAAACATACGTATATCTTTCACATTAACACATTAAAAAAATAACGGGACGCTGGCTATTTATCGACTTCAATGTCAAAAAATATAAAGTTTTGGCTACTTTGATTTCAATGTCAAAATGTCTATTAAATTGCTTAGTTTAACGCTTCATATATTGAGTGTGAATGTATATATGTATGATGTGAAGAGTCTCTAAACATTAACGTACACTCTCGCACTATCTAACAAGAAAACAACACTGAACATGTAGAATATAAGATAAGACGAAAGACCGAATACGCAAATTAAAATACAGTTCTTACCTTTTTGTAAATATTAATTGAATATTTCTTGGAGGCTGTGAAAAAAAATCATCCTTCGTGTCTTCATCAAATCTCCACGTTGATAAAAAAACCTTTGCGTGGGTATTTTGGTTCATAAATAAATATGCGTGGGTATACTGTACTACGATATATAAAGTCTTCCAAATAGGTAATCTTATCTTGACTAAATAAATATATATTAAAGCGGGTGTTTTAATGCTATTTCATCACCCAAGGTGCCACCTAGCCCAAATCAAATACAAATGTATAAATTCATTTTTAAAAGCTATAAAATCAGAAGGACTAAAGAGCGGAAGATGACGAGAAAAAAACTGTTAAAACATAATCTCTTTCTCTTGCAGTGGCAAAAATATTCAACTTAGTTCATTTGACCGATGTATCCGTCATTATCAGATAAATCATATTCAACGACAATTTTGATGACACTTTTTTCATGTCTAACACACTTTGTTTGAAGAGTTGAAAAATTTACGATATGGAGACGAATTTGTAAAATGAATTTATGTACAGTAAGAAAACACATTTCTATTTACTCAACTGATCATTCATTATTTGAAAAATATTAATGTCACGTGCATGACATGCACTGATCATATATCAGAGACTATAAGAGATTGAGGACATCATGTATTTATCTTAAATCGGAGAAGTATTCTATGATATAAGGCAACCATAAACCTCCAAAGCACACAATACAAAATAAGCTAGCCAGCACGTGGCGTATTCTAACTAAGTAGCAAGCAATGTGATTATATCCCGTTAAAACACGTGTTGTTTTTAGCATGTTGAATACATGCAATAATGCAGACCAAATATAAAAGCACCCGATGGAGAAGGGGACAACTGCCGTATTAAAAAAATTGTCGACTTGGTATTTTCCATTCATTCTAGCTTTTGAACCTTTGAACCTTTAAGTTATATCATGTCATTACGTTACTTCATGTAAATACGCTATCTTACTTCAGAGAAGCTTTAAAAGTTTCTTTACGATCTGATTATATTTGATATAGATTAACAGGTGTTGATAAAACAATAACTACAATATGATAGAGAATATTTTTAATATATGAAGGCAAAATGCGTGGTAATAATAAACTATTAGAAGACTGAAAAATAAAATTAATTGTAGTGGCTCCTATAAAGCATCACTAAACGTCGATAATTCTACTGGAATATTTTAGGATTATATTCTAAGTTACCCAAATACATCGGAAAATACTCAACAATTTGCATCTTTCGTGAAGAAATTAATTTCATTTAACATTCGTTAACCGCTGATGGCAACCTTACCTCACATCTAAAGATGACCAAAACCACCATCATCATGATGGCAACCTTAACTCACATCTAAAGATGACCAGAACCACCATCATCATGATGGCAACCTTAACTCACACCTAAAGATGACCAGAACCACCATCATCATGATGGCAACCTTAACTCACATCTAAAGATGACCAGAACCACCATCATCATGATGGCAACCTTAACTCACACCTAAAGATGACCAAAACCACCATCACCATGATGGCAACCTTAACTCACACCTAAAGATGACCAAACCACCATCATCATGATGGCAACCTTAACTCACACCTAAAAATGACCAGAACCACCATCACCATGATGGCAACCTTACCTCACACCTAAAGCTGACCAGAACCACCATCACCATGATGGCAACCTTACCTCACACCTAAAGATGACCAGAACCACCATCACCATGATGGCAACCTTACTCACACCTAAAGATGACCAGAACCACCATCACCATGATGGCAACCTTACCTCACACCTAAAGCTGACCAGAACCACCATCAACATGATGGCAACCTTACCTCACACCTAAAGATGACCAGAACCATCATCACCATGATGGCAACCTTACCTCACACCTAAAGATGACCAGAACCGCCATCACCATGATGGCAACCTTAACTCACACCTAAAGATGACCAGAACCACCATCACCATGATGGCAACCTTACCTCACATCTAAAGATGACCAGAACCACTATCACCATGATGGCACCCTTACCTCACACCTAAAGCTGACCAGAACCACCATCACCATGATGGCAACCTTACCTCACACCTAAAGATGACCAAAACCACCATCACCATGATGGCAACCTTACCTCACACCTAAAGATGACCAGAACCACCATCACCATGATGGCAACCTTAACTCACACCTAAAGATGACCAGAACCACCATCATCATGATGGCAACCTTACCTCACACCTAAAGATGACCAGAACCATCATCACCATTTTAATAAAAAAGCAAAAATGATAAGACAAAAAACAAAAAGATCTTGAATCGATCACTTTTTCAATAAATTGTGATCTTATCCTTTTTCAACGATCATTTAGTATAATGTGTATATTTTAAAATTCTGCTAAGCATATCTACATATTAGTGCTAAGACAACTTAAGCAACTTTGGATATTTAAGATGAATTCTCGAAAGGCAGTTTGATTTTTCGCCATTGATAGGTTTGGAAATAAAAAATTCGCACAAACGCGTCTTGTGAGAAACGAACTCAAAAAACGCCATAAAAATTTGTAGTAATATCCGCACCTTAATATTTATGCATGAGTTTTGGTCATTTATATTATATTAAGATATTAAATACTTCTTAAAAACGCCATAAAAATTTGTAGTAATATCCGCACCTTAATATTTATGCATGATTTTTGGTCATTTATATTATATTAAGATATTAAATACTTCTTAAAAACGCCATAAGAAAGTGAGTGTGCATCGTCATTGCAGACATATTGTTTGTCATGAAGATTTTATCTATTTCAAACGGTTTTCATATACTGGCAGATGTGATAGTATCACCATTGAAAGAGTAAACACCTGTCATAGGACGTTCAGCGCATTAGCCGATGTTGTCTAGCATGATGAAACGAAAAAGTTCCTGTTTTTTGAACGACGAAACGATTCAGAGAATCCTATAAGCTAAAGGGCGGGCGCTAGAACGTGAATGCACGTATATTCAGTTGTGTCCGACTGACTTCTTTCGAAAGTTAGTTCACTATCAAAAGAAATTCGTCCAGTACAACTGAATATACATTCCGTTCCCTCCAATTGACGTTCTAGGGTGATGGTACTCCCTACAAGAATACCTCACTCTTTCTAAACAGTTTCTGCCATTGTTTAGAAATGTTAGCAGCCGTTTGTTTCAATATCACCGACCTTCATTTTGCAAAAAGTCCATCTGGAAAAGCCTTCGGCGATTTGAGCAAGACAGCTTTGCGATCATACGATATTAGAATCCGACCTAAGCGGGGGAGTTAAAAATAAAATTTAAACACATCAATACTGTATTCAACGAATGAAGATTTTAAAATTCTTAAAATAGTGAAAAATAAAGTATACTTTAAAAAGATCTGAATGAAAAAATTATCCAAAACATAAAGCGACGAACTATAAAAACCAAAATACATAGCTAAAGAAGTAAAATAAACATTAAAACTCAGCTATACAATATAAAACCAAAAATAATCAAAATTATTTAAAAAATTACAGGAGTATGTATATATAGGTGGATTGAACAATAAAACCAGTATTTTTGTGGAAAAAATTTTGTAATAAACAACAGAAATGGCAGGTTGTACCTGTTGAACTCATCACAATAAAATTGTAATATATCTTAATAAAAACACAATTCTAACACAATCAAAGAAACACGTAAATATTAAAACACACAGTTATTGAAAGGTAAAGAATAATATTGATGAATTTTTATAGTATGTATAACAAAAAAGATATTTTTACTTAGGATTAGCAAAAAATTTCACAGCAGAAAGAGTTATAGTTTGTGCTTTAGAGATTATGGAGCAAAAGACTGAGATATTTTTGAAACAGTAGCTAGAGGTCTTATAAACAAGATTACTCTTACTAATGATCTTTCCTCAAAATTTAAACAGTCATTGAGAAAATGTTGAACGTTACACAATTTATGATTGCGGACAGAAGAGTCCCTCATATATCCACAGATATTACCCAAGGTATCACATTGACTATAATACTAATGATGTCGCTGCTGGGAAACAGCCTTGTTTGCTACTATGGACTAACATCTTCTCGAAGACAAGCAATGAATTATTTTATCATCAACCTTGCTTTTGCAGAAATATTTTTTGCTCTCTTAGTGATGCCCATACACATCAGCAAAAATTTTATTGGATATAACATCATTGTCAACCATGGACTATGCAGAATTGTTCAATATTTTCACATGGCAATGTTAGGAGTTATGAATTTTACTTTGACAATCATAGCTGTTGATAGGTATCTGTCAATGTTTCATCCCACATCGAAAATAACAATTCGCAAGGCAAAATACATGATTGCCTTGGTGTGGTCCATACCATTTCTAGTTACAAGTCCTTTATTTTTGGACTTAGCTGGCATGAGAATGCATTCTAGACAACTGTTGCTTCAGTGTGGTATAGGTATATCGGAAGATGTAAGCCTGCAAATTAAGATATACCTTTTGACACAAATAACCTTAATAAGTATCCTACCCGTGACCTTGCTGATCATTATGTATATTGGAATGATCTGGAGAATTTTGCAAATTGACGCAAGCCACAAAAATCTCAAGTTCTCTCAGGCTGCTAATGTCAAGAAGTCACCTTGTGGCACATATCGAGAGGATATATCGGCAGCAAAGCGAAGGGCATTTGTTATGAACTTCATTGTAACTTGTCTGCATTTGTTTTGTTGGGGTCCGGTCATCATTTTGTATGCAAGTCAAATCATGAAAAACTTTCAAAATAACAAAACAAATCTTTTGCATAATATATTGACCTACATGGCAGAATCTAATTTGGCCTTGAATCCATTGATTTACTGCCTCTTTGATTATGTGTTTCAAAGTAAAGTAATATGTTGTTTTAAGCACAAGTTCAGTCTGCAGCAACATAAACACCTTCCAAAGGATTGCAACAAACCCTTGACTGAGGAAATATTAAATGAACTGAATGTCAGCAAAATAACTTCAACAGTTGATGGCTGCATGGAAAAAGAGCCTCTTCTCCAGAAGACCACTGCACAATCACCATCACAAATAAGCTTTTGAGCAAAGAGAAATTAATCAAACTTGTTTGCAATACAAGAAGATACAGAAGTTTGGGTCTGTCAAGAAGCTCTCAGATATAATGATTGGATAGGAAGCTTTGCTTTTCAACTAAAATTTCAGTGTGAAGAAGATATGTGGGGTTAGAAATAAATATGAAGATGGTGGACAGGAGCAGTAACCTCTTCCCAAATTTCAAAGAAGCCATTGATTTTGTGAGAACTTCTACTTTATCAAATTATAGAAACTTAATAATTTTACATTACATACAGTGACCTAAAACATTCAAGATAAGCCTCCCCCCCTCCCTAAAAAAAAGGACAAGAAACATACCTTTAATGATCCAAATGTATCATGAAGATCCAACAAGGTTTTGTCATTTTGTCGAATTTCGTCCTCTAAGTTCATTTATAACAAAACAATTTCCAACAGGAAAACATTTTAACTAGAAAATCCTGCTCTGTTATCTACGAAAATTACTGCTCTATTATCGCTCCACATTACGATGAAAAGACAATATTTATGAAGACATCATAATGCAGAGTTTGGCAAAAAGGAAGAAAATTTATCCTCAAACCGCCAAAAGTCCACCATGTATTCTCGCACCACGAGAAATCTCGCGCGTTTACGAGTTTGCGACCATGCAGGAGAAAAAACCCAGTGTTGTTGTTTAGCATGCATGATAATTATTAATTAAAATCTTTTTTCGTTTCATACTTTTCACGGCAAAGCTTGTACGAATACAACTAGAGAAATTTTAGTTCATAAAACAGTATGAAAACATTAATGATATTTTGACTAGGCGAACGTAGACCTTAATGCGATGGAATATGGCAATATAGGTAATCAACTAACAGTAATAGCCTCAGACCTCGGGCTCCTAGACCCATTGGGTCGTACGGCAAAAGGCGGGCTATTTCGCGTGGATTTGCCATTTCGAAAGCGTTTGTCTGAAACGAGTCGGTTAAAGCCTGATTTCGACGTGAAAAGAATCCATGTCAATCCTTCGGAATTTTTGAATATAATTGTCTGCATTCTATTCACATCACCAATTAAGAACCGACTAAAAACCTCTACATTTGTGTATTCAAGGTCTGTACTTTATTATGGATCAATCGCCCGTAGCAACATTCAAAGTAAGTATGATTTTGCTTTAACTTGCTTGAAACGACGAATTCTTCATTTACTGATTTATTGAATTTTCATTGTGTCTGTTATAGTTAGTTCTTGTGGGAGATGGTGGTACTGGAAAAACTACATTTGTAAAACGACACATGACCGGAGAATTTGAGAAAAAATATGTGGGTATGTGAGATGATTATAGAAATCTTTAATCATTATAGAAGTGTTTATCGAAGGGTGAGGTGGAAATTTAATTAAATACTGGTTATTTTATATATATCTGGTAAGGTATTTTCATTTTTGAGTATATTTTTTGTGCTGAGTTTTTGTTTTGGATCAACAGCTGAGAGCAAGTAAGGCATGGAACTCCATAAGAAATTGGGTTGTATTCATTCTTTGCCTAGTTTTTTGTCATCTACAGTATCTTGTTTGCGGATTTACCCTTTAAAAATATTACACAAGAGTTGGGGGGTGGCAACCAACTGGTAACCATTAAGTAGATCTTTGTAGGCAGCACTAACCATGATTATCAGTTGGCAAAATGTCAGTTATTTTGAAAATTGTCCCCCCTGTCTTGAAATTTTCTCTTTGTGTTTCCTTTTTTCTGTCTTTTCAATTCTTCTATTAAGAGTATATTTAAAATTTTATTGTAGCAACTCTTGGAGTGGAAGTACATCCTCTTGATTTCTACACGACATGTGGAAAAATAAGATTTAATGTTTGGGATACAGCTGGTCAAGAAAAGTTTGGTGGTCTTCGTGATGGTTACTACATCCAAGGACAGTGTGGGATCATCATGTTTGATGTAACTTCTCGAGTAACGTACAAAAATGTCCCCAACTGGCATAAAGATCTTGAGCGTGTGTGCCAAAATATTCCTATTGTGTTGTGTGGTAATAAAACTGATGTCAAAGATAGAAAGGTCAAAGCTAAAGCCATTACTTTTCATCGAAAGAAGAATCTTCAGGTAGAATTTTTGTTTTGTATTACTACAATTATTCTTCACCTTTTTTTATTCATAATTGTTTATTTTTTTTTCTTTGGTTTATTTCAGTACTATGACATCAGTGCTAAAAGCAATTACAACTTTGAAAAGCCATTTTTGTGGTTGGCACGTAAGCTAACTGGTGAACCAAATCTTGAGTTCACAGAAATGCCTGCATTATTACCACCTGAAGTGCAGATGGATGCTGCCCAAAAACAACAGATTGAGGCTGACCTTATTGAGGCACAGAAGACTGCTCTTCCTGATGATGATGATGATTTGTGAACATTGTATTTCTAATATCTTTTGTCATAGTATTAGGAGCAGTAAGCAACATTCTAAAGATAATTGTATTCCAACTGTGGAGAAAATAGATTAATCAATGGATGATATTTGCTCCAGTTACCTCAGTGTGAGCTTTTGATAAACTTAAATAATAATTTCATAAAAAGATATGTTCATTGGAAAATTTCAGTTTTATTTCAATAAGACTTTTGTAAGATGTTGAAAGAGTAATTGTTGGAATTAAGGTTCCTAGAAAAATAACTTGAATAAAGTTCCAGTATTTAGTTTTCCATGATCTTCATTCTACATAACAAGACTAAAGAAATTGAAATCATAATCTGTGGTCATTGGCCATTTTGATGTAGATTTATATGTGAAAGATGGCGTACAACAGGACTTGGGAAGACTTCAAAAGCACGTTTGCTATCCTTATGCACATGCAAGATTATTTCAGCCATTAATAGTAAATCCTTGTTGCTTTGCTAAGTTTATAAAAATTAACAATTGTGAGTAGTAAAATTTTAAGCTGAAATGCTTATAGCATGATTCCAGGTGTTGTTTATATTTTATACGCATTTGATTATGTAGAAGCTGGCATAAGTTGTGCTTTTCAATTTGTTCTTTGTTTAAGTAAAGGCATGGAAATATTAGGCAAAAAGACTTTGGTCCGATATTCACGTCATTCGACACTAGTGAATATAAAATTTTTTGCATCGGCCCCAAAATTTATCTGGGTAGCCTCATTGAACAAATACTTATGATTAATTCATCCGAAAAAACTCGTTTATGTTAATGTAAAGAAAATACATAAAAATGCAGATGGGACATTTCTCACAATCCAGAAGTTGGGAAATTTTTGTACGTTTCTTGAGGAGTTACATCAAGTATGATGATTCCACATCAGTGCTAAAAGCATTTACAACTTTGAAAAGCCATTTTTGTGGTTGGTATGTAAGCTAACTGGTGAACCAAATCTTGAGTTCACAGAAATGGCTGCATTATTACCACCTAAAGTGCAGATGGATGCTACCCAAAAACAACAGATTGAAGCTGACCTTATTGAAGCACATAAAACTGCTCTTCCTGATGATGATGATGATTTGTGAATATTGTTGTATTAAGTACAATCAATACATACCATTCAGATTTTTAAAGTATTCCAATGATGGATAAAATAATGTAATTTATATTTGCTAATGCAAACTCAGATGTAAACAATAATTTCAGAGCAGCTTTTTTCAGTTAATTGAAAAGAATTAATTTTAATGTGCAAAATAATTAAATTAATTTTTTTGAAATGATACTTCCTGAAATACAACAAATTGCTAAAAGCCTAACGTTCAACAAATAAATTTATGTAAATGGGTCTCATTCCAAATAGTCAAAGTCTTCAGGGATCCCAAAATTCTTATCAATTGCCTTCTCATCTACACCAAAGCTCTTCGTGCACCAAGACTTTATAGAAAAAATGTTGTCTGTCCAACGGTTAGCAGATTCTTGTGCAATCTTAGCCTCTTCACTCATTTTTTCTATTACTTCAGGATCGCATTCTTTGTACTTCTCGAGATCTTTAGCCAATTTTAAATTAAGCTCTTCTTTTATTACCAAGTCGTTAAGAATTTCTTCACGTTCCTCCTAACAGCATGACAATTGGTGACAGACATGAAACAAAACTTGATTTATCAAAACACATTTTCGTAAGCACCTTAAATTACTTACATTATTCACTCTGGTCATCTTGGCTTCATCAATGTTGTCAATAAGTTGCTTTTTCTTATTTTCTAATGTTTTAATGTTGTTTTTTAACTGTTCCAGTTTAGTTTTTTTCTAAAAGAGTGAGGCTATCATCAAATGGTAATTAACAAATTTTATCGTAAATCCTGCAAAATTTTAACATTTAGAATAGAAAGAAAGTTACCATATTGCAGACCTATATACTAAAATGCTGTCAATTAAACTCACAGAATTCACAACTTTGCTTGGAAAAGACCAGAAATAATTTGAAGTCCCAATTTTTTCAGTGTCTACAAGATTGTCATCAACCAAACCTTGAACAATTTCCTTCACAACCATACTATCTAGATGAAGGTGTGTTGAGAAAAAACTGTAGCCTTCATCAAGTTCTGATTTGGCAAATGATAATTTTGTTGAATGGTTACATAAGCTGTTGTAAACCAATCAATAATCTCAAAAATAAGCCTACACAAAATAATAGCACATTTTTACGTTTACCATTGTTTAATAATTACATAGTTTATAATTATTTATTTATTGAAACGTACTTATGCCTTTTTCTTTTGAAGCAATCTTCTCAATTTCTTTCAATTGAAAAAAATCCTTCTGCTCCAGAAAAAAAGAAAGAAAGATTGGTTTTCTTATTTAAACGTCAGTATTTTACAGTTGCTGTAATCTCATAAATTACCGTATCAAAAAATATGTCCATGATTCTTTTTCTCTTCTCGTCCAGGCTCAAACCTCGTTTTCTCGACTTTGAAAAACAAATAAATGCAATATTTAAAGCAAATTTAAAGCTTACATATTCAAAGCAAAAAGCTCGACGTTTTTACTTTTACTTAAGAGTATTTTCTTACCATTATTTTTATAGTATATTTCACATTTTGTGATCAAAACATCTTTACAAAATCAGGCTTGAGAGTTTGAAAATGCTTTTACATTCCCTCCCTCCCCCCCTTACGTGTCCTGATTATCACTAAATTATACTTTAACCTTTAACCATTGGTAAAAACCATTGACTTTAACAGTGCGCTGTCATTGTATTAAATATATATTTTACTATATTCGATGATCTTTTCATTAAAAGACAAGTACGTTTCTCAATATTTGTTCATGATTGTTAAATTTTATCTAAAATTCGTGTATGGCATTCGGGTAGAAATTTTAGACCATTTCCTGAACCCCCGGTCTAGTAAAGTTGTTTTCAGTGCTTGGACACCTGATTACCAACCATAAAAACAAGAAACTCTGAGAAACTCTATTCAACCAACCGGTATATAGAAGTACGGTGTGGCCCAGTGGTCAGGACAGGACCAGTTACCCGAGGTCGGCCATGGTTTCGGCAGGGTCTCGATTGGTCTCGATGGACCGTCACCTGGTGACATATTCATTAATGACGTAAACAATAAATGTTTGTCACGGGAGTCAGCTATTGTCATTTTGATCGATAAATGTGCATTCGTATGCTAGAATAATTGTATCGTTACAATTTCTGTTAACATCAAGCTTCATTTATGGCTTCGTGTTGCACGTTGTACGATCTGTCAATTAATGCAGTCGTAAAGAATCATGAATTTTTGTTGAGAAGTATTCGAGAGCTTCCTGGCCACTTGAAATGCGATGTTTACAGAAAGGTATGAAAGAATATTATTTATAGTTTCGATTATCAATGTAGACAAATAGATGGTAATTTTTTGTTTGCATATGTAGTTTTGCTTTGGATAATAGTTTTGTCTATGATGTTGCTATCTTTTTGTTTTTTTTCTTCTTGTGAGATGTACGATCGTGGGCAGATAAAACCACTTTCCTCAGAGCTTCTTCGCCTGGACAATGTGATACCATTAGCTCGAGCAAATGAAAAAAGGTACACTTTGTGCTTTAAAAATGAAAATTTCCAGTCTTTGTCGGTACAAGATCAAATGTTATAGTAAAATCTGGCAGACATCAGATAAAGCTTTTGGGCATCCTAGGTACCAGCATGTTATAACTTATAACCAATATGATCCTGAATGATTGAATATTGAATTGTGCTAAATTTGTGCCTGAATATTATAATGACTAAACTCTGATTGTAAAAAAATGTAAGTCATGTTGATGAAACAACTGGAGTCAAACACAAGTCATTTTGTAATTTGAGACTTTTTCCTTTATTTCTCAACATTCTTTGCAATAATCAATTTGTTAAATATTTCAGACTACAACTTTACAAGCCCCTGCAGCATCTCTTGGACAATGGAATAAATGTCGCATTCATTTTAAACGAAAAATTTAATGCATGTGTTCAATCTTTCCTAAGACTAAGAAATTGGGAAGCATGTGAACGCTTTGTTCCTTATGGCATATCGCTTGGTAAAGAAACTTATACTGTGAATGGTTTGAACCTGGGAGTATTGTTACATGTTTGTGGATGTAGATCATCCGGGTTAGTAGAGTAATAAAAATGACTGTTTGTGCTGATGTAGAGTGGGCCTTTCAACAACCTTAGTGATAGCCATCTTCAGAGTCAAGGTGACTACTGCTAAGTTTGTCAAAACATCAGTCTACACCATTGCCAACAGTCATCAGGACTTTACTAACCTGGATGATCTACATTGACAAATATGAAATGTATACTTTTGTTAACGGCTCATGGACTATTTTTTACAGGTTTGTTTTTTATTATTGCAGGTAACTTCTTTGTCGAGATGGGCTGGTATTGTGGTGCAGATAAAATTTTCAATTGTGTTTTAATGCTTTGCAAAGCATTGACACCTGTGCCATATAAAATTGTATTACTATGTCATGTGAGGTTAGTTGACCCTGTATAAATATGTTAATGACTATTGTTTTTGTCTAACATGAAATATATATGACAATTCATTAGTTGTTCTTTAAGCTTTACTTCATGTGATGTACAATAATTTTGTATTTTTCTGTTTTTGTTAGATTAATGTATATAAGGGCTGCAAGCTGTCAGTTTTGCATGGCAAAAGATTCATATGAGAAAGCAGTTGAGTTGGCAAGCCATTTGGAAAGTTCATCAACCATTGATGTCAACTGGGCAACAATTGCTCTTGGAAAATGTCAACTATGGTTTGCCATGAATCACTATAGAGAGGTTATGCAGTTTGATAATCTGTTTAATGTTGAAAGCATATGGAGTGGCTGCTCAATCTTCTGTGCAAGAAATACATGTTTTCATATACATCCTACGAGAAATAACTTAGCATTATTTTTATTTTGTCCTACAGGCCTATCAAGCTTCTCTTAAACTTCTTCCTAAAGTAACCTCACGGCTTCATCCTAAGGTTAGAAAGAGGTTGCAGGATGTTCAAGTTTACTTGAGTGCTCTTATCTTATCTATTTTAAATTTTATTAATGTTTGGGATTGCCAACTATATGCATCTAAATAACATTTGTCATTTTAATTTACTGTTTTCATTTGTCTATAGACTATCATCGAAATTTTGCGAATTGCATCAAAGGTAATTTATGAATAAAATTTTTATGGGAAACTTAGATGATATTGTTTGAATAACTTGAAAAGATTTTGATTTATTTTAATTTCTATAAAGCAGCACATTGAAATTACTACAATTTTACTACTTATATACCACCAATAACTATAATAAAACTTTAAATGAGATTATTACTATTCATACACACACGTGTTATAGGCTTGTGTGGTAAAAAGAAAGTTTCGAAAGGCAGCTTCATTAATCACGTACGCAGTTGCACTTTCCAAGTAAGATTTTATGAAGATATCGAATGCCTCCTGTCATCTATGGTTTTGCTAATGTTCATATACAAAATTTTATGAGTTGGATGATTATTTACTACAATGCATTTACAAATATTTTGTGTTTTGCGTGCCCTTTCCTTTCACTGATTGTACTCGCTATTTGCTTATAAATTGTAGTTAAGCCATTGCATACGTTTTTTTTCTGTATGGTTACAGTATTGTATTCATTTACATTGTACATTGTTTAATTGCACTCTTTATGACTGATGATCAACTGTGTTGCTTCATCACAATTTATCCTAGACTTTATTCGTGCGTGGTTATACCGTATAAAATAGATGCTTAGACGAGAACATTGCTTTATTGAACATTTACTGTAGAGAGCGATATGGTGAAGAACATCCAATTTCTGCTAGTTGCTTAGTAGACTATGGTTTTTATCTTCTTAATGTCGACTCCGTCGATTCTGCTGTCAAGGTTTATGAGGTAAGTATATTAATGCATTTTAAAGTTTTGTTGAAATGTTACTGGAAGTCTCTGCGTGATCAAAAACGTCTTGTTGAAAATTTACTCTCAAATTAACAAATTTAATGGTGATTAAAGGAAAATTATTTTTGTCGTTTTTCTTGTTCTTTAAAGTGAACATTTACATTTATACTCCGTACTTTATAGGATGTACTAAAGATTCGACAAAATCTATTTGGTGGCAGCAATCTTACTGTAGCTATGGCTCACGAGGATCTTGCTTATGCTTTATACGTCAATGAATATAGCACTGGAGATTTTGATCGCGCAAGGTATTTTTAGCACTTATTTTTTTTCAAATTTTAAGCATAAGCAAGCGTCAATTAATCTGTTTCTTTTTGTTTTCTCATTTACATTTGATGAACTGAGAATTGTTGAATGTCAATTGCAAACCATCCTAACTACGTATGACATAAATACAGATAGCCAAATTACTTTGATTTGATGATGTTGTAGGTGCCATGCACAAATGGCCATAAACATTTTTTTGAAACTGTTACCACCTGATCATCTGCATTTGGCGTCAGCAAACAGAGTTAAAGGTAACTTATGCTGCAATTTTAATGATTTTTATGAGACATTTGAATGAATGATTGCGTAACTGAATAAAAAACACGACTTTCGTTTTCAGCTTTAATACTTGAGGAAATTGCAATCGACCTTGATTTGGAAAAGGAAAAGCTTAACGAAGCCCTAAAGTTGCATCTTTCTTCTCTTTTCCTTGCCAGGTAATTTGACGATCTTGCCTGGTGTTTTTTTTTCATGCTATACTGAGTTTTCTATCAACATGAGTATCATATGAAATCTATGTAGCACATTTCTTTATTAAAGTAAATGGTTTGAACCCGGGAGTATCGTTACATGTTTGTAAATGTAGATCGTCCAGTCAGTTTTTGACTCTGAAGATGGCTACCGTTAAGGTTGTCGAAACGTCAGTCAACAACAACAAGAACAACCCTTCTCAGGACTATACCAACCTGGACGATCTACATTTACAAACATGTAACATTTCTTTATTATTAGGAGAGCATTTGGTGAAGACAATGTTCAAATAGCAAAACATTTTGGTAATCTGGGCAGACTTTATCAATCAATGAAGCGCTTTCGTGTGAGTATTATGAAAACATAACTTTTTACACATTGTCGTCACTTTTTTATATTCAACTTGAATTTCCTTTACTTTCACATAATACACACTCATGTTGATGTAGAAACTACTTGTGAGCCAATGATCTTTTCTTGCTCAAAAAGTTTCGCCTGATCCGAGAGATTGCTTTGAAATTTGTGTTTGTCAGTTAATGACAGATTTTTTGTTTCTTTTACATTAGGAAGCCGAACAAATGCATATGAGAGCCATTGATATAAAGGAAAGATTGCTTGGGGCTCAGGTATATTGGTGCATTGATAATTGATTAATAACTCTTGGAATCATCATTTAGTAGTATTTCAATTTTTTTCATTCTATCGTTGAATCGTAGTTAGTCAATTTGCGAACGCTGTTTTATATTCACCAATGTCTTATTTTTCTTATTTAAGGACTTTGAAGTGGCGTTGTCTTTGGGTCATCTAGCATCATTGTACAGCTATGATATGAATATGTTTCAGAAAGCTGAAAAACTGTATATTCGTTCGATTGCCATTGGTAAGTAGGTGACTGTTTCAAGTCTTTTCAACACTGTGCTAAGTCCACAGCTGCATTTAGTATTGTCAGTTACGTGCACATGTGACGTATCTTTGTTACTATAGCACTAAATTTAGTTAACTTCTTAGAATTTGACGTAATGTCTAACAGCAAAATATATACACTAATGCATTAGTGAGATTAATATAGTGTTCAGGCGTTGAAAGTTCTCAATAGATTGATGTCTATAGGTTTTCGTTATTTTTATACATTCCTTATGTCAATTGTCTAAGAGAACAAGTACCGAGTATCGATAAAAGCAATGTTTAAAAAAACATTTTGCGATAATTGAACAGGTCGAATGTTGTTTGGTGATGGTTACAGCGGGCTAGAATATGACTACAGAGGCTTAATTCATATATATAAAAGTACAGGTAAGTGATGTTTAACGATGTGATATTTGTCGTAATTGTTGTTTCTGAACGAAAATTTCTTTTCAATTCAGGAAATTTTGAAGCTATGTTGAATTACAGTCACGTGTTGGACAGATGGCACGAATTACGAAAAAATAAATCCGATTCAGAAGTTAACGCAAACGTGAATACTTTACAACATGAAAATAAAACTACCGAAATCATAATTCGAGAATTTTTTGAAAAAATGGACTAAATACAAATTTTATTTAAGCATAAGTGCAATGAAAATGATAAATTTATATTTGTAAATAGAGAGATTATAATTTAGTGAAATGTTATTTGTGTATATGTACAAAATAAAATAATTTGGTAATGAATGCATCGTTGTTAGATAAAGGCATCATTCAACACAATAGCCTATCATATATTTTGTTTTTTATTCTTTAACTGATCCTGATGTCTTATTATTTGACCCCATAGTAGATTTTGTCCACAACTGGGACAATCGCCTTCCAAAGGAATGCAAAAGTTCTCATCCTCTCCTCTTGCGGTGAGAAACGTTTGTGCAAGACATCGAATGTGAGATAACATATCACAGTCAGAGTGAAGACATCGCAAAACGTCCTCTTTATTCTTAAAATAATATCGTGAAAACGTTAAAAAGACGTAACACTAAACGAAATATAATTGCCAATAAAACTCGTGTGTGAAGATGGAAAAAAACACATTTAAGAGACATGCAATCTTACAGTTAGCAAATCTTTGCATATACAACAAGTTTTCGTTTCAAGCTCCTCTTCGCGCGCAATGTCTGCTGATTTTGGTTTCTTCCAACTTGGAATGGACCCATATACTATAGGCATATGTATTGGAGGTTGCTTCAACGTATCAAAGTCCATCATATATTCGTCTTTCAGCCAACGTATCGTTAATGGTAGTCGGTTCCAGGGCCCTACGCGCAACATTTCTGTGAGAACACGAAAACAAAATTGCACACTCTTTTCAGACGATTTTTTCTTTTCAACCACGTGCTTCAATCGTCTACTTTTCATGGGATGCTGCCAAGCCCATTCAAACTAAAATAAGGATAAAGATTTTTACAATACTAAACTTGGCTGGGAATATAATATAAGCCATTTTATATGTTCTACTCCTTACTCGCAAAGCGGAAATTTCATTGGGAAAACCGTGAATTGTGAGGATCATCTCCCTACATATGAGAGAAAAAGTGTCATTACACCTTTTCAGCGATGGTTTTCAGGAAAGACAATGGATCACAGAATGCTAAAACAACATAGTGCATAGTAAAGTGCTTTCCTAAGTCAGTGTTACAAAAGTTGTTTCTCAATGATATCAGGTTTTCATTTTTTTCTCAACGCAATATACGCTGCTCAGTTCAATTACCAAGGTCCTCGTTTGCTGGTTTTGTGCGCTCCCCCCTTTTCGATTCCACCGTTATGTTGTCGTATCCTTCGGTTTGGATCAACCGTAAACCCAATGTATGTTCTTCCTTTGTACTTCGGATTTAGACTGTACAATAAATAGCAGCCATAAAATCTGCTTTCTTCCTCACATATCATGCTGTTTATGAATCACGATTCACGAAGTTTAAATTTACGCTAGACAATAAGACAATGGCGCTCATTATTCTACCGCTGGGTTCTTCTTTACAGTACCGATGGCTCACGTTCTTTATAAACTTTGACTTTACAAACGCATGGCTAAAAATCTTAGTGACGTTTGGTGTGAATTTACCACAGAAATTAAACAACTGGATCATGCGAGAACACGTTATTGTCATGTTTTGTGCATAGAACTTTTTTCAGACGTATTTGACGAATGCATTAATGTAGTATTTAGCCGTTCTCTTTTAAGGTACATTACAATTTACACCATTTTGTCATAATGTCATTTTTGTGTTGTTTTGACATGTTTTCCTATAAATTACAACTTATTTTGCCATATATGTTTCTTTGAAATGAATTTTTTATAATATTTAAGTTTCTCCATTAGTGACACAGACCTCTTGAGTGAAAAAAAGCATAAAAAGCACAAGGTACTGTCATAGTGCCCTTTTTCAGCTCTGACAACAGAAATTCCATTTTCAGCATTTATGTCAAAATTTGTTGTACAGATCATTATAAAATATATTGCAGGAAGATGTCATTAAAAACAGCATATCATGTGAAATTGAACATATATCATCTGATTTGGCATTTAATCTTAAATGCACTGCAGATGATGATCAACATTTATCAATGATATTAGGGGAAGATGAAGAATTCAAAGTGATGAAACAAATGGGTCTTCCAACTTCCTTTGCTCTTCCAGCAAGCTTTCCACAATGTGCTGAGGTACTTTATTGTCCATTGCAGGTTCATAATGATAAAAACATTGCATAAATTTAATACTTTTATCTATTCTTGCTCAAGATTTATGTTTACAAACTTTACCAATATTTCTTTATTTGTCTTCATCAAATCAGAGTTGTCAAATGAATCAACTTACATGGGTATTGCACATTTTGCAGGGTCCAAAGAAAAGCAAAAAGAACAAGAAGAAGAAAAAAAGAAGCAAAAAGGAGTGGTCCAACAGATTCATCCCAGTGAATGTGAGAGTACATTTCAAGAAGAGAATAACATTATTGTTGGCGACACTACTCTTGATGATTTTGAAAGCAAGAATCATAACATATTAGGCAAGGACATCAGTAGTAAAGAGAAAAAGAAAAATGACGATGTTTTTCTTCTTGAAAAGAAAGATTTGAATGAGGAAAATGTGGAAAATGTTGTCTATTTTCCAGTGGAATTGAACTACACCTCAACTGTAAAACAACTACAATGTCTGTTCTCAAAGATGAAGTGTGTGAACAATCCATTACCTCTAACTGTGAAACTCATGATTTTTTTGAACAGGGTGCATCACACTCAAAAAGAATGATTCATCTTCACTGGGTTGCAATAAACCAGTCTGTGATGATGATTCATGTGATAGGTTTAGTTCCAAGTCTCCTGGTGGCAATGACTGGTTAAATTATTGGAAGAGATATGGCTATGAGCTAACTTTAAAAAGCTGGAATGCACTTTACCCTGAAGTTACTCCACCCAAACAAGAATATTTACTGAACACTGTTAATGTTACCATGGAAGAAGACGTATCGTTAATGGAGAGTAAGACGCTATTTTTGTGGAGAAAACTTATGGATGAAGTTTGTGCGTACTACTTTGCAGAATATCATTATTGGTATGAGCATGGTTATCGTTATGACCTGGATGGTGTGGTACAACCTGATAAAGACCTGAATGGTGTGGTGCAACCTGATAAAGACCTGAATGGTGTGGTACAACCTGATAAAGAGCTGAATGGTGTGGTACAACCTGATAAAGAGCTGAATGGTGTGGTACAACCTGATAAAGACCTGAATGGTGTGGTGCAACCTGATAAAGACCTGAATGGTGTGGTGCAACCTGATGAAGACCTGAATGGTGTGGTACAACCTGATAAAGACTGTAAAGAGAAGTTCAACCATTGCTCTAATTCAAAGCATAATGGCAATCCAGTATGTCAGTATAATCCTACTATGTCACACGAAGAATGTATCTTAAGCAATCATAAAGATGTGCTTAAAACAAATTCTCAGAAAAATCCGACTCAATCTGTTGATTCCATGTGCCATATTACTTCCAAGGGAAAAACCACTGTCACGTGTTTGCAGGAGAACGAGGGTGAAGTAAATCAAGATAATAACTCACTGCCTGATCGTCAAGTTAACAAGAAGGCAGATAATAATTTAAGACAGAGTGAAAAGAATGAAAACTTGAGAATTGATGAACCCAGGACATTAGCCCCAAAATCAAAGCATGATGTTTACAATTTTTTAGGTTTTAAGACTGCTTCTGGAACCAACTCACTTGCTTGCCATCAAAAGTACGAACATGCTCGTTTGACATTCAATGGAGAATGTTTTTCTCTGAAAAATTTTCCAATGGACTCAATTCAAGCACATTGCTTATACAACGAAAACTATTCCTTTGACGATGAAAGTTCTCATACACAGACGCAAGATGATGAGGCTAATCTTTCGACTTCAAATTTAGGGAATGACAGAAAGAAAGAGGAAGTACTACAAAAGGAAGAATTGTCTAGTTTCGAGGAGAGTACAGAGACCAATAACAGCAGAGAGACACGAAGTATAGAAAAATACACGAATAGCCAGTTTGATACAATGAAGGAGGAATATTGTGGTAGTGATCATATAATCGGTGAAAACTACAAAACTCGTCCATCGAGGCAAGGTTTGACAAAGTATTGGCATCAACGTTATCGTTTGTTTTCCCGTATTGACGAAGGTATAAAAATGGATGATGAAGCTTGGTTTTCTGTCACACCAGAACGTATAGCGAAACATATCGCATACAGATGTCGTTGTGATCTCATTATTGATGCGTTCTGTGGTGTGGGAGGTAATGCAATACAGTTTGCTTTCACGTGCGAACGGGTAATAGCAATCGATATTGACCCGGTCAAAATAGAATTCGCGCGACATAACGCTTGTATTTATGGAGTTTCAGATAGGATAGAGTTTATTGTTGGAGACTACATGAAGCTTGCACCAACTCTATGCGCAGATGTCGTATTCTTAAGTCCACCATGGGGAGGTCCCGGATATTCTGATTCAACAGTTTTTGATCTTCAAACTATGATACCAATGAACGGATACAGGATTTTTGATTTAACCCGTACGATCACCAATAACATTGCATATTTTGTTCCAAAGAATACGAACGTTGAGCAATTGACGTCTCTTGCTGATGTTGATGGGAAAGTTGAAATCGAACAGAATCTTTTGAATAGACGTGTTAAGACAATCACCGCATATTTCGGTGAATTAATTAGAAATAAACACCAACGATCAAATGTATTGTAGAAGTTTTGACTTTTTTTTATTTTTTTTTGAATTGCGAATAAAATCTGTTTTTGTTCGTTGTGATGTATTTCATTTTTTTGCCTTCTTTCGTCGAATTGCATAGTGTCATGTTATTTTGGTTGATGAAAAATAGGGAACAAAAACAAGATAAACAACAGTAACGGTTACGTTTGCACAGGGTTAGCACTGACGGACGTCAGTTCTGTAAACTCTGTTGAGAAATAAAGAAGGAAGCCCAAAGAAATGATGTTTCGTGTACGAGTAGCTGATTCTTTACGGAATGTTTGCGGACTTTGCTTACGCCATATGCACTCGTCGAGCGTGGAGGGTGATCTCAGACCTCGAAGATCCTTGCTTTACATTCCTGGTAACGATGAAAGAAAGATCGCGAAGGCTTTTGGATTGAATGCGGACATAGTTGTTCTTGATTGCGAGGATGGTGTTGCTCTCAATCGTAAGGTACATCATACTTATGTAAAAGGTATCTTGTGCGCACAACAGTAAATGGGTATATATAGATAGTAGATCATAGTTTATGACTGGATATGAGTTTGTTAATACTCTGTACGGTAATCAATTTTTGTTAGGCTGAAGCAAGAAAAGTTATCTCAAATGCTTTGGAAAAATCATCGTTTGGTTCCAGTGAGGTTGCTGTGCGGATTAATTCTGTTGATGCCAAGAAACTGGCAACTGAGGACATGCAAGTTCTTTTAGGTGGAACAAAGATACCAAGTACCATACTTGTTCCCAAAGTTGAACATGTTCATCAGTTGGAATGGGTTGGTAGAAAATTTCCTTATTTTCTTTTATTTTCCTATTTTATAATTTAAATTTCTTCAGGTCAATGAAAGAATCTCACATGTAGCTAAATTACAAAATTCAAACAGAAAGATCTCACTCATAATTTTTATCGAATCTGCCCTTGGATTACTAAATCTTCGAGATATTGTTATGGCAGGAGTTGATCAGTCAAATGTCTTTAATCTCGAAGCAGTTGTGTTTGGTTCAGATGATTTCTTTGCCAATATAGGTTAGTATGTCTTCATATTGCTATTATATCACTTTTCGAATACTTATTTATTTTGTGTTTAATTTACTTGCCTTGCAACCACCTCAACTCCATCATCCTCATTACCAGTGCAACAGTTGCTCCAGAATGATAATTGGGGAGGAAATATTGATATATGCATGTTATAATTTGGAAAAATATTAAATTTTAAAATCAACTTATGAATATTTGTTCCCTAACTATTGCATTGGGCATACATGCCATATCAACATCCATACCCCTGTCATTTGCACTAGTGGGGTAGCCTGGATGTAAACTTGCAGGCTGGCTGCACCACTGATCTACATCATTCCATTTCAATGGATGCCCATAGCCACCATTACCAACATCTTCACTCATTACCATTACCTTAACCATTACAATCAACATCACAATTTCCATTTCCAAAATCAACATTAACATCAACAGCAACATCACCCCTACCTTCACCATTATTATGACCAACATCACCAGCAACATTATCTCTATTTCATCATGACCAATTGGAATCAGCATAACAAAAGCCTATTGTAAATTAGAATGATTTACTGTTTATCCAGGTGCAACAAGAACTCGTGATGCCAAAGAATTGATGTTTGCTCGTCAGGCAATTGTTGTTCATTGCAAAGCCTATGGTCTTCAGGCTATTGACATGGTTCATATTAACTACAAAGGTATGTTTCTCTTTTACATATCCTGTCTATTTTTCAGCTCCTGTCCCGCTATCCTTCTAGGGAATGCCTAAGCTTCGTCACAATTACATTCAAAACTTTACTCAATTACGCTTCTTCACTGACTTTTCTTTGCCTGACATGGCACTCCTTCCATGTCTTATAGCAAAATGGACAACAAGACAATCCACGGACATTTAAACTGTGGACAAACAGAGTGGAATGGTGTAGAGTGAAGTGGAGTGGTGTAGAGTGAAGTGGAGTGGTGTAGAGTTAAGTGGAGTGGTGTAGAGTGGAGTGGAGTGGTGTAGAGGAAGTGGTGGTGTGGAGTGGTGGAGGGTGTAGAGTGAAGTGAGTGGTGTAGAGTGAAGGGATGTGTAGAGATAAGTGGTGGTGAGATGATGAAGATGGATGAATGATGGTGATGAAGTGGCGCAGATTGAAATGATCGTCTCGGATGCCATGATCGTCATGAAATGATCGCGAAAATGATCGATATCATCGATCATCATCGGATTGATCAGTCTCGAAATCATCGATGCATCATATCGCGATCGTCTCGAAATGGATCGGGATGCATGATCAAATCATCGAGTCTCGATCATCGAAATGTCGCATGATCTATGATCGATTTAAATCATGGCGCATGATGGCGATGCATGTCGAGGATGGTGTGATGAAATGGAGTCAATGAAGGAGGAGGTTGTAGAGTGAAGTGAAGGAGAATGAAGGGAGTGGATGACAGTGAATGGAGTAGAGAGTGCAGTATTTGTAGAGGGGAGTAGAGTGAACTTTACAAACGAACGCTCTTAATACGCTCGAGTCTACTTCTGCATGTGATCTAGATCTTTTTGACTTTCATAATCTAACAAAAATCACTTGATCGATCATGTTATGAAAATCCAAAAACAACAATAAATTTAAATGTATTATAAAACATTCACATGTTGTTATATTATTAAAAGATTTAGATGGACTTGAGGAAGAGGCAGCAGAAGGTGCTAGAATGGGATTTACCGGTAGGTTCAATGCTCCAAAATTGTTTTTGAAACATAACCATTTAGATGTGGATGTAAGATGCCTTAATTTTCACATAATTTTGAATTTTAATGTTGTAGGTAAACAAATTATTCATCCTAACCAAATAAATGTAGTGAATGCTGCTTTCTCACCTACGTCGGAAAAGATTGAATGGGCAAGAAGTTTGGTAACGAAATTTGAAGAGGAATCGAAGAAAGGAATCGTAAGACAATTACTTTTGTATAAAGCCACATACCTTTGCAGTTTTCTCAAGTGAAAACATGTATGACATAAACACAAGACAAGTTAAGACATGTACGATGAAATTTGAAAAGGAATCGAAGAAAGGAATCGTAAGACAATTACTTCTGTATAAAGCCTCATACCTTTGCAGTTTTCTCAAGTGAAAGTACCATGTCATAAACACAAGACGATTGAGGTTGGATATGACAATATGACAAGTGAAAACACGTTTGACATAAATCTATTTTTTTATCATTTTTAAAGGGTGCAATAACTTTTCGTGATCAAATGATAGACATGCCGCTCGTAAAGCAGGCTTACAATATTCTCTCAGTGGTCAGAATTGAAAACTCGAGTTGACTCAGGTATTAAAATATCCGTTTAAGAAATTATCTAAATGCACATGCGCTGTTTCTGTGTGAACTGTGGAAGTGTTTACAGTGTGTGAGGTATAAATGTACATAGATCATTCAAAAATAAAAAATGCATGGTATTAGAGCGCAGTTTAACTTCCTGCAAAGCAAAACGGAAAGAAAACATCTTAATTTTTTTAACAATTTTGAATAAACTAGGGCGAATAAGCGATGTGTTCTGTAAATTCTATAGTTCTGAGTTAGAGTGTTTGCAATTGCAATTAGAAGTCTTTCGTTGGGATCGTTGCAATCTTTTGCATTTTGATTTCTAGGATTTTTAATCTAGAGAATGAGGAGTGATGAAGGATTTATGCGACAAAGAAAAATCCCGATTCTACTTTAATTAAATGAAAATGGATTTAACGCATCATTCTCCAAGGTTGGGCAAAAGATGGATGTCAGTATGCAAATACTAAAGACTAAAATTTTTATAATTCGTGTCTACAATAAAGCGGACAATGTCTTTTGAACTTTTATGACCAAATAACCGAAGTAATGCACAAAGCAGTATGAAGGCTCTTACGAGAAATGTCTAAGCGAATGCATTTGTCTTACATGTTGTATCCAATGACCTGTGATGTCACGAATACCGATTTCATAAACTTCAATCTTCACGGTGGGACTGTAGTACCTGGTGCTCAACTTTACAGTTTTTATTGTAATGACATTTATTATGCCGAGCCATTGTCATAGTCTAAATTGAAGCCATGCATTTTCAAACGTTAAGTTAGAAAATTTTAATTCGATCTGAATAAGAAAAATGATATAAATAAATTTAATAGACTATAAACTTATGGTAATGATGTAACTGATTGCATAAATAAGAATTGTTTAAGTGTGTTTCAATTGAGCACGAACATAAAACTGCGTCTCTATTCTTGTTTCTTTTAGTGGATCAGGAATCCAACCCAATAATCACACAATCCTTACTGCAGGTTCCAGACATGGCCACCCTTTTTTGTTATTCTTAGAATGATTCTCTAAAGATGAGGGAAACCGGCCTACCGAACGAAAAAAACCCATCTTTGAAAAACAATTGATTTCTAAAGAAATGAATAATGATGATGTCTCATTATAAAACACGGAAAAGAACGCATTTCAAAACAATATACAGTGACGTCAGTTCCAATGGAAATGTCTGTGAAACACTGTTCTCGCATATTTTTAGCAAGCAAAATTATTGCATCTGACATGGGGTAAACAATGCAAAATCCCCCCAACTTTAGGTGGTAAAACATCTTTTTGTAGTAACAATTTGCATTGATGATTGACGTCTTACCATTCTCACTATGACATAATTATAAGGAGATGAAGGACAGTGATTTCTTATATACCATTCTTTTTCGGAATTAAGGATACGTCATTGCAAAGACTGTCTTGATCTATTTTCACAGATTTTGCAGCAATCAAAAAAAAATTTGAATTAAAGAATATTTAATGCTACTTAATAGTCATGAAATCCCTGACAGGAATGGCTTTCAAAATGCCTTTTGATATTAAGCCAGTCGAAGCCTGGTAACTGGTTCGTTTTCATATACTAATTCCCCACCTCTTCCGCACCTGGTTTGTATTTTTTAAATATTTTCATAAGCGCATGCGCACTTGTGTGAACACAAACTGTAAACATTTGTTTTGAATTATCTCGATATTAACAATTGTACCAAATGCCGTGCGAAATTTCTATAAAATACAATATCAACCACTGATATTGCTATTTGATCTAGTAAAGGTAAGGTCTTTGATAACGAAATGTATTCCTTGCTTTCATTGTTTCAAAGTTTCGTGGTGTCATCGTATTTTGATAACTTGATTGTCATGTTGAAATGTCATTTCTGTAGTGTTTTAATCATTTGGCGAGTGGTACACAATTGCTCAATGAATAGCCTGGCAAAGATTTCTAAGTCGCTTAGCCACTTGTAAAAATAGCGATGGAGTTTTACGACGATTCACCGGTTCAATTGAATTCAATACGGCGGATAGATTTCGATTATGTTGAAGAGCCAGACAACACAAGTAAACCAAAAACAGACAAATACGGCTTCACTGATGGAGTGACAAAGACTGTTGAGTATGTATTTGTTCTATTTCAATCTTATAGTATCCTGGTTTTACGAGGTATTATACCCTACTTTCTAAAGTATAATATGGTACAAAAATATGTGGAGAATGGATTTAAATTTTTTAGCATTATATTACTTGTTTGATGATACAGATTGTAGTGGGAACTTGTCCTCGTAGATGATTGTTTTTTGATAATAGAAAAATGTATTTTCATGTTCCCAAATCTACAGTGTATGTGCTCTTAGTGCGTATGCCCTTGAGATTTGAGAACATAGTTGAACTATTTTATTGCCTTTTGTTCTTTACGAATTTTTACGGAAGTAAATGTAAAATTGTATAATCTCTAAATACAATTTCAGGTTTTGTATGGAATAGCACCAATTTATTTTATTGTCCTGTCTTTTTTTACATTTTTTCAACTATTACTATTTAAGTCGTGACATAGTTCTAGTGTCGGTAAAAGAGTTTAAACCAGTGAGTTCAGATACTTTGTAGTCTTTTGTATACCTATATTCCCTTCATATACATTATTAATGAAATTCACTTTTTGTTCTGTCATCTCTTTGTGATATTGACACTATCCCATGGTGCCTCATTTTTCAAATATAACAGGGAATCATCACTGCCTTTGGAAGTCCTTCGTGAAAGAGAGCTAAAGTGGATTAAAATGACGAAGAACTGGGACATGTGGATGAAGAAAAACCATCCCAAAGTTGGTTGATTGTTGGGTATTTTAAGGTTAAAGAAAACAATTTTTTTATCTAAAAGAAAAACACAATTTCAGGTGAAAGAGAGATGTCGGAAAGGAATTCCACCAGCAGTGAGAGGTTTAGTTTGGCAAAATCTATGTGGAGCAAATAAACTGAAGGAAGCCAATCATGGAGTATTTGCTGTATGTTTCTTTAATATGAAACATGATTTACTTACACCAACTTGTACATTGTAACATTCTTTTTTAATTTTTTCACATGCTGTGTCTATAACCAAGAATGGCGTAAGACATTATTGTTTATCTATATTTGCATCTCGTTCATATAGGCTATGGTGACATGTTTTGTTCATGTATCCTATGTAGTTGTGAGCACAACAATATTTACTTTGAATATTGATATTGTGATGATTATTACAGAATCTGATCTCTCTGTCTTCGGAATGGGACCAGGTTATTGTCAAAGATCTTGATCGGACATTTCCATTTCACGACATGTTTTCAAAACCTGGTTCTGGGTTAGAACATCTCTCATATTTCATTAAGAAATGCTTGTGATGTTATTTCTGACGAGCTTTTTACTCGTAAAAATACATTCAAATAACATAAAAGTATTTTGTTGTGTGCAAGTATGCAAATTAGCAATAATTTTTCTTCAATTTGCAGGCAAGAGGACTTGCATCTTGTTTTAAAAGCCTATTCTTTGTATAATACAGAAGTTGGCTATTGTCAGGTGTGGTGATTAGTCCTTGTTTAAATATATGCAGACATTTTCTTCCAGTAAAGTTTTAAATTGGAATAAAAGGAGTTCAAATTGATCAAAATTTAGGTTCTAACAATTGTATTGTGAATAATATATGATGTGTCATTATTCTAAGACAATTCTCTGAAACACTCTGCATCTGAAACTCTGAAATATGTTTAAGTTGTATAGGTTTGCATTTTCACAAGTCAATTGCAAAAGCCTAAATAGAAGTTCCGATGAAGACATCCCTAGCAATTAGAAGAAAACAATTTGCTGATGGTTCTAAGGCCTTAAAAACTTTTACATAAATAGTAAAAAGCTTCCTTGATATCCATTGTTTTTAAGGCTCTGCAAATGTAATGAAAAACCGACTTAAATAGTTCTTACAGTAACCAAAATAAAATTTATTTATATCTCATAATGATGCAGATTCTTGACATCTTCCAGTTCTACCAGTTTTCCATTTATTTATAGGCCATGGCTCCAATATCTGCTGTTTTATTAATGCATATGACCACGGAGGTAAAGAAACTTCAGAAACGCATAGTGCAACTGCTCTCAAAGTTTGTAAGTTGATTTTTATATACTAGGATGCGTTTTGGTGTTTGGTCTCGTTGCTTGAGAAATACGTTAAAGGTTATTATGGCGAAAAGCTAGTAAGTTTTAGATATACAGAAGTACGAAAGTATCTCGCTCAATTATTTTCTTTCCTAAAGGGATACTGTGATAGCTCATTGACTTTATGTTTTCATAGGAGGCTGTTCGTCTTGAAGGCGAAATATTTAAAGGATTACTTCCCAAAGTTCTTCCTTCTGTGGCAAGGCATATGGTAATGTGGTTAGGACTTAAGTGTTTTTGTGATTCCAGTAAATTATCATTATAAACGTGACAATTGTGTAATTTTCTAACCATGTTTTTTGTTCATCAGGAAAAGTTTCACATTGATCCATTGATGTACATGACTGAGTGGTTCATGTGTCTATATTCTAGGTCATATTTTCATTTTGTTGTATTTTCTTTCAATACACTTTGAAAAATTGAAAGTTTATTGGTTTCTTTTACGTCGTGTAGAAATCTTCCATTTGCGTCTGTCCTCAGAATATGGGATATGTTTTTTTGCGAAGGTATACGACTAGTTCATTGTGTTTCTTTTCATCTCTCTTTCCTAAAAGCTGTTTATAAATAGCTACATACTTCATTTCCCTTAAAAAAAGAAATGGTGATATTATCGTGTATGTCCGTCTCCTTTTGCAAGTTAAACAGAGATTGCTAGATGGTTATAACATGTCTGCTTCCTTTCCTTTAAATTTGTTTTTACATCTGATGATGCTCATTATTATAAGCGGTTATTTAGGTGTGAAGGTGCTGTTTAGGACAGCATTTACCATTCTAAAACTTACTCTAACACCGACAGTTTTGAAAGAATGTGAAGGGTATGGACATTATACTTGTAATAGTTGTGATTTTTTGCTAAATAATGAGATAAAGTGTCTCCGTTCTTTGTCTCAGCTTCTATCCTCATTTCAGATCTTTCTAATCATCATCTTGTCGTTATTGTCTTAAATTGAACACAATGTCCTCTAACTCTGATCATCTTATATATATTTTGATCTTCACCATTTAGTTTCGCTGCATGACATTTTCTCTTTTGTTACCATCTGAATTGTGTGCATACATCTGCTTTTAGGGTGTTTGAAACGAACGATAAATTGCGAAACCTTCCAAAGGATTTAATTCAGGAAGATCACTTGATTCCTGAAGTATGTTGGGGGTTTTTTTGTATATCTTTGGTTTTAGAGAATTTTCTCTTGTCAATCGTTGAATAACGTCGGTCATTTTTATAGATTTTAAATCTTGATTTACCTGGGAAGTTGATAGAAAGGGAACACAAATCTCGTGAAAAGAAGAACAGAGAAATTGTTGTGAGATGACGACGTTAGAGTGTCTAAAAACAAATTTTTAAAAAATTGAACTGTTCAAACATCAACAAATATCTTGTATATCTTACCCGAGTCGTTAGGCAATCTATGCGTCGTACTCCCCTTGTCTATTATGTTTATACACCATTCGCTCTTTATATCTCCCACTTATGGACCAAAGGTGGATTTTATTTGCGTGTAAAAATAATCGTGTAAATTAGTATTTAATTGTTTGATTGGCATTATCTAAAGAAATATAACAAAGTTTTTTTTTGATATTCAAAATCCATTACATCGGATCCTTGGAGTCCGAACAATGAAATCTTTCTTTCTTAAACCTTAATCTTCTTAATCTTGGAGTTAGCATATTTTAATAAAAAGAATCAATAAACTTTTATTGATGAATTTATTAATTGCATCGCACAAATAATTTTATGTACCATTATTTTATATTGAGATTATTGTAATTTAAATTAAGATTTTCACTTAATACTTGTTTACAATATGCTATTGTTGACATAACCACAGCAGTTGCTTGTATTTGCAATGAACTAAAGCAGGGGTCTCCAAACTACGGCCCGCGGGCCAGATGTGGCCCGTTAGGCCTCTCAATCCGGCCCGCAGAGACACTTGAGAAAAAAAATATACTATTAAACGAAATAAACTTTGTGCAGAAAGTTCACGTTATGACGCAAGCCAACTAGAAAGAGTTTTATTAAAATATTCGCTCTTTGACCAGAGGTATACGGTTCGTCGGCCCTCAACATGCTGAATGAAAGTTCATGTGGCCCTCTGGCTGTAAAGTTTGGAGACCCCTGAACTAAAGGATACATCTTCCATGTGACCTCTGCCATGTTTTATGTACACACAATGAAGTACAAGTACCTTCATTGTTGAAATTCCTTTGTTGCTACGTACTTGCTTAGCAACGACAAATAACTTTGTAAATAAACAGCTTGATTTAGACGCTTCATTCATTTAATATAAGATGAAACTCACAATAAAATGATGAACAAACTGTTAGTTTGTCAATAAAGCATAATATCTGTCGTCCATACAACATCGGTAGTCTGTTGCTATGCAAGGTCTTTGTTTGTCAAAGTTTGGATTTAAAATGGTTGGGCATTTATGTATTATGGTCTTATTTTTACTCTCGTTTCTTCCTCAAGTTTTATTGCAGAATTTGCGTAAGTTATCTAAGTTTTGTGTGTCTTAACGATCCAAATTTTGTGTGTGATGTTCTGTGTTAAATTCATTCATGGTCTTAACTTAGACCATCATACACAGCTATAGATCGCCGTACTGTACCAGTAACATACCTATCACGACAGTGTGTTGATTAAATTAGTATTTATTTTAAAATACAATGATGTTAATGCTGCTTCAATTGTTAAAAATGAATATTAACTATATATAAATGGTTATGAACTGATATTGACTTGTTCTCACGCCTTAATTAACTTGTTATTATTCTTAGATTTTACCCTAGAACCAAAAAGTATAATCGTGAGACGAGGAAGTTCTGCAATCCTCGATTGTCAAACGAACATTAAAACTGTGGATGTGATAATTCAATGGAAGAAAGGATACCAATCATCATGGATTCACGACTACAACAACAAATCATATCAGTTGTTATCCAACCATTCGTTGTTTTTTCGCAGTGTGGGGACTGATGATGAAAATGTTTATTTTTGCGCTGCATATTATCGCAGAACACGTAAAACCATTTATTCCAACAATCCAGCTCACATAACCCTTGCTTGTAAGTTAAAATTATCATCACATATTTGTCATTGGATAAAATTGTTGGTGATATTGAATTACTGAAGGGAAGTGGAAGGAAAATATTTACTATATGTGACCGTGGTATAGGGAGGGAGTTATTTAGTATATTTACACACATCTGCATGCAACCATGTTATTGTCATAAAAAATGTAAATAACAAGTGTAACACTTCATATTTAGCAATCAAAATTAAATGCATTGCTTGCTTTTTCAGCTGTAAAATAATAAATTACACAACACATTCAAAAACGATTTAACACCTCCTATTGTCTATTTTGCACACACGCTATACAGTATGATTCCTTTATGTATTTAGATATTCGTCCGACGTTTATCTCTTCCCCGTTATCAGAAAGTGTCCGCGAACATGAATCGGTTATCCTGACATGTACTAGCGGTCCTAGTCAACCATTTGCAACTGTATCATGGGAAAAGGATGGTGAAGCATTAAAAGAAAAGAATGATATAACGGCACAAAACATTTTAAAGGATCGTAACGCAACCTCGTCTACTTTACTGTTGAAGAATGTGTCGATTTTTAGGGATACTGCTTATTACAGATGTGTTGCTTTAAATCCACTCTTGCTTGACGAGCCACAAGTCAGCCAAAGAGCTCGGCTAACTGTACTGCGTAAGTTTGTAATTTTAGCTGTACGTAAGTTTGTAATTGTACAGCGTAAGTTTGTAATTTTCGTTTACGGTGACTTCTTTGCTCTGAGTCTCAATTTATTTTTTGCAGACATGCCTTTGTTCAAATTAGAATGAAGTATAGTTTCATTCGGTTATATTTCTATTTAAAACAATCTTTCACGATCAAATTTGCGATACAAGCTTAAATGAAAAAAAGTATCATGTTTTGTCAAACAGATTTAAAGGAAGCTCCATTTTTAGTATTGTTACTTGTATTGAGAATGGTCATGTAAAGTTAAGGGGGGGGTGAAAGTTACTTAGGCTGTGCCAAAAAAATCATCTGGCACCCCCCTGAAGTTCATTACTGCCTTTTGGTAAAAACTCCTAAAAATAACTGATATCCGTTATAGAATTCTTCTTAAATTATTTTTAATAACTGTATATTGTAATGTAAAGTTTTATTTTGTATTATATACAGCATCAAACGACCATCCACAAATTTATATCCATCCAGTGAACACCTTGGCTCCAATTCGTCGACCATTAAGGATTGATTGCTTTATTGTTGGTGTACCAGATCCTGTGATATTTTGGCTTCATGACAACATGCGTGTGATTAACGACTCCAATAGAATGGTGTATAAGAATGGTTCTCTGATTTTCAAATCTTTAACCATAAAAGATAATGGACTATATTCGTGCAACGCTACAAATGATAAAGGATCTGTGACAAGCTCGGATGTTTTCCTAACTGTTGCCTGTACGTCTTTTGTACGCCTTATTTGAAATGGTTTTGTTGCGACAATAGACTTTATTTAATGTATGATGAACGAACGATATAATTAAAAGATGTTTTTACGTTGCACGAGAGAAAAATAAACATGAATTCAATGTGTGTATCTTTTAGATATTGACTTTTATTTCAAGCAAGATCCTATGAATCAGACGGTCATCAACGGAAGCAGAGTAGCGATGACATGTGATCCACCTGAACATCATCCTAAAAGGTTGAAATATACTTGGTATAAAAATTATAAACCAATCAGCAGCGGAAGTAGATACAATTCGTCACCCACATCTGGTAGATTGCTTATTTCTCCTGTCTTAAGTGATGATCAAGGTGCTTATTTTTGTCAAGTTAAAAGTGTGTATTCAATGGAGACACGAGCTTCAAGAGTAGCTTATCTCACTGTCAACGGTAAATGAGGAAATATTTTTGTTTATATAATTGAGTTTATGTGCACAAAATTTAGCACAGCACTTGTCTTTGATCTTTCTTTTCTTCTATTTTCAGTTCCTCCATATTTCCTAACCAAACCGTCTGACAAGGCCGTTGTTAGGGGGTCTACTTTACGACTGATCTGCATTGTCGCTGGCTTTCCAATGCCTCATGTCACGTGGTACCATGATAATAAGTTGCTTGGCAACAGTTCACGGTTGTCTCTTTATGATAATGGTAGCTTAGTGCTCTACCTTATAGATGTACAAGACTTTGGACAATACAAATGTTCTGCTAAGAATGTTGCTGGGATTCGTAATGCTTTTGCAAATGTTGTTGTTTATAGTACGTGGTGAAACTTTTTGTCATTTTCATTAAATTTCATCATAAAATCACTCCTGATCGATCAAGGCAAAAGATCAGAGTACAAGAATGATGATTGCATTTATGATTTATTAGCTAATATAATAATTTCTTGGCGTTATTTTCTTTGACGAAATTTATATTTAAATATAGCTTCTCCAAATATTACTATCAAACCTCGTAGCATTGCTGAAGTATATGGAAAGAACGCTACATTTTCCTGCCGCTTTTCTGGTAGCCCGTCTCCTCTAGTAAAGTGGTATTTTATACGATCAGATAAGACGATGTTTGTGATTGACAAGAATTTATCTCGATACATTCAAAGAGGTGATTCGTTGATTGTGGTTAATGTAACTGAACAGGACAATGGCGCGTTCGTTTGTGTTGGTAAAAACATTGTCGGGACTCAAAATTTTTCTGCAAGTTTAGAAGTTTTAGGTATGATTATTTATTTTTTCATTTTAAATAAAATGTTCGTCACGTGTGAACAGTCCTGAATAAACAACGCAGCCTTTACAGTGCCTGTTATTTGCCAATAATTTATTTATTTTCGAAAACTATTTCAGTTCCCGCTCGTGTTGTGCACTCTCCACGTAATATTACGGTAAATGAAAGTGGCGTGGCTATAATGACGTGCAGTGGCTATGGCAACCCTGTTCCCTTTATCACGTGGCTCAGATATGGATTACTAATGACCAACACCAGTAGAATAACTGTTATTGCTGGATTGTTGAGGATACGTAGGGTTACAATAAATGACACTGGGATATACATTTGTAATGTAGGGAATAGCTTGAAAAATGCATCATCGTCTGGTTACTTAACCGTGCAAGGTTGGGAAATGAACATCAAATTTATTTCGCGTGAATATTTCCCCTTTTTAAGAAAGGTTATAAATATCTCGTTTCAGTGTCACCTGAAATTCAACGAATAGTTGGGCCGTCTAGAGTGGAATGGCGTCAAAATATTTCTTTCATATGTGAGGCATTTGGAGTACCGACACCCCGGATATCATGGTATAAAGATGGAGTTCCCATTTTGTACAACAAAAGGATAAATGGAGTAGAAGAGAGGTTAACCATCATTAATACGGATCACAACGATACTGGGCTCTATACTTGTAAAGCGTTCAACATTATTAACTCAACATTCAAAATACGGCAGCTCATCGTTGAAGGTCTGTAAACGGGCAGTAATATTTCCTAGAGTTGAAAATTTCCACTCTTTATGTGTTCAGCTTGTTTCCAGAACTAAACCACCATCATTTAACTGACCTAGGTCCCAGGCTCTTTCTAATAGTCATATTCACAGGTGGATTTATAGGGTCACTCGACGTTTTAATTGTTTCTAATGATCATTATGATTATCTTACAGTTCCTCCAAACAAACCAATTTACGTCAAGATTATCAATACTTCGTATGATTCTCTTCACATTATTTGGATGCCCGACTTTGATGGTAATACTCCAATCATTTTCTACAAGGTCCAATTTAATGTGAACATGTCGCTTGAATGGCGTGATGTGTCGATGCTGATAAAAAGTGAGAACTTTACTGTACGCAATTTGCAAGCATACACATTATATTATGTTAGAGTTTATGCTGCTAACAAAGTCGGATGGAGTGAACCGAGTGACACGATATGGGCTCGAACTCTTGAAGACTGTAAGTTTAAATTTATTAACACCTGGCGCTGAATTATCAGTATTCAATCATATACTTGTTCTTTTTAAGATCCGTCACAACCACTACGTCTACGATGCCAAGCATTAAATCATAGTACAATATTTCTTGAATGGAATGAACCCACCAATCCAAATGGCATAATTCGCAATTACCTAGTTGAATATAACAATAGTAGTTTCAAAGCTGATCTTCACGTTTCCATGTTGATACACTACATGTTTCATCTTAAATCATTCACGTGGTACACATTTAAAGTTAAAGCAGCAACAATACGTGATGGAACATTGCTATGGGGAAATTTCTCCTCCAATACAAGTTGTCGTACTGGAGAATCAGGTTTTGTCTTTAGTGACCTCTTAAGGTTTCCTTTCGACCATGTATATTCATACTTAATCATTTTCTTCATTAGCGCCAAGTTCCTCTCCGAAGCTTTTGTCATTAATTGCTCTGGGTCCTCATTCGATTATGGCCAAATGGCAGGTTGGTTTTTTTTATGACTTACTGTTACAGAACTTTTTTTATTTTTATAAACATTAGGTATGGGAAAACGATTACTTGCCCAGCTGAAATTTCACTAAAAGTTATTTTATTTACCAGGATATTCCAGCGGACTCTAAAAACGGTATCATTCGAGGATATTATCTGCAATTTAAAACGATGAACGATAAAGACGTAATGCTTGTTTATGCTGATGGTAATAACACACTTGTGTACAACATAACAGGGTTAAAACCATGGTCAAAATATGACATAAGAGTTGCTGCAGCAACTGTTGCCATTGGACCATGGAGTGAATGGAAAATGTCAATGACTATGGAGGATGGTATGTATGTTGAAATTGATAAAAATTATGGCAGTCAGTGCCCAAGTCTAGCCAAGCAAATAACCTTTATAAGCTTGTCATATAAGCTTATTTTTGTTTGGATATGTTTTTGTTTACTGTGTAAAAGCTTTTTTAGATGCGTCTTTTCAACATATGTAAACATTTATTTTATGTTTGTAAGCTGTCCTTTTATTTATCCCATTATGTATGCATTCTGTAAATAATTTACACCTACGTAATCAAACAAAAAAATCAAAGATGAATTCTTCATCTTCCCGCAGTGCCTTCAGGAAAACCACGCGACATTGTTGTCATGGCAATATCTTCAAGAAGCCTGTTAGTGAGTTGGACACGGCCATCTTTGGAGACTCAAAATGGCGTTATACTTGGCTACGATGTATTATACAAGGAGAGTGGGTCGACAAAACTTGCAAGAATTTTCAATGTTGCAAATACGACGAGTGTCGTGTTGTCTGGATTGACGCCATTCACTGGTTATGACGTAAGAATTCGCGCATTCACGAAAATTGGTCCTGGACCATACAGTGAAGACGTTTTTAACAAAACTTTGGAAAGTTGTAAGTTTTAGCGATGATTTGTCACTTCTTCAATGATCCTGAAATGTTTTTGGTCAACATATCTCATAATAAATATCTTGTCAATTATCCACGCAGATCCTGATGTCATCCATCGACTTACCTACAATATCACCAAGACATCCGTAGTTTTTACCTGGAATCCTCCACTTGTAAAGAATGGAATCATTATGGGCTATATAACCTATGTGAATTACACAACTACTATACGAAGTTCTGAAAATAATGTAACGTCTTACAATGTTACCAGAGGCTCATGGGAAGTAGCAACAAAAGAGACTCGTGCTGAATTTGAGATTGTGTATGGCAATGTGACGTATATTGCCTGCGTTGCCGCGCGAACTAGCGTGGGGCTTGGATCTTGTTCTAATCCTTTGACCTTTTCTACTAGTAAGATCTTGATTTTTTCAATATGTGATATAAACCACAGCTTGTTGGAAGGAGGCCTGTTTTTTTAGTACAAGCGTTGATGAATGCAAAAGCAAACAACAATAAATCAAGATATTTTTGACAATAAAGGAAGACCCTACAATGCTTTGCTTTTTTTTGATGTTTTTGATTATGTTTTTCATCTTCCTTGTTTTCATTTGTAGATCTCACCAAGATTGAGATGGCCAAAACTAGTGAGAAAAAAACAACGTCAATTTTTAATGATCATTTTCCTTTGATTATTGGTGGGTCACTGCTGTTTCTAATTTTGTTATTCATTATTTTAATTTGTTGCTGCATACGTCGGAGAAATAGAAAAAAACAAGGTTAGAAAGTTTATGATTATTTCTGTTAGAAAACGAAAGCTATCTCTGAATGAGAGGTGTGAATGAAACCACTCTAGGTTTTGATAATTTGTTGGAGACAAAAACTACAGAGCTGCTTTTAGACGTCAAAATTCCCTGCTCGTACGAGCTTGTTTTACTAATTTTTCAAGTTTAAGTAAGTTGCCCGTTTTCCCCTCATGAAAAACATTGATAAGTGCATGAAAAACTAATTTTCTTATTGTGCTTGTGTTACACATCAAAACGCTGGTTGATTGTGTTACTCCAGGATTTTTGCTCGAATAGACTAAACATGTGCCTGGTCTTATAGTGCAACAGTTTACTAAATATATTTTTTCGTTTATAGAACAAACAAAAGAGAATTTCAATTTTCAAAGGTTTGAACATCGTTTAGTGACGTTTTTTATGCTCTTCGCATCAACTCTAATTCAGACATGTTTTGTTTTTTTTCTTCCTAAGAAAATCCTTTCAAATGGGATCATTCAATGATGACGATTCGTCAAACGTATCTTTGGGCTCCAAAGATAATCGCACGTATTCTGTTGAGTCTAGCAGCATACATAGTCATGTAAATCCAAATAACACTTTTGCAGCAACTGGTATCACCAGTGATGGCTCTCCATTAATGCGTCTCAGAAGTAACTCGCCATCTCTCGGATCTGATGCAAGCTTTTACGACGCACCATATTCGTCTGTTGCTGAAATCGGTGTGGATCCAGCAACTGTAATACCTGCTGAACTTCCTCCTTCACAACCGTCTGAAGAATCACGGCATCAATTTGTAAACACTTTATACAATGAGAGGAGAAAAAATGACCAGGAAGATGCTTCAATAGATTCGTATACAACTATTAATCCACTGTACGAAACAACAAAAATTGAAACTTCTCAACAAGATGATGAACATAATAATGATGTTGGTGCTGAAGACAATAAGTCACAGCAGGATTTACTGTCACAGGAAATTTTATTTCTACCACCGCCTCCCCCGGAATATTCAGATTATGACGATGTTGATATTTTGCATACATACACAAACGAAGTCACTGATTTTTAATTTGTTTAGCTCTGAAGAAAAAGATGTTTTGTTTTTGTCTTTTATTTACTTTACTGACTGGTGGCGAACATTTCAATTTTGAGCCATTTATTTAGCAAAATTTTTGTAATTAGATGAGCCCCTCTACTAATAACGCCCCACTCTATAGCAAACCAATAACCCCTAAACTTTACACTGCTAGTCACCGTATATAAATTTTCAAACTAAGTTATAGCCATATGTTTAGTTTTTGTTTCTTTTCTTGTGAAGTTCGTTTTTCAAAATACTGATCATTTGCTTTGTGATGGACCAAGGCTGGGCAAGTGTTGCGTGCTAGCATAACTGACAAATCACTTTTTAAAACAAATTGTAGAAATATGTCTAAGTCTGTTTTTGAAAATAGAATAGAGCATTTCCCAGTTGCTTTACCTTTTTTGAATTGTTTATTTGTTTTGTTTACGTTTTTTGCTCTACAAGTCGGGAAACGTCATACATCGGCGGGAAACTTTGAATTATACAGCCAGATAAAAGTTTGTTTGTGAAACCAAGTTTAGATTAAATAAGTTGAGTGTATGGCCGACTTAAACTATATTTTTCTGTTAGTGCATGACATGCAGTGTGATGACGCGTCGTAACCACTGGTTGTAAACTTAAGTCCGTCATAACCAATGGTCGTAACCCATTGAACTAAAATACAACGTCGTAACCGTAACAGACGTAACAATGGACGTAACCATGGCAGTAAAAATTGCAGCAGCTGATGATTTATTATTGGCTGAGCATGTTTGTCGTCGTATATGTAGTATGTACACATCATAAAACTATTTATTTGTCGATGAGAGGCAGTTTAATTAGTTTTTGAGCGATATACGAAAGCGTTTTTGGTTCGTTTAAAATAGTCTTAAATTTCATCATGTTGAGCGGGTAAATATATTCGATGAATTACATGTTTTGTTGCCAAATTCAATCATCCATGTTATATTTAAACGAGGTTTAAGTGTTCTATTATTGTTCTAGGTACTTCAACGCACTCCTACGAAGATATGCGATCTTTTTGTACAACTATCCTTCTGTATTTCTTATACTGACTCCATTATTTCTTTGTTTGTGTGCGATCTTCTCGTTTGCTCCGTCCGTTGGAGTCAAATTACCAAATTTTTCCGAACCAACTGAGGTAATCTATTAATTTCACCGCATGAATGATAGGAATGTTTATTTTTTTACGCACAAGTAATATTATAACTTAAATCGTCGTTCTGTGAATCGATGGTTCAGTGAATATGTAAGAATTATAAAATTCAGTGAATATCAAAGTACAATAAAGTTTTGTCTACAATAGACATAATTTATAATTATCTACGGGAAATGCCAAAATTTTACGAATACTTTCCTTAGTGTAACTACAGGCATAATACTACCCTCTTACCCCTCTTGTCATACAAAAAGATTACTTCAGTTTTCTTGACAAAACTATATTTAACTTGGGATTAATGAAAAATTTTCAAAGGTTTTGATGAAATTTGAATTGTAAATTTAAACATGAAAATTCCATAGTCAATGTCATCTAATGCTGAAGCAAACACGAAACATATAAATTTATGGAGCAAAAATGTTTTAAAAAATTCTTGATTTATAAACCAGTTTTTAAGTTCATCGTAGGCTCTTTATTTTGTGTTAAATTTGAAATTTTTGCAATATTTAAAATTAGTCTAAGGAGTTTCATCATGAAGTCAACATTAATTAAGATTTTATTTTTATTAGGGTTTTGAACCCCGTGGAACAGAAATTATGAAGAGAGTTGTAACCCAACAAAATACACTGTTTAGTGCAATTCAGGCTGGCGAACTGACCTGTCCAGATGGAAGTTTAAATAAAAACTCCACTAGTCCACCTATGATTGCAGAATGTTTGAAGTCTGAATACAGGTAACTACATTACAAGATTTGGCACAGAACTGTGTAAAGACCTATGGTTGTTTGATTGATTGCAATGGGATGTTTAATTTAAACTTTATTTTTTCTCAAGGGATTTCTCAATTGTAAGTGTTTATGAGTCAGGTGGTAATCTTTTTAATGTCAATGATTTAAAATCAATATGTCATTTGGAAAAAGATGTGGTTGGTTTTACTCCTGGTAATTGTAAGTCTCTTTCTTTGGGATCATACATTGCCTTACTTCGTAACCGAACGTCGTGCCTTGAAATTGAAGAAAATGATGTGACATTTGCCCAAGAACTTTTGGAGAACTGCTCTTCAGCATATTTTTCTAGAAAACTGGACAGTCAAAGCTCAACATTACAATGCAGAGAAAATAAAGAATTTGTCAAAAACGTCTTTGATTTACTGGTTGACACCGACTACTTGCGTACATCAAAGTCCCTCACAACAACCCTTGCCTTATCCCCCAAGTATTATGACGTCAATGTAGCTCGTGATATCTACAGAAAACATCTTGAGGGTGGGAAAAAGCCACAATTAAATGGTGTCAAGTTGGTTGCATTTCACTTTGGTAATTTCAAATTTGATCATTTCAATTACAAGTTGATAATGGATGCAGTTTTTCCAGCTTTTGGTCTTGCTATGGTTGCTTTAATATTGTTGTTGTATACACAATCCTTGGTTGTAATGGCAATGACGGTATTTTCTGTGATCACGTCCATTGTTGCTGCATACTTTATCTATCATCAAATATTTCGGCTAACCTTTTTCCCATTCCTCAACATACTGGCATTTGTGTTTCTCGTTGGCATCGCTGCTGATGACGCGTTTGTCTTTAATGATATTTGGGCCCAGGCCAAAACGGCACTTCCCAATGGCACTATAGTGGATTGGATTGAGTACACTTTGAGACACGCTGCCTTGGCAATGTTCGTCACCAGTTTTACAACATCTGCCGCATTTTATGCTAATGTTGTTTCAGATATTACTGCTATTCGACTGTTCGGCATTTTTTCTGGAACCTCAATTCTCATCATGTATTTTTTAATGATCACATGGTTTCCAGCCGGTGTTGTTTCGATGGAGAAACGACGTCAGTTGCGAAGCGTTGGTGTGGATACCTCAAAAGGCGATGAAAATGCATCGTTTGAACTTGACTGCGATGATAAGTCTACGCATTCCAATGATGAGCCGATTGCTTCTCAAGGTCAGAAGTCAACATGTTCTCGGTTCATTGAGTTTTACATCAAATTGCGATGCAAATGTTCCTGTTTTATGGGGAAAATTTTCAAAAGGTGGATTCCAGCCTGCTTGCGGGTGTATCCTGCATGGCTTATCGGGTTTCTTGCCTTAGGCATTGGCATGATATGTGCAGTAACGGTAAATCCTGGTCTACAAAGACCCAAATCATCCGATTTTCAGGTGTTTGCAAGCTCGCATATTTTAGAACAGTATGACTTAAAATACAAGAGCAAGTTTCGTCTCAAACTTACAGAAGGGAACATTTTTCGTATATACATGTTTTTTGGAATTAAAGATCAAGACAACGGAAATTATTTGGAACCAAAGAACTTTGGTAGCCTTGAATACGACACCACAATTGATATTTTTGACCTACAGGTCCAGAAATGGTTGTTTGAGGATCTTTGTCCCAAGATAAGAAATCAAACTTTTTTCGAACAAGATTTCTCTTGGTCGTGCTATACGGAGGTAGGTATAGCTGTGAGTTAAAAATAAATGCGTTGGGCAAAGAATTGTTGTTTATCGTATATGATCATGTGTACAGGTAGCTTTTTCTTTTTCTTTATAATAAATATTTTATACGCCATTAATATCAGCGTTCCTTGCGAGAAAACTGGGACAATTGTCTAACTTTCATTCACGACTTTTGTCTTCAGGCATTACGTCAAGCCTGTCCAGTCAATTGGCCGTTACCGTTGGACCAGGAACAATTGACGAAGTGCTTAATGAGTCACACTTACAGTAATTGTGGTCCTTATAGTAACAATATCTTTCTTCACAAACAAAAGATAAAAGCACTTGGTTTGTGGTTTCCTACAAATATTCATTTTGCAAACGATTACAACACTGTTAACAGAGTTTGGAAACATGTTAAAGAATTTTCACGTACTGTATTGGACAATGCACCGGAAGGTATAAGAAATGGATGGGCAACCTCCCGACTAAGATTTTATGCCTTACAAGAAAACCTGGGTAGCAGTACCGTTTCGTCACTTGCTGTCTCACTAAGCATTGCATTCTCTGTTATGTTAATCACTACTCTGAATTGGTTGATCAGTTTTTATGCCATATTGACGATTGTTTTTGTCCTGTCATCGACCATCGGTTCTTTGGTTATCAACGGTTGGGAGTTAAACATACTCGAGTCAATTGTTATTTCTGTTGCTGTTGGTTTATCTGTTGACTTTACATTACATTATGGTGTGGCCTATAAAGTCTCTAATTGTAATGAAAGAATTGAGAGAGTCAAATGTACCCTCGAGCATATTGGACCAGCTGTAACACTAGCAGCCTTTACAACGTTTGTTGCAGGTGTGTAATTTCTAAAATTACGTCACAGGACACGTGGCCATAACGTCATGAGTATGCTCTCATAAAGAACTTTTCATAATTTTCTTATGTAGATATATTTAGTTAATATATGTTTGTAAATGTCGATCGTCCAGGTTGTTATAGACCTGAGAAGGACTCTTTTTGTTGTTGACTGACGTTTCGACAACCTTAGCGGTAGTCTTTTGAGTCAGAGTCTTTTGACTCTGAAGATGACTACCGCTAAGGTTGTCGAAACGTCAGTCAACAACAACAAAAACAGTCCTTCTCAGGACAATACCAACCTGGGCGATCGACATTTACAAACATGTAACGATACTCCCGGGTTCAAACCATTTACTTTATTTAGTTAATATGTTGTTTAGAGTAAATTAGTGATGTCAGCGTTTTTATGTCGTTAATCTTTAGTTGTATGAGGCAGTTGTTACATTAAAACAACTTTTATTCTGATGGAAATTGTTTTGCTGCAATGAGATGTGAACCGTCGTATAATATTTTCTCTTCACACAGGTGTTTTCATGATGCCTTCTGAAGTATTGGCTTATTTTCAACTTGGTCAGTTCCTTACCCTGGTGATGGCCATGAGTTGGTTATTTGCCACATTTTTCTTTATGTCATTGTGCTATTTTGCTGGACCTGTTGGATATTTTGGACAGATGACTTCGACCAAATGTCTCTCCTGCGAGGTCAGCTAGTTAATATCTGCTTGAAGTTGATAATGATTCTGAATTGTTTTCGATGTTAAATTTTTACTGAGTACGAAACTGTGGAACTGTTTCGCTTTTAAAATATTGTAATTATTTTAATGTTTTCGTCGTTGCTCTCTAACTTTATTGAAAAAACAAAAAGTATATTAAATTGTTCTAACTGGTTTCAGCTTTATCCTTGTCTACATGTTCTAGCAAAAGCAAAATTTGTTAATTGATATCATTCATTTCTATAAAAAATTATTCTATTTACACTAAGTGAAAGGAGAAAAATTTCATAGCATGACTATATATATGAGCGGTCTGTCTGCGTCACTGGATGTAGGTATGTAGAATAAAAATTTTGGCGTAATTCTCAATAGGTAGGGTTAGTTGAGGATTAAATTTTCCATTTGTATATTTTATTCAATACGTGTGCAGGGGGAAATTACACCAAATTGCAGGAAAATGAAGAACCAGAAACAATGGGAAAAAAGAGGGCAGTAAACCATTACTAGTTGCCTCCAGTAAAACTGTGACAATAGTAATGGACAAGTAGACACAAGTTTGATTGGCGCTATGCTACTATTTCTGTGTTCACGACAATAGATTTCTAAAGGAATACATCATCATCGGAAATTTATACGGCACAACCATATTGTTGTTTGAAACTTTAAACCATTCTTGAGTCCCAAGTTTTGATTATGACTGGTATGTTTATTTACTAAATATTAAGTGTGGGCTCCTAAGCCACTGCATACTAAGTGTGGGCTCCTAAGCCACTGCATACTATATCGCACCCAGCTTCCACTGCTAGTTAACATCTACTATATGAAGTTTTAGCTTCATATATATATATATATATATACACAAATTCAAAGGCTTACGAAAGTTGTGGTATTATTAAAGTCACTACTGCGCATGCCCAGATTATTTCTTTGATAATTTACGATTAAGTGAGCTAACTGCCACAAATGTAGTGCAAGTACATATAGTTAGTCGTTGCCATGACTATGAACATTTAGTCGAGTGGACTGAGCATGCGCAGATGATTTTTCTCTTAAATTGTTACTAAGCATGCTATTTACTTCAAAATCGGTGCTAGTAGGTGCAATTGATCGTTGCCATGAGCATGAACCTCGGTAGCTGGTCAAGTCGACTGCGCAAGCTCAAGCAGACTGCGCATGCGCAGATGATTTATCTAAAATTTGTGACTGAGCGAGCAAATTACTCTATAATCGGTACTAGTACACACATTTGGTCGTTGCCATGAACTTGGGCTGGTCCTCACTTGGAATGGGAATATAAAGTTGGACGACTAACAATGGAAGAATTGGGAGATCTTCGCACATGTACAGAACACCACATTCTCTCAAGAACTGAAACTGTTTGCAGTTCCAGGAAATAGTAAGGAGCTTGACAAGGCACTACTCAGAAAATCAGGAATCTCCATTCGACAATTAAATCCAATGATGGTGAACGGCTTACTAAAGGTTGGAGGCAGGCTTGATAATGCGCCAATCAATGGGAAATCAAAACATCCTATTATTCTACCCTTTAAGCATCCCGTCACAGATATGATAATTCGTTAACATCATGCTGAAGTTGGTCATATGGGTCAAGAATCCGTCTTATCATCACTAAGAAAGGAATTCTGGATAATTAAAGGAAGAACAGCAGTTCGACGCGTAGTACGAAGTTGCCTAGCTTGTCAAAGAAGAAAGGCTCGTTTGGGTGAGCAGCTAATGTCAGATCTACCAGAAAGCCGAGTGACACCTCAAAAACCTCCTTTTACTATAGTAGGAATCGATTATTTTGGACCCATGCTGATGAAAAGAGGTAGATCGTTGGTGAAAAGATATGGTTGCCTTTTCACATGTTTCACGACCCGAGCAATCCATATAGAAATAGCTCATTCCTTGGATACAGACTCGATGATCAACGTTCTCAGGAGATTTATTAGCATGCGAGGATGTCCCGAGCAAATCAGGAGTGATAGAGGAACAAATTTTGTGAGTGCTAACAACGAATTGAACAAAGGAATTGAATAATGGGATCAAAGTAAAGTGGACAAATTTTGTACGTAAAGAAGAATTAAGTGGCACTTTAACCCGCCTTTAGCGAGCCATATGGGAGGCGTATGGGAGAGAATGATACGATCTGTTAGACAAATCCTCAAAGCAATTCTCAAAGAACAAGTAGTTTCAGACGAAGTCCTGCAAACCGTGATTGCAGGTGGTTCTAATCCTGAATTCAAGACCTCTCACGCGCAACAGTGACAGTCCTGACGATGGCGATCCTCTAACTCCAAACCACTTATTGCATTACGAGCAAGTACTAGTTTACCCCCAGGATTATTTGACAAAAATGATTTGTGCTGTAAGAAGAATTGGAAGCAGGCTCAATACTTAGCAAATGTTTTTTGGCGTAGATGACTCAAAGAATACTTACCAACATTAATGGAGAGAAAGAAATGGTATAAACCGAGATGGAATCTTAAAAAAGGAGATCTAGTACTTGTAGCTGACGAAAACTACCCAAGGGGACAATGGCCGTTAGGTGTCGTTGTAGAAGCAATAGCAAGTAATGACGGTTATGTGCGGTAAAAACTAGTTCAACAGTATCGACCAGAGCCAAACATCAACGAAAGGGAGATTACAAGATGAACACGGTAACCTTGATCCGTCCCGTGACTAAATTATGTCTACTTGAGATGGACAGTTGAAGTTTATATATCTAAATAATTTAGAATTTGAGAGTAATGTTCTTGTTGTGTTATCCAGGTTTCACGGTAGCTTAATATGGTTGTAAATGGATTGCTACGTTGCAATTTCCATTTAGGAGCCGGTGTGGCTACCGTATGAATTGCCGCTTTGGACGGAATGGGGAGCAGGAAGTGACGTTTGAAAGGGTGTTGTTAAGAGTAAAAAAGAGTAAAAAAAGAGTAAAAAGACAAATAAGGGTAAAAAGACAAGTTGTTGTAGTTGAATGTTGTACGTGGGACCAAACCGTCCTCAACGTAAATTAAAGACAGTAACTTGAAACAATAAAATTGTAATTTGGTTTATTCCCAAGTTGTATGACGACTTGATAGTAACAATTAGTTTTTGAGCGATATACGAAAGCGTTTTTGGTTCGTTTAAAATCGTCTTAAATTTCATCATGTTGAGCGGGTAAATATATTCGATGAATTACATGTTTTGTTGCCAAATTCAATCATCCATGTTATATTTAAACAAGGTTTAAGTGTTCTATTATTGTTCTAGGTACTTCAACGCACTCCTACGAAGATATGCGATCTTTTTGTACAACTATCCTTCTGTATTTCTTATACTGACTCCATTATTTCTTTGTTTGTGTGCGATCTTCTCGTTTGCTCCGTCTGTTGGAGTCAAATTGCCAAATTTTTCTGAACCAACTGAGGTAATCTATTAATTTCACCGCATGAATGATAGGAATGTTTATTTTTTTACGCACAAGTAATATTATAACTTAAATCGTCGTTCTGTGAATCGATGGTTCAGTGAATATCTAAGAATTATAAAATTCAGAGAATATCAAAGTACAATAAGCTTTTGTCTACAATAGACATAATTGCTGCCACGCACCAGCGTAAAACCTTTCGGATTTCCTGTAAGTTTCTATTTGATTTTAAATGTCTGGAATCCGAATAGATATGCGGTCTAAACAACGTAATACAGTAGATACCAAAATCGAGTGATTACCGACATCAATTATACATATCTCGTTTGGCGAAAAACTCATGAAATGGGTTCACCGTGCCGTATTTAGCCAGCTCGGTTCACATTTTTTATCTTGCGCTCTATGGTCACACGGTGAGAAAAATGTAGTGTAAGCATGTATTTATTTTTGTTCGAGCTTTTATTATTACTTGAAATATCGGTGTGGATTTAACAAAACGTCGAAAATAATTTAAACGCATGGTGCGAGTTCAACCATGAAATATGAATTATGAATAAGATGAAACGTTTGCTCTTTGCGATAACTTTTCATCATTTTATCGCAGTCGCACAGAATCATCGGAAAAAAGGCTCTATCAAAATGTTATAAAGGAAATAATGGAAACAAAACTACAGTTTTATAATATAGTCCGTTTCTACGTTTGTAAAAATGCGTTCGATTGATCGTTTGAGTAAACAAAGTATCATACTTTTAATCAAAAAGCAATTTAAAGACTCAAAAGAATCAAAACCATGAAGACCTTTAAAAGAATCAAAAAATTGTTTTCGTTCGAAATGGTAATGAATTTATCTTTAAAATTATTTGAAACGTGAAATGAAATGAGCTATTTTTCGCCGGAAATCAACCGTCGATTTTCAGAACGCGTGCCTTTGTTTGCATGTATACCAAATAAGGTATGGCACGTTTGATTAAGGCCCGTTCACTCAATCCGATTTTGTCGGATCCTAAAAACGGATCGTGTGAGCACATATAAAGTTAGTCTCCGACAATCGGATCCGTCAATCTAAAAAAGAGGATAGAAATAGAACTTGTTCTATTCTCATCTGACCGACAAGATCAGAGGAAGCCGACTAACCAAATTATATATATTTGAAAAAGACTTAGAAACAAGAAGAAAAGTACGCAAATATATCGATAAATTACTGGACAAATCAAATGGCTGAACCCTGCAATTTTTTCCAGATAAGGGGTCAGAGCAGCAGTCCCCTCTTGCGATAGCAACTTCTAGTTTATAATAATCTACGGGAAATCACCGGAAATGCTAAAATTTTACGAATACTTTCATTAGTGTAACTAAAGGTATAATACTACCCCTCTTGTCATATAAAAAGATTACTTCAGTTTTGTTGACAAAACTATATTTAACTTGGGATTAATGAAAAATTTTCAAAGGTTTTGATGAAATTTCAATTGTAAGTTTAAACATAAAAATTCCATAGTCAATGTCATCTAATGCTGAAGCAAACACGAAACATATAAATTTATGGAGCAAAAAATGTTTTTAAAAAAATTCTTGATTTATAAACCAGTTTTTAAGTTCATCGTAGGCTCTTTATTTTGTGTTAAATTTGAAATTTTTGCAATATTTAAAATTAGTCTAAGGACTTTCATCATGAAGTCAATATTAATTAAGATTTTATTTTTATTAGGGTTTTGAACCCCGTGGAACAGAAATTATGAAGAGAGTTGTAACCCAACAAAATACATTGTTTA